CAACTGCTTACAGAAGTTTATGCTGTCAATTTTGGTACTATTTGTGTTATTTTAAATTACCATTTGGGCCTGGCTCAATGTTTCAATTGGCTAATCATCTCCTTGGAAGCTCCAGTATTCCATTTGGGCACCAGTTTGTGTCCCAACTTCCAATCCGATCCAGCTCCCTGCTTATGGCCTGGGAAAGCATTAGAGGATGGCTCAAATCCTTGGCCCATTTGCCTATGTAGGAAATCCAGAGGCTGCCTGTGGCTCCTAGCTTCACACAAGTGCCTGTTGTGGCCATTTGGGGAGATTACTGGAGATTCTCTCTGTCTTTCCTTCTCTCTGTAAATATGTCTTTCTAATAATTTTTTAATAATTACCATTTAATGCATCTCACAAAAGATTACCTATAACCTGGCACTGATATAACTTTTTTTTAAAGACAGTTTTATAAAAAAACATTTACTTATTTTTATTGGAAAGGCAGAGTCACAGAGAGAAGGTGATACAAAGAGAGAAATCTCCAAAATACTGGTTCACTCCACAAGTGGCCACAATTGCTGGGGATGAGCTGATCCAAAGCCAGGAACCAGCAGATTCTTCCAGGTCTTATATGCGTGCAGGGGCCCAAGGACTTGAGCAATTCTCTTCTGTTTTTCCAGTACATAAGCAGAGAGCTGGATGGGAAGTGGAGTGAGTAGGATATGAACTGGCACCCATATGGATGCTGGCACAGCAGGCAGAGGATTAGCCTGTAGAGCCACTGCACTGGTCCTGAGATTAAGTTTTTATGTACACAGAAAAACATGGAAACACAGTGTTATGGCATAATACAAATTACGTCTGAGTAAATTTAAAAGCTTTCAATAAATATATATATATAGGAAATCTAAGAATAAGAAACTAATATGTTTTTAAAGGATTTATTTAGTTTTATTTATAAGGTATATTTACAAGGAGAGAAGGAAGGAGATAGAGCCTGTATGTGCTCGTTCATTCCCCAAATGGCTGCAATGGTACGAGCTGGGTCTGTCTGAGGCCAGGAAGCTGGAGTTTGCAGCCCAGCGACTTTTCTGGATCTCCTATATGGGTGCTTGGGTCCAAGGACTAGATCATCCTTCACATCTTTCTCAGACACATAAGCAGGGAGCTAGATCTGAAGTGGAGCAGGTGGGACTCCAACCATGGCCATATGGGATTCGAGCACTACAGGTGGAGGTTTAACCTACATGCTATGGCACTAGCCTGCTCTGGAAACCATTATTTTAATTTCAGCATCCTTTCTTAATGTAACTCATAAAAGTTCTATTTTGTACAATTGTTGGTCAACTATTAATGATAATACCAACAGAATCTTATAGGCCAGCATTGTGGCATGGCAAGTTCATTCATCAATCGCGAATGTTACATTCCATGCGGGTGCTCATCTGAGTTCCTGCTGCCCCACTTCCTATCCAGTTCCCTGTGAATATGCATGGAAAGACAGCAGAGGATGGTCCAAGTACTTGGGACCCTGCCTTCCATATGGGAGACTCAGATGAAGTTTCTGGCTATGGTTGGTCCAACCTTGTCTGTTGTGGCCTTCTGGGGGTTGAAGCAGTAATAGAAGATCTCTCCCTCTATAACTATTAAAATATATATATATATATACTATTGGAAGCCGACTGAAGATATACTTGCTTTTTAATATTTATTTATTTTTATTGGAAAGGCAGATCAGACTTATGGGAAGAAGCAAAGACATAGATATTCCATCTGCTGGCTCACTCCCCAGATGGTTGCAATGGCCAGAGCTGGGCCAATCGAAAGCCAGGAGGCATGAGCTTCTTCCAAGTCTCCCTCGTGGGTGCAGGGTCCCAAGGCTTTGGATTGTCCTCTACTGCTTTTCCAGGCTCAAGCAGGGAGCTGGATGGGAAGTGAGCAGTCAGGACATGAACTGGCACCCACATGGGATCCTGGTGCTTGCAAGTCAAGGATTTAGCCACTGAGCCATCATGCAGGACCCACCTCCCCCCTCCTTTTTTGTTTCTTTGTTTCTCTTGACACCTGTACATCCATAGTCTGCAGTCTAGGATTCCTTGCCTTTCTTTGTAAAACTCTTGAAGCTGCATTAACATTTGCTTCCTGGGGCTAGTATTATGGCATAGTGAGTTAAGCTGCTGCTTGAGATGCTGGCACCTCCTATTGGAGTATAAGGTGCGGTCACAGCTACTTTGCTTCTGATTCATTATTCCTGCTTTCCTAGGAAAGCAGTAGGACATACACCCAGTACTTGTGCCGTTGCCACTTATGTGAGAGACCCTGGTGGCATTCCTGGCTTCTGGCCTCAGCCTTGCCCAGTCGTTGCTATTGGAAACATTTACAGAGTTAACCTGTGGATACAAGTTCTCTGTTACTTCTGCCTTTCAAATAAACAAACCTGTAAAATGAGTATTTTCAGGCCTGGCGGTATGGCCTAGTAGGTAAAGTCCTCGCCTTAAATGTGCCAGGATCCCATATGAGTACCGGTTCTAATTCCGGCAGCTCTCCACTTCCCATCCAGCTCCCTGCTTGTGGCCTGGGAAAGCAGTCGAGGACACCCCAATGCTTTGGGACCCTGCACCTGTGCGGGAGACCTGGAGGAAGTTTCTGGCTCCTGGGTCCGGATCGGCACAGCACTGGCCATTGCGGTCACTTGGGGAGTGAATCATTGGGACCAAGATCTTCCTCTTTCTGTTTCTCTTCCTCTCTGTATATCTGACTTTGTAATAAATAAATAATCTTTAAAAAATATAAAATGAGTATTTTCTTTGTAGGTTTCCTTGAAGCAATTAGGTCTGTTTGAAACACATTCCTAAAAAAAAAAAAAAAAAAGAAACACATTCCTACTGTGCAGCAGTAGGTTGTTGTAAAGATCTGTTAGTGTGTCAGGCCTTCGACTGTCTTGCAGCATTTCTGAATCCCTTGTACCTACTACGGTCTTTTGCTTTTTCTAAGTATCCTGCATTAACATTTGAAAGAGCAAAACAAGGGAGAACTAAAGTTTCATGTAGATAGTAAAACATGCCATGGGCCTGGCAGTGTGGCTTAGCAGCTAAAGTCCTCGCCCTGAACGTCCCGGGATCCCACAAGGGCACTGGTTCTAATCCTGTCAGCTCTACTTCTCATCCAGCTCCCTGCTTGTGGCCTGGGGAAGCAGTCGAGGACGGCCCAAAGCCTTGGGACTCTGCACCTGCATGTGGGAGGCCTGGAGGAGGTTCCTGGCTCTTGGCTTCGGATCGGCGTAGCACTGACCATTGCAGTCACTGGGGGAGTGAATCATCAGACAGAAGATCTTCCTCTCTGTCTTTTCTATTCTATATATATCTGACTTTCCAATGGAAAAAAAAAGGCTTGAATTTATTATGCCTGAACACATGAACTGCCTGTACAATGGTCCCATATTTACTTGTCACCACATGTCTGTGGGGCACAGTATCACCAGTGCATTTGTCTTGGAGGCCACTTGTTCAAGTGCCATAGCCTGATGGCTTTGTCATCTGACCTTTGGTCCTGGCATTCTTTTTGTTGTCTGCAGCTTTCAGAGGAGTAATTGACGCAGTGTGAAGGAGCAGGCTAAGACATCTCCATCTAGGGCATCAGGTTAAGTCTCAGCTGCTCTGCTTCTGATCTAGCCCCTGCTAACCGGAAAGCAGCAGAGGAAGGGCAAAATATTTGGGTCCCTGCCACCCATGCTGGCGACCTGGCTGGGGTTCCAGGCTTCTGGTTTCAGTTTGGCTGGGTCTTGGCTGTTGTGGGAATCTGAGGAATGAATCAGGGTATGGAAAATCCCCTATCCCACTCTTCTCAAATAAATCCTTAGGGGAAGGAAAAAAAAAAAAAAAAAAAAAAAAGGAAAGAAAACCACCACAGGGCATGGGAGGAACGTTACAGGCTCAAACTAAAGTAGTGTTCAGAACCAGCAAACAGGGCCCTGCATGGTAGCCTAGTGGCTAACGTACTCACCTTGTATGTGCTAGGATTCCCATATGGGCACCAGTTGGTATCTTGGCGGCCCTGCTTCCCAACTAGCTCCCTGCTGGTGGCCTGGGGAAGCAGTGGAGGACTGCCTGAGGCTTTGGGATCCTGCACCCACATGGGAGACCTAGAGGAGGCTCCAGGCTCTTGGCTTCTGATTGGTTCAGCTCCAGCCATTCACTTGGGGAGGGAATCATTGGATAGAAAATCTTCCCCTCTGTATATCTGACTTTCCAATAAAAATAAATACATTTTATTTTTAAAAAGGACCAGCAAATACTGCGGATCTCCCAGGATGACAGGCATTGTCAATTCAGCCCCTTTACTCCAACGAGTCAAAACTCTTCAGTACTTTCAAGTTGTGTGTGCCCCCTTGCCTGTAATCTGTACTTTTTTTTATGACTTATTTTTCTTGTAAAGGCAGATTTACAGAGAGAAGAGTCAGAAAGATCTTCCCTTCCTTCGTTCATCGCTCAAGTGGCCACAAAAGGCAGAGCTACGCTGAGCTACGCTGATTCAAAGCCAGGAGCCAGGAGCTTCTTCTGGGTCTCCCACCTGGGTGCAGGGTCCCAAGACTTTGGGCCGTCCTCGACTGCTTTCCCAGGCCACAAGCAGGGAGCTGGATGGGAAGTGGAGCAGCCGGGATACGAACCCGTGACCTTGTGGGATCCCGGCGAGTACGAGGCGAGGACTTTACCCACTGGGCTACCGCGCTGCGCCCATGTGTACTTTCTGCTCGAAAATGTATTTATTTATTATTGGAAAGGCAAACTTTGCAACGGAAGCCCTTCCACCCGCTGCGCCCACTGCTTTCGCAGCAGGTAGAGGATCCAAGTGTGAAAGCGACTGCGCCGGCCCCTCACCGGCTCTTCCTTCCTCCGCCTGGCTCGGCCTCAGTCTCTCAGCCGCTCGGACGCGCCCATTGGCTCCGCCTCTTTTCATTCCAGTCTGTTTCCGCCCGACGCCCCGCCTCCAGCAAGCGAAGTTCTTTTTTTCTTTCTCCCGAGCTTCCGGCTCTGAGGACTCCGCGGCCGGGCAGTCGAGCTCCAGGAAGTGGCCGCTCTTGCCTCCGGTCCCTTGCCTTGTGGGATCGCGGCGGGCTCCTCTCTCCCGGCCAGGGTTTCCGGGTCCGCTATCCCCTCGCGTCCGTCGTGGAGTACGAGCAGCTGAGAGGGTCTCCGGGCAGCATGGCGGCGCATCTGAAAAAGCGAGTGTATGAGGAGTTCACGAAAGTGGTGCAGGTGAGCTCTGGCCGGAAAGCTGGCGGCGCCGTCCGAGCGCGGGGAGGGCTGTCCGGACCCTTGGGCGCTGTGTGGACAGGCGGAAGCAGCATCCTTAGGGGGCGTGTTGTTTGCAGCCGCTTTTGTTGTTAGCGTCGGAACTGACAGGTGTCTCGGAGGAAACAAGTCGTGCTTTACAGGTTACAAAGCTATCGTGTGATCTCCTTTAATAGCCCCACCACCTGGCTGGATAGGGTTACTGGGGAATCCTTGGTGGACAGTGACGGGTGCTACCTCCGGTTCCCCGGGAGGAAAGTTGGGGTACAGGCTGCACGAAAGGGACTGGAAGAGAGGTCTGCAGAGTTCGTTTGGCCGCAGGCTCTATTTCCCTTGGACAGGGGAGGGGGCAGGACCGTCGTCCCTTGGCGTTGTTGAAGGCCACCAGTACTCAGTGATGCCCCACGTGTCCCCCACACGGGCGTCGCTGGAGGAGAGGCTGGTGCCCGGGGATCCTGTGTCCTGCTGTAATGCGCATACAGACCATACAGGGGCGCGAAGCAGGAGTTTGCATTTCCAAACAAGCTCCGGATTCCCGCGGGTGGATCGGCAGCGTGCTTAGAGCCTTAGACTTGAAGAGTACAGGGATTCAGACCATCCAACAAGAAATTGGCCCTTCAGTGTCCCATCTGTTTACCAAGGGGTTGTCGGCGTAAACGGGTGCTCAGCATCTGTGTGTGCTAGGCACAATAAGAGCATTGGATCACTCTGTTAGGTGCTCTCTTGTGAGATAGAGAGACAGCCAGTGTGATTTTTCTGTGGTCACGCTTGTAGGCATGATGTTCGGTATTTCTTTCTGCACTAAGATAAATTCATATAATTCCACTGCCGCATGTGAAGTGCCCTCCGTGGCGTGGTGTGGAGAGGTACTTGCAGTGATTAATCAAGTATGCCTTTAGTTCTTTTTGGCAGCCCCTCCTTGCCAGTTGTGATCAGACCTTCTTCCTTCCCAGCCATGTCACCTGTCATTTTCTTTCTGTTTGTGCCACTTAGAGGAGTGACACCAGAGTGTGATGAATTGAGATCTTAGTGCGTCTGTTCTTTTTTCCTGTGCTGTGATGATGATGAGGTAGACAAAACTGACATTTATTGCCTAGGATGTATGTACAATAAAGACAGGATAATCTAGGCTTCTTATAATACAGTTATACCGAAGAGAAGACCTCCTACCCCTTCCCCCCATAGTTCATGACTATGGAATATGAACTTCTGTGATTCCAAAGTGTTTGTTTGTTTAATCATGTCATACTATGATCCTATCTGGAATGAACTTAATCTCTTCCCTTAGCAGAGTGAATTTGTAAGGCTTTAAATGCCCTGTGCTCTAACATTATGTGTTAGTTCTCAGGGAAGATTTTAGATTGCAACATTTAGATTGTTATATACTTGCCCACTACTGGCTGGCTGAAATCCATGAATGACAGAGTACCTTGCACACCAGCTTTCTGCCATCCATTGTGTGTAATAGTGCGTGATTTTAGTTATGTGTTATCCTTGACAGAATTGAGAAAATAGTCAACTTTCTGTGGTTTATGGCCCAGGTGGGGAATCTCTGGTTGAGAAAGACTGGTGGTTGGTAGCATTATTCCTATATTGTAAAGCCAGGAGCCAGGTACTGCACGTAGGTCCCACATACATGGCAAGGACCTAGTCATTTGAGTCATCTTCTGTTTTTCAAGGCACACTAGCTGGGAGCTGGATCAAAAATGTAGCAACCAAGTTTCAAACTGACACCCATATGGGATCTTTGTTTTACAGGGAGCAGCTTCCCCTGCTATCCCACAAAACTGGTCCTGCTCTTTATTTTCCAATACAGAATGAAATGGATTGTTGTGTGATCTCTTAACCCTAAAGCTGCCCCAGTCCCCAGAGAAAGAAATGGGCTCAGAGAAATTCAACAACAGTCTAAAATTGTAGGAGTCAGGGAAAGACAAACTTATGACTCATGGCCTGCGTTCAATTCAGTGTTCTTTATTCAGTCTGTAATACTGCTTTTTCTGAAAGCTGGCTTTATTAACTAAGGGGAAATTATTTTCATCGAAGGAGGTAAAATTAAATTTGCAGGCTCTGTGTTTTTACTTGGTTTTCATGCTCTGTCTTCTGCATCTCTTTACAGCAACAACAGGAGGAAATCGCTACTAAGAAACTCCGACTTACTAAACCGAGTAAATCTGCAGCCCTCCACATTGATCTGTGTAAAGCCACCTCCCCGGCAGATGCACTGCAGTACCTACTCCAGTTTGCCAGGAAGCCTGTTGAGGCAGAAAGTGTGGAGGGAGTGGTCAGGATTCTCTTGGAGCATTATTATAAGGTAAGAAGGTCTTGAGGCCCTGATTAAAGTACATATATCAATATATTGTGTCCACACAGTGGGTTAATATTGAAAATAATATGCTACTGAATGACTAATGTGTAGCTGAAGAAATAAAAAGCAAAATTAAGAACCTTCTTGAACAAAATGGTGCTTCTATATGATCTGTGAATCATTGAAGAATTTAATCAGAAGAAAGTGTTTTGAAGAGGTGAAACAAACAAAAAAAATTCCTGAGATATAGTTCCTGCAGATCTTTTTTGATGAAGTGTGTCTCCTTCATAGATGGGTTTTGTTATTTTTATCCAATGTACCGATCTATGACGTTTGATTGATGAGTTTAAGGCATTTGCATTCAGGGTTAATATGAATGGGTGATATTTTGCTTCTATCATTTTAGCAGTGGGTTCTTAGACTCATTGTTAGACATAGACTTGGAGCTTCTATCTCAAATGCCCATGGCAGCCCCTGCTTGAGGCTAAAGCCAGAAGTCATCAGTGCAACCTGGGTCCTCCATGTAAGTGGCTAGGACCCAACCCCTTCAGCTGTCACCCCTCTAGGTTCTGCACAGGCAGGGAGCTGGAGTCACGAGCTGAATCCAGAACTCTGGATTCAGGTGTTGAATCCAGAACTCTGATGTCTTGGCTTATCTTGTCGTACCACCTGGGCTCCTAACCTCTGTGTGAATTGTTAGCCCTGTTTGTTTGTTAGTTTGTTTGTTTTTCAAGGGTAAAGGAAAAGAGAAATGATCTTCCATCCACTGATTCACCCTCCTAATGTCTGCAGTGGCTGGGGCTGATGCAGATTGAAGCCAGGAGCCTAAGCACTTACAGCCATCCTCTGCTGCCTTCCCAGACGCATGAGCAGATAGCTGGATCAGAAGCAGAGCAGCTGGGACTTGAATCAGTGCTTTGATGTCAGCGTTAGAGGCTGCAGTTTATTTAGCTCGCTGTACTACATTGTCAGCCCTCTCCTTCTGGCCTTTTATTAGAACAGTTCTCATTATTTTGGTGATATCGATTGAATGAAGAAACTGGGTCTTTTATTGACAAAATGTTTTGTTTTCTAGCTTTGTCACATCATTGGAGCTTGGCATGCTTTTTTGCCTGTATTTACTGTGAACTGGAAGTTAGATCTAAAGGCTTTGTTAGATTCAATGTAAGCATGGTTTTGAGGATTTTGATACTTTAATGAAAGGCTGTTTCTATTTCATATCCACCTGTCAGGATGCATGTTACACCTTAAAATATTTTTTCTTGATGATTTATTTTATTTATTTGAAAGGCTTAGTTACAACAGGGATAGAAAGAAATCTTCCATCAGTCAGTTTGCTCTCCAAAAGGCTTTAATATACAGGGTTGGGGCCTGGTATTTAGCCTAGTGGCCAGTCCTCGCTTTACATGCTCCAGGATCCCATATGGGTGCCAGTTCGTATTTGGCTGCTCCATTTCCCTTCTAGCTCCTTGCTTGTGGTCTGGGAAAGCAGTCAAGGACAGCCCAAAGCCTTGGGACCCTGCACCCATGTGGGAGACGCAGAGGAAGCTCTTTGCTCCTGGATTCAGATTGACTCAGGTCTGGCTGTTGGCGGCTGGTTGGGGAGTGAACCAGTGGAAGGAAGATCTTTCTGTCTGTATCTCCTTTTCTCTGTATGTCTGCCTCTCCAATAAAAATAAATGCATCTTTAAAAACAAGCAAATTAACAAGCAAAATTCCAGGAATAGGCCAAGCAGAAGCTAGGGACCTGCACCTCTATCTTGTCCCATGTGACTGTTAGGGACCCAAGCAGTCACACCATCATCTGCTGCTTTCTTGGGTGCTTTAGCAGGGAGCCTGATTGGAAGCAGAGTAGTTGGACTCAAAGCAGCACTGCAATGTGGGATGCCAGCTTTTTCAGTGTTGCTTAACTTGCTTTGCTACAATGTTGGCGTGTTTTGAAAAAATTTTGTGAGCATCTTTTTAGATTGTTGTTTGTTTATGTTCATCTACTTACAAAGAGAATGAAAGAGCAAAAGAGTGAGAGAGATAGAGATCTACTAGTTCATTGTCCAAATGTCCTTGACAGTAGCACTGGGCCTGGCAAAAACCAGGTTTGTAAAACTCCATCCAGGTCTCCCAGTTGGATGGCAGGGGCCCAATTTCTTGAGCCATCATCTACTGTTTCCTAGAATGCATTAGTAGCAAGTTATGTCATATGTGGAGTAGCAGGGCTGGCACTGTGGTGTAATGTATAAAATGACCACCTGTGGTGCTGGCATCCTGTATTGTCACTGGTTCAAGTTTTGTCTGCTTCTGTTATGATCTAGCTCCCTGTTAATGAGCCTGGGAAAGGGTAGAGCATGGCCCAGGTATTTGGAAACCTGCACCCACATGAGAGACCCAGATATTAACATGTCTTTCTATCAAATCATTCAAGATCATATCTGTTAATATCTGAGAAATTTTCTAGGCAGAAAGAAAAAACAAAATGAAGAGATTGAGGAATGAAGACACTTAAAAGATTTATTTTTTAAAAACTTTTAAAGATTTATTTTATTTTATTTTTATTGGAAAGTCAGATACACAGAGAGGAGAGACAGAGAGGAAAATCTTCCATCCACTGATTCACTCCCCAAGTGGCCGCAACTGCTGGAGCTGTGCCGATCTGAAGACAGGAGCCTGGAGCCTCTTCTGGGTCTCACATGCAGGTGCAGGGTTCCAAGGCATTGGACCATGCTCTGCTGCTTTCCCAGGTCACAAGTAGGTAGCTGGATGGGAAGTGGAGCAGCCAGGATTAGAACCAGTGCCCATAGCGATCCTGGCGCTTGAAGGTGGAGGATTAGCCACTTGAGCTGGCCTCAGGAAGATGTTTAGTGACAGAGAAAATGGCTGACCAGAACTCAGGATATCCCATCTGTAGTCAACTGCCCAGGTTGCCTTGTACGTGTACTAGTGTTATACTCCTGGGAGGAAAACAGCCAGTTGTGGTCAGGTATTCTGACCACAGGGAAAAGACCTAGAACCACAGGTTACAGGGAGAGGTGAGATAGAGAGCTCTTCCATGCGTTGCTTTACTCACCAAATGGCTGCAGCTGCTGGAACTGAGCTGGTCTAATGCCAGGAGTCAGGAACTTCTTCTGGGTCTCCCATGTGGTTGTAGGGGCCCATGTTCTTGGCTGTCTTCTGCTTTCACAAGAGATTAATAGGGAGGTGGATTGAAAGTGGAGCATCTAGGATTCGAACTGGTGTCTAAGTGAGATGCTGATGCCACAAGTGGAGGCTTAACGTCATTACACCAAACCCTCTGGTACTTCTTTTTGTTTTGTTTTGAAGATTTATTTATTTTTATTGGAAAGTCAGATATACAGAGAGGAGGAGAGACAGAGAGGAAGCTCTTCCATCTGATGGTTCACTCCCCAAGCGGCCTCAATGGCTGGAGCTGAACCAATCCGAAGCCAGGAGCGTTTCCAGGTCTCCCATGCAGGTGCAGGGTCCCAAGGCTTTGGGCTATCCTCGACTGCTTTCCCAGACCACAATCAGGGAGCTGTATGGGAAGTGGGGCCGCCAGGGTTAGAACCGGTGCCCATATGGGATCCTGGAGCATTCAAGGTGAGAACTTTAACTGCTAGGCTATCACGTCAGCCCCCTCTGGTACTTCTAATACTCTGTAAACTTTATGTTCCTGATCTTTTCCCTGTGGTAGAACAAAAGCTTCTTTCAAGCACGGAGTTTTGATTTTTTTTTTCTTAAATGTTTGTTTTTTAATTTCTATTTGAAAGGCAGATTTGCAGAGAGAGAAGGAAAGACGGAAAAAGGCTTCCCATGTGCTGGTTCACTCCTTAAATGGCCTCAATATCTGGTCTGAGCTGATCCATGGCTGGGAACCAGGACTTCTTTGGCTCTGCCAAGTGGTTGCAGGGGCTCAAGGCTTGAGTTGTCCTCTGCTGCTTTCCTAGACAATGTAGCAGGGAGCTGGATGGGAAGTGGAGCACTCGTGCTCAGCAAGGGCCCAAGCACTTGATCCAGCCTCTGCTGCCTTCCCAGGTGCTTCTCAGGGAGCTGGATGGGAAGAGGATCCTGAACAGTAACTGCTGCTCATAGAGTTTTCTGTGTGTGTATGTGTTTCATAGTAATGATGCTTAATAGGTGTTAGGTTATATTCCTTTGTAGTTTTCTTTTTTTTTAAAAAGATTTATTTTTATTATTATTTTTTTATTGGAAAGGCGGATATACAGAGAGGAGAGACAGAGAGGAAGATCTTCCGTCCGATGATTCACTCCCCAAGTGAGCGCAACGGGTCGATACTATGCCGATCCGAAGCCAGGAGCCTCTTCCAGGTCTCCCACATGGGTGCAGGGTCCCAAAGCTTTGGGCCGTCCTCGACTGCTTTCCCAGGCCACAGGCAGGGAGCTGGAAGGGAAGCGGGGCTGCCGGGATTAGAACCGGCGCCCATATGGGATCCCAGGCATGCAAGGCGAGGACCTTTAACCACTTGCGCCACCGCGCCGGGCCCGCCTTTGTAGTTTTCAAAAACAGTTTAACAAATTAAATGAGTGATGGAGACAAAGTTCCCCTCCCACTGCTTTTCTCTGTAGTGTCCATGGCAGCCAGGGTTGGGTCTGGGCTGAGCTAGGAACTTAGTGCAGGTTCCCCACTCGCAAACAGGAACTCAGCCACATGAACTGTCACCTGCTCCTTCCCAGCGTGTGCCAGAGGAAGCCAGAGTCAGAGGATGGAAACCCAGGGATTCTGACAGGCACTGGCATTCCACACTGTAGCTTAACTGCTAGTATAAGGGCACATCTTGTTTTAATTTGTGCTTTTTTTTTTAAGATTAATTTATTTTTATTGGATAGGCAGATTTACAGAGAAGGAAAGACAGAGAGAAAGATCCTCTGTTGGTTCACTTTACAAGTGGCCAGAATAGCTGGTGCTGAGCTGATCTGAAGCCAGGAACTAGGAGCTTTTTCCAGGTCTCCTAAAGGTGCAGGGTCCCAAGGGTCTGACTGTCCTCTACTGCTTTCCCAAGTCAGAAGTAGGATACTGTATGGGGTTTGGAGCAGCTGGGATATGAACAGGTTCCCATATGGAATCCTAGATGTGCAAGGTGAGGATTTAAACACTAGGCCATCGTGCCAGGTCCAATTTGTATCTTTCCAATGATAAATGATGTGGAACATCATCTAATGTTTATTTTCTCATTTCTGTTCATTTTTTTGCCTGAATTTTTGTTTAGTTTTCATAGTTACCAGTATATTGTGAGATTCTCAGATCAAGATTCAACTTTATCATTAAAAAAGTAGAGAAAGAACAGGGTACACCCTAAGTTAATGGAAAGAAGGAGATAATAAATATTCTAGCCGTGCTCTCTGTGTGATGTTCATGTCCTGGCTGTGTTCCTGTCCCAGCTTCCCGCTGGTGGATGTTCTGGGAAGCAGCAGGTGATATACCTTGAAGTTGAATCCTTGTTGCTCATGTGGATTACTTGTAATAAATTCCCAACTCCTTGTTTTTACCTGGCCTAGTCTAGTTAAGCCAGTGGTTGGGAGATCTCTGCCTTTCAAAGTAAGTTAGTGATAGAACAGATATTTAACCTGGTGATTAAGCTACTGATTAAGATGCCACAATCCCGTATTGAAGTACTTTGAATGATGCCTGCCCACACTGCCTACTGTGGTCAGTGGCAGTGGCTCATGTAATTGGGTTCTTGCCACTCCTGTCAGAGACCTAGATTAGGTCTTGGCTCCTGGCTTCAACCTGGCCTAGAATCACTTGTTACAGGCATTAGGGAGGTAAACCAGTGAATGGGAATTTTCTATTTCTTTTTTCTTGCTCTGTGACTGGCTGTCTTTCTGACTCAAACAAGAAAGAAAAAATAAGTTAATGATGCCAGGAAAGCATTAAAATATTCCCATTTGTGGGCCTGGTGTGATGATCTAGTGGCTAAATCCTCACCTTGTAACCTCACGTTGATCTCATATGGGTTTTGGTTCATGTCCCAGCTGCTTCACTCCCATCCAGCTTCCTACTTAACGGCCTGGGAGTGCAGTAGAGGATGGGCCAGGGCCTTTGGACCTTACACTGGCATGGGAGGTGCAGAAGAAGCTCTTGGCTCCTGATTTTGGATCGGCTCAGCTCCAGCCCTTGTGGCCACTTTGGGGAGTGAACCTGCTGATAGATCTTTCTGTCTCTTTTTCTCTATAAATCTGCCTTTCCAATAAAAATAAATAAATCTAAAAAAAGTTCCCATTCATGTTGTATTTGGTGTAGCATTCTGGGATGTTAGTTTCCTATTTGTTTCTGTTTGTTGGCTAAGAGTGTAGCTTTGGGACTGGTGCTTTGGTACAGCATGTCAAACTGCCGTCTTTGGTGCCAGCAGTCCCATATGGGCATCAACTGGAGTCTCAGCCATTCCACTTATCATCAGAGGATGTCCCTTGTACTTGGGCTCCTGCATGCATTTGGGAGGTCTGGAAGAATCTCCTGACTTCTGGCTTCTGCTTGGCCCAGCTCTGTCCATTGCATTATTTGGGGAGTGAACCAGCAGATTGAAGATTCTCCCTCTTTTTCTTTTTTTTTTTTTGACTGACAGCACGCTCTATTTTAATAATTGACAACTGCTTGGACATTCAGTTATTGGAAGGAGAAATAAAGGGAAAATTTGAAAATAATTCTGAGAGGGCCAAATGCAATAGCCCAGAGGCTAAAGGCCTTGCCTTGCATATGCTGAAACACCATATAGGCACCATTTCTTTCTTTTTTTTTTTTTTGAAAGTGGGTAATATCATTGTTTCCACTCTAATACAATCATTTTTCCCTGTATCTGGGGTTAGGGGAGTAGCAAAGGGAAAAGCTCCCCCCCCCAACTTCCCACCCATCCTCCATCCCCAACATGTCTCCCTCTTTTTCTATCTGTTTTTCCTTCTTGGTGACTCTGCATTTCAAATAAGTAAGTGAATATTTTGTTTGAAAAAAAAAAGGTGTAGTGCTTCAAGATGATAATAGTTTCTTTGGTTTCAGGAAAATGATGCATCTGTGAGGTTGAAAATTGCTTCTTTATTGGGCTTGTTATCCAAGACTACAGGATTTTCACCCGACTGCATTATGGATGATGCCATTAACATACTACAGAACGAAAGTAAGTTGCAATTTATAAGCTACTTAATTCTTTTTATGTAGAATGTAGATCACATTTTGCTATGTGTGTTATTGAAGACTAACTTGAGGCCGACTTAATAAAACCATATAAGTACATTTACTTTAGAGTTATAGTAACAGTTTTTTATCTTTTTTGAGAAGGCAAATTTATGCATTTTCTCCTACTTGAAACAGAATGACAGAAAGACAGGTCGACATAAACAAAGAGAAAGAGGTTTTCCATTTGCTTGTTCAATTCCCAGATACCCAGAGCCACCTGCTGCTGCATCCCAAGGTCTGTATTAGCAGAAAACTGGAGTTGGGAGCTTGAGCTGTGTATGAAAGTTAGGTGCTCTAATGCAGTATGTGGCAGACTCCTTAACCAGCATCTTAGCTCCTGGACCAAATGCATACTCCCAGTATTCTCCACCCCCCCTTTTTATTTGAAATGCAGAGTAACAGAGGTAGAAGAAGAAAAGAGAGCTCAATCTTCCTCAAGTGGCTCACTCCTTAAATGGCCACAGCATTGGACCAGGCTGAAGCCAGGAGACTGGAACTCCATCTAGGTCTCCCACATGGGTGGCAAGAATGTGTGTACTTGGTTTGTCCTTCATTGCCTCCCTTGCTCCTTCCAGCACGTTAGCAGGAACCCAGTGTCAAATGACTGGGACTTGAATGGGCACATTGATGTGGGGTGTCAGTGTTACAAGTAGTGGCTTAACCTGTTGTAGCAGCCCCAGATTTTTCTCTTAATAGCTGTCCATTATTGACCTCTACCAAATATCATATATTTAAGGTAATATACATAATATAAAAATAGATATTATTGTCTCTTGTTTCAAAATTGTTTCATTTTTGTGTGAAATCCAGATAGGCAGAGAGATACAAGGAGACTGAGAAAGATCTATCTGCTGGTTTGTTCCCTAAATGCCTTTGGTAGCCTATGCTGGGTCAGTCTAAAGACAGAACCCCAGCACTCAGTCCTGGGCTTCCGTGTGAGTGGGAGGGAACCAAGGACTTGAGCAATTGTGTGCTGTGTCCGAGGGTATGCTACACTAGTAAGAAGCTGGGTTGGCATTGATGTGTACAAGATCCAAGTGGGGATGCAGGGCGGATTGGACCAGTCTGCTGCACACACCAGTGTGTGCGGAAACTGGGGCTGGGGGCAGGCCTGACGGGGACTGCTGGGGGTCACTCTGACTGGGCTGCAGTTCCTGCTAGTATTCATGAGGGCCAACTGTGTGGTGGGCACAGATGGGCTGGGCTATAGCATCCATTGGTTTGTGTATGAGATGGGACTGGGACAGACTGACCAGGCAACTGCAACCATGAATGTGTGTGTAATGGACTGATCTGAACCCTGTACTGGTTGGCATATATGAGTTGGTCTGGGGTAACCTCTGGTAAGGTTTCTTTGGGGACACCCCCACTGGAACACTGGACTTGGATCTCCAAACATGGCGAAAATCACAGAATCTATGGTCTGACCATGGAGTGTTTGTGTCAGAATTGGGTCTCCTCAGTTGCTGAAGCCTGTGCAGTTGATAGCATGCTCAAATTCACACGAGAGACATGACAACCAGTTCATTGAGGCCTTCAGAGGTCATGTAGTATCATGGAGGACAAAACAAATTAGACAGCTCTATCAGCCAAGCTTTGATGGTAAGTGGAGACGCTAAGGTGAATTATATCAGCAAATGGACCTTGGAAGGATTTCCTCAACTTTGGAGCAAGGAAATCAATGGCATCTCAGATTTATCAAAACCATGTGAGTAGTGTTCTCAGAACATGTTCCATATTGGGGACCTTGAGATGACATTGGATGGCCGAACCCCTATGTCCAGGTACTGATGTGGTTGTGCAGCTGGGAGCAACCCTCTGCCCTTCTCTCCCGACTTTCCCAAAAAATGGGAAGAAAAAAGGAGATTGCCAACAGTTGTCTCATCTACTTTCTCTCATTCCTTGACCTTCCCTACCCTAATCAGTGGTCCACATGGGCATGTATTCTTCTGAACTAGGTAAACATCATTAAAAATAAATGAATTTATTATTAGGGAAAAAAAAATTGAGTTGGAAATAGAGCTGTTACCCTTGAATGAGGAACTCTGAAAGTGAATTGTGGGTATAATATTGCACAAGTGCACCTCTGTGGGAAACAGAAGCTCAGAAAATCTTGCTGTTTTGTTCAAGGTTACATAGTATGGTGCTTTGTACATTGTGCAGGGTGAATTCGGAAGTCATGCCCAGTGTTTGCCTGATCTTGTGAGCAATCACAATTGAGAGCCCGTGAAAGTAATATCTCTCAGGTTTCATATACATTGTGTTGTTTCTGTTTCAGTTCCTTGATGATGTATGCTAAAATATATTTGATGAATCTTTTTTTAAGATATATTTTTTAATCTTTTTAGAAGACAATTCTTTTTTTTTTTTAAGATTTACCTTTTATATATTTTTGTTGGAAAGTCAAATATACAGAGAGGAGGAGAGACAGAGAGGAAGATCTTCCATCCACTGATTCACTCTTCAAGTGACCATAATGGCCAGAGTTGTGCCGATCTGAAGCCAAGAGCCTGGAGCCTTTTCTGGGTCTTCCACGCAGGTGCAGGGCATCAAGGCTTTGGGCTGTCCTCTGCTTTCCAGGCCACAATTAGGGAGCTGGATGGGAAGCAGGGCCACTGGGACTACAACTGGTGCCCATATGAGATCCCAGCGTGTGCAAGACGAGGACTTTAGCTGCTAGGCTACCACACTGGGGCCTAAAAATTTATTTATTTGAAAGAGAGAGGGAGAAATACGAAGAGGAATCTTCCATCTTTTGGTTAATTCCCCGAATAGCTGCATCAGCCAGAGCTGAGTCCGTCCAAAGCTGGTCAGTCCAAAGTCCATATCTTATTCATGTGGGCCATTGGCTGAAGTTCACAAAAAAAATTGTTTTAGAAATTAGCTTATAGTAAAGCTTTACTTTTATTTGAACATTTTTATCTTTGTCTCTTTCTTTTTGTTTCTTTCTTTGAGAGATAGAGAGGATGAGAGAAGCCTAGGGTCTTGAAGTTTGGATCCAGGAATTGTATTACCTTTCTATGATGTACGTTTAAATCTGATTTATTTTAGAGCTGTAGAGACAGAGAAAGAGGCAGAGTGCTCCCACCTGCTGATTCACTCCCCAGATGTCTTCAACGTCTGGAGTAAGCTGGATCAAGCCTGGAGCTGGAAACTCAAACCAGGTTTCCATGTGGGTAACCATCACCTGCTGCCCCCCAAGAAGCCAGAACCCACTGTAGAGCTAGGACTCTTTTCCAGGTGCTCTGATAGGGCAGGTAAACATCTCACCTGGACATCTCTCAATGGCTATCCCAACTTACATTCTATACGGTTACAATTAACATATGATTTTATGATTTTCTGTACTCAGTATCTAGTTTTTCCATGTAATTCTATGTCCTTATAAAATTTATGGTGTTGACTTTACATCAAATATCAAGAGAAAGTAGAGTGTTTCTTTTTTTTTTTTTAAATTTTAATTTATTTTTATTGGAAAGTCAGATATATAGAGAGGAGGAGAGACAGAGAGAAATATCTTCTGTCCAGTGATTCACTCCCCAAGTGACCACAATGACCAGTGCTATACTGATCCGAAGCCAGGAGCCAGGAGCTCTTCCAGGTCTCCCATGCGGGAGCAGGGTCTCAAGGCTTTGGGCTGTCATCGACTGCTTTCCCAGGGCACAAGTAGGGAACTGGATGGGAAGCGGAGCTGCTGGGATTAGAACTGGCGCCCATATGGGATCCTGGCACATTCAAGGTGAGGACATAAGCCGCTAGGCCACCGCTATCGTGTTTCTAAATCTTCTGGGACCAGTGTTGTGGTGCCCCTGCTTAAGCAACCACCTGCAGTGCTGTCATCCTATATTAGAGTGCTGCATTTGCACAGGTCAAGTATCATGTGCTCTGTTTGCATTCTCTCTGTGTTTCCCTCTGTTCTGTTACTCTGCCTTTCAAATAAAAATTTTTTAAATTATATTTTTGACAATCTTTACATTAGGGTAAAAGGTCAAGGGCTATAGGGAAGTGGATAAGACTACTATTTCCCTATTGTTTCCTTCATTTATCTGAGGTAAAGGGAATGTTGAGGGGGAATCCCCACCCAGTCACCCACCCATCCCAGGTCCCCGATGTGGGGAATACTCTGAGATCCTTGCTCAAATGGTTTTGATAGTTCAACAGTTATGAATCGTTGCCAGTCTCACCACTCCAAACACAATGAGGTCGTTGAAGAATCCACTGATTGAAATAGTCCATCTTAGAGTCTCCATTTGTCCAGTTTTTCACTGCCAAGATACAACTGAGGTGATGGATTGACCTGTTCTGTCTTCTGTCTTTTCTGGGTTAGGGTTCTAAGCCCGCCATTCCGATTGGGATATCCCCAAAAGAAATTTTGAGGTGTTCCCAGACCAGATTCTTGTTTTTTTTTTTTTTTTAAGATTTATTTTTATTTTTATTGGAATGGCGGGTATACAGAGAGGAAGATCTTCCGTCCGATGATTCACTCCCCAAGTGACTGCAATGGCCGATACTATGCCGATCCAAAGCCAGGATTCAGGAACTTCTTCCAGGTCTCCCACGCGGATGCAATGTCCCAAAGCTTTGGGCCGTCCTCGACTGCTTTCACGGGCCACAAGCAGGGAGTTGGATGGGAAGTGGAGCTGCCAGGATCAGAACTGGCGCCCGTATGGGATCCTGGCGTGCAAGGCGAGGACCTTAACCACTTGTGCCATCATGCCGGGCTCAGACTGGATTTTTGTATGGATTGGCAAGTACAGGGCCTGCCATAGTCCATTGCCCCAATCAGTTGGTGGTTGCAGTTGCTGGATTGGTTTTGTTTTCAGACCCGACTTCCACTGGAACCAATGGGTGTTGCAGTCCAGCCTGGCTCTGCCTAGCACATACTCGGCCCTCACATAAACCAGTGAGAGCTGCAGCCTAGTGAGAGCGACCCACAATAATCCCCACCAGGCCTGCCCCCTACCCTGGTTTGCCAGTATGTGTTGCAGACTAGTCCAATCTGCCCCATATCCCATTTGGCTCTCATACATATTGAAGGGTATTGAAGCTTAGTTCCATTTAGCCAGCTCAACTATCCAGCCCTCATGGATGTTGAGTGCCTCTCTGTCTAGCTACCCCAGCCGCTGTCCTAGTTTTTGTGCCCTCCCATTGGAGTGGTAACCCAAGAGGGAGGAGCCTACTATTTCCCTCCCAGGTCTCTCTCACTCCCAAATTATGTACTCTCCAGGTGGCTCTGTGGTTAGACTTGACACCAGTGCCAGCTTCTGCTGTGGCTAAGCCCAAACAACCCTCACCCACTCCAATTTTGTTTGCACCAGTAGGAATAATCTGCCCATCCTGGCTTTTCCCTGATCTGGTCTACATGAGGTGCACAGGTGCTGTAGCCCTGCTTTGGTCTGTACCCATCCTGGCTCATGTTCTCCAGTGGGAGTAGCTGTCCAGCAAGGGAACCCACCCCTCATTCCCCTGCCAGCTCTGCCCCTTCCTTCTTGATTCTCACGTGTGCTGGTTCTGTGCTGCCGTCACATCTGGTACAGGCAACCTCACCTTGGCTTTCTGTGTTGTGTACTGCTTTTGCCGTGACCGAACCTGGTTCGACCCACACTCTGTTCCTGTGTTTGGATTTGCCAGTGGATGATGCGAACTGAATCGGCCTGATCCGCCCCTGACCCATACCAAAAGTATGCCAGTGGTACATTTTCCATGACCTCTTCTGGGCTGTTTTCTTCCATGCTTCTGCACTTACTTGCAGGGTCTGTGTCCTGTCAGAGGAGTTGCCCAGGCTCCTCCATCAGAACCCCTCCTAGTGCCAGGTTTCTCGCATACCAGTGGGTCCATGAGCTAGCACTACTCAGTTCACTTCCTGTTCTTGCAGGAACAATGGCTTTTCTTAGCTTGCCTTCAACCCATTCTGGTTCTTGCTGTTGGATGTTTCAGTGCAGCCATGGCTTGTCCATACCCACGTACGGCTCATACATGGCTCAGTTGGGGTTGAGACCTAGCCTAGTCCATCCCACATCTACCCTCGTCCTCCAGAACACCAGAAGGTGTTGCAGTCTGACCTGGCCCGGTGCTTCAAGTCCCAGTCCACACTTGTGCCAAGGGAGACTACAACTGTTACCCGATCAGAACGCAGCCCCATTCCAGCTCGTGCGCTCCTTAGTGGGAACCTCAACCCAGCTAGGGTTTCCCCTTAGCTCCCCAACCGGGCCTGTTCCCAGCCAGTGTTCAGCATGCCAGTGGTTGCTCTGACTCAGCTTGGCATAGCCCCTCACCTGTCCCGACCTCTGCCTTAGATACTGTGGCTCAGTGTCTGTGGCTCACACAGACCAATTGGTGCAAGAACCTAGCTGCTCCATCCTGGTTTCTAATTTAACTTGTGGGCTTAGGTTTGCTTAGTACTACCCAGTGCGCCTGTTCCATCGCCTTTTCACACACTGATGAGCAGTTGGAGCTACTTTGACTAGCTAGTCTGACTCCCAGGTCTGAACCACCTGTTCACTAGTGGGAAATAGGACTCACCAGAGGAGTTTCCCAAGTTTCTCACCTTGATCCCCTCCCAGACCGAATTCTCATACATGCCATTGGGTTTTAGGCCAGTGCCTGGTGTAGACTGGCCTTCCTTTTGGCCTTGCATGAGCTGGTGAATGTAGCAGCCTGCCCACCCCACACCGTACTCAGGATGCACATTCAGGTGCTGCTGCCTTGACCTGTCCAGACTGTTGAGGGTTCCTTTACCTATGATTGATGGTAAGTTCCTTGGTCACACCTAGCTTAGTCCTTAGAGCAGAACAATGCTTTTTTTTTTTTTCTTTTTTTTTTTGTGAACCCCTGTAAAATCCTATGGTAATTAGGAGATAATATATTAAAGATTAGTAGGTATTAACTGAGGAACGAGGTTAAAAATGAACTTGTTATGAGCAATAACTTTTTTTCTTTTTCAAACTTAAAAGGCAGGGCGACACAAGGAGAGACCTAAACAGAAAAATCTATTCACTCAGCTCTGGCTCTTGTGGGCATTTCAGGAGTGAACCAGCAGATGGAAAGAATGTATTCTTTTGCCATCCAAATTAAAAAAATAAATAAATAAAAGAAGAAGAAAAGTTCAGATAGGGAAGGGGCCAGCACTGTGGTGCAGTGAATTAATCTGAAGCTGGTATCCTCTATCAAAGTGCTGATTTAAGTCAAGTCAACTGTTCTGCTTCTGATCCAACTCCCTGCTAATATACCTGGGTAGGTTGTGTGGGCTGGAACACACACACCCACAACACAAAGAATGAGAGAGAGAGAAAGAGAGAGAATCACTTCCATTTGCTCTTTCACTCCTCGAATAGCTGTAACAGCCAGGGCAGTGCTGTGTTGAAGCCAGAGCCTGGAACTTCATCTAGGTCTCCTACATGTGTGTCAGGAGCCTGAGAATTTGACCCATTGTTTGTTGCAAGATCAGAAGCAGAGAAACAGAGACTCATATGGGTTAAAACTGGCATTCATATGGGTTGCTAGTGTCACAAGGGTTTGCTTAGCTTGCTGCGTCCCATGCCACTGCAGGAGCACCTAGTGTTTGTATGCCTAATACTGTGGAAGAATCACATTTCTAGAAGCAATCTATATAGGGATTTAGCTTTTAGTTGAAGTGATGAAGGATGAAACGGTGAAATCCAGCTGTTAAAAATTTACATTCTTTACTCAAATAAATTGGCTTGTACAGTGATGTCTTTTGAAAATGCTACAGCTTGTTTTCATCTTCCTTTCTAGAGTCTCATCAAGTTCTAGCTCAACTGCTGGACACTTTGCTTGCAATTGGCATGAAACTGCCAGAGAATCAAGTTGTTCAGATGCGATTGGTTGATGTGGCCTGCAAGGTAAGAATTTAATCAAAGTCTGTTTTCCAGTTTTACATTGTTTGGAAAGATAGATCAGGTTGTAAAGTCGGCTGACATCTAGCCTTAAACTTAATTAAGGTTAATCATTTTAACAGCTGCATTTTGAGTTTTTTTGCCCTTTGGTTATGAGTTAGAAATAAAGAAACTAGTTACTTTATTTCTAAATATTTTTAAAATCAGCTTCCTTGTCTTCTTACCAGAAATGAAAATAATTACAATAGATAGCTGTTGTTTATGTGTGTGCTGGTCCTAGTAATGTGCTTACTATGGTTTATATTCAGTTATAACTTCTTCACAATTCCTTAGTTAATTAATTGATAAAGTTGGAATTGGAGGTCTGAGGAGTATAACTTGTTTAGATCTTCACAGCTAGGAGGTTGTTGAACCAGGTTTTAAACTCTGATTCCTCTGAATCCAAAACACATATTCTTTTTAATGATATGTCTTGTTGCTTTTGTAAACAGAACCTAGGCACAAGCCACTCCTGGTAGTCTTTTAAAGTACTTTTTTCCAATTATAAATTATATGTATTTATAGCACATTGATCATGACTTTTGATTTAATTTGGAGCTTTAAATTAACCTCTTTTCATGCATAACACAGCTCCTGTAACCTTACAGATTTTAGTTTTGATTTTTTAAAATTAATTTTCATTTCATTTTAAGATTTATTTATTTTATTGGAAGGCAGATTTTACGGAGAGAGGAGAGAGAAAGATTTTCCATCTACTGGTTTACTCCCCAAATGCCCACAATGACTGGAGTTGGGTCAGTCCAAAGCCAGGAGGCAGGAGCAAGGCATTGAGCCTTAGAGCTTGGTCATGAACCAGTGCCCATGTGTGATCCTGGCACTTGGAGGTGGAGGATTAGACAATTGAACCATCATGCTGGACCCTATTTTCATTTTATTTCAAAGGAGTGATGGAGAGGTAGGTAGGTCCTCCATTCTCCATTTCACTCCCCAAAAGATGTTAATTGTCAGGGCTTGCCGGCCTGAAGCCACGATCCTGGAACTCTCCGTCCGGGTCTCCCATGTGGGTGATAGGCACCCAGGTATTTGAGGCATTTGTCATTTTCTGCCTCTGGATGCGTATCAGGAGGAGGCTGGATTTGAAGTAGAGGATGCAGGCCTAGAACCAGGCACTCAGATAGGGATTGCATGTGTCCCAAGCAGCAGTTAAGTGCTACACTAAAGGCCTACCTCCTACAGTCTTTTTCATGTTTTTGAGACTATCCGATATATATTTGAATTGTGTTGAAGAAGTGCATTACTGGAATTAGGAAAGCATTTCAGGGCCCCGGGAAAGAGTATTTCATTTGCAGAAAACAAATATAAACCAAAATCAGTTTGACAGGTATATTCTTAAAAGCCCCAGTGAAACAATTTAGAGATTATGCATGTAAAAAAGCTAGTATATCATGTGCAAGAATATGTGTATCGTATGTTATGCTTGTGATAGGCATGTTATACTATGTAGGTTGTTAAGTTTGTAGCTGTAGTTGTTTAAATTTACTCTAAACATTCATAGAAACATTGGGAAAACACTGAAAATTAAAACTATATCCGTAATTCATAATCCCTGGCAACTGTTACTAACTTTTTGATGTGCTATTTTCTGATTTTTTTTCTGTACATACATTGTTTGCTATTTTAAGCACATGGCTGCAATCATATTTTATGTATGATTTTTCCATTTTATACTAACTTTTTAACTAAGATTATTTCTATTATAGTGTATGAATGAACTCCAATCTACTGTTTAGCTCCCACGCTTTCCAAAAATACTAGGTCTGTGCTGGGGCCATAGCCAGGGTTATGGAATGCAATATGGGTTTCCTATGTAAGTGAAAGGATCCTGGTTATTTGAGCTATCACCTCTACCTCTCAGACTCTGCCTTGACAGTTAAGTGGAATCTGGAACCAGGGGTAGCAGTTGAGCCCGGCACTGGCACTCTATTGTGTCTTTTAACTGCTAGGCAAAACATCCTGCTCACAGAATTTTCTTCCTCTTTAGAAATGAGTAATATTTCATTGTATCTATATAGTAGATTTTATTTATTCATTCATGTTAGTGGATCCTTGGGTTGCTTCCACCCTCTGGCTATTATAAACATGAGCCTACAAATGTGCCTTTATATCCTACTTTTCTTTTGGATAAGGTTATGATCTGAATTATATTCCTGTAAGATTTATGTAATAAAACCCTAGCCTCTCGGGAAACTGTATTTGGCGATAGTGCCTTTAAGGAGGCAATCAAAAGGGTAGATGTTTGGCACAGTGGCTAAGATACCCCTTGTGTTGTCTGCGTCTGCTATGTGAGTGCCTGAGTTTAATTGAGTCCCGCTATTGTACACCTGTTCTACCTGAGACATGGCAGTAGGTCCCTGAGAAGAATTCTGAGCATCTTCAGGAGTAATTTCTCCTAATGCTTGCTCAGACTTGTCCTCTTGGATTTCATACACAGATTTTTGCTCTTGAGGTTCATGATCAAGTTCAGTCAGAGGTTCCTGTAGATGTTCTTCCTAGTTATTGCTTAACAGTCTGATCTCAAAAAGTTTCTGAATCATCAGGTGCCATCCAAAGTGTCTGTATTTACTTTCTTCATATTGCTCTAATTCTTCCTCCAATTTCTTTTGGGGCAGAGACAAAGCCACTGAGAACCTCATTTTGGTATCTGAAGATAACATTGTGAATGTAAAATTTATTTATAATGGAACCCTGAGGAACAAGGACCAATGACTGCACAAATCTGCTTATTGTTAGCGATAGCTGATGCCTACATTGGGAGGCATTGGTGGTGATGTGAATAGTTGGGTCCCTGCTACCTGTGTAGGAGTCCTGAATGGAGTTTCTGTCTTTCGATTTTGGTTTTGGCCTGGCACAGCACTGGCTGTTACATCTGGGGAGTAAACTGTGGGAAGTCTGTATGCCTCTGACTCTTGCCTCACAAATAATAAAGAATCTCAAATTTTTGGAAAAATTACAAGTATAAACTGTTTTATTGTGAATCATTTTCTGTCTTTTCCCTAATGTTTATTTATTATTCATTTTTTAAAAAAGATTTATTTATTTATTGGAAAGTCAGATATACAGAGAGGAGGAGAGACAGGAAGATCTTCCATCTGATGATTCACTCCCCAAGTGGCCACCATGACCGATGCTGTGCTGATCCGAAGCCAGGATCCAGGAACTTCTTCCGGGTCTCCCACACGGGTGCAGGGTCCCCAGGCTTTGGGCTATCCTCGACTGCTTTCCCAGGCCGCAAGTAGGGAGCTGGATGGGAAGTGGAGTTGCCGGGATTAGAACTGGAGCCCATATGGGATCCCGGGGCGTTCAAGGTGAGAACTTTAGCCGCTAGGCCATGCCGCTGGGCCCTATTTATTATTTTTATTTCAACGGCACAGTAATGAGAGGTGGGGGAACAATAAGAGTGAAAGATAGAGGAATCTTCTGTTGTTTCACACCCCAAAAGCTACAGTGTCTGGGATTGGGCCAGGCCAAAGCTGGGAGCCAGGAACTCTACCTGGGTCTGCCTTGCATGTGGCAGGAGCCCAAGGACTTTGGCCATCTTCCTCTGGTTTCTCTGGGACACTAGTAGGGAGCTGGATTGGAGGAGAGCAGTCAGGACTTGAACCTGTGCTCTGGTATGGGAAGCCAGTGACACTGTTGGTGGCTTAACCCGGTATACTATAGTATTAGCCCTGTGTACCTTTTCATTGTGATGGTATGTTTTCAATACGGTGTCCCAGTTTGTAAAGATTTATTTATTTTTGCTTGCTATATGTTATTATTATTATTATTATTATTATTATTATTGTTATTGTTATTATTATATAATGTGAACAGGTTGATCAGGCTGACAAGGATCCAGGGTTAGGGAAAAGTGGGTCTGATCATTGTTTCCAAGCTTTCTATTTCTTCTTCTCATTTTTGGGGAGAGTGGAGATGTATGGGGAAAAGTCATACTGTATTTGAAAGGCAGAGTTATAGGAAGAAAGAGGGAGACAGTTGAAGGGAGAGAGGGAGAGAGAGAGAGAGAGAATCTTCCATCTGCTGGTTTACTCTCCAAATTATCGCAACAATTGGAGCTGGGCCAGTCCAAAGCCAGGAACCAGGAGCCAGGAGCTTCCTCTGGGTTTCCCACATGGATTTAGTGGCCCAGGTGCCTGGGTTGTCTCCTGCTGCTTTCTTAGGCATGTTAGCAGGGAGTTTGATCTGAACTGGAACAACTGGGACTTGAACTGGCACCCATATGGAATGCTGGCACCCATATGGAATGTGGGCACTGCAGGCCATGGTTTTGTTACTATGCCCTTAGGGATCATCAGCCCTTATGATATTCCATAGCTATAAATTTTTTGATATATATTTACTTTTCTGTTTTTTTTTAAATAAAGAAATGAGTTTTATCAGAATTCTAACATTTTATTAAATTTATGAAAAATACATAAAAGTAGAAACTCGCACATTACTAAAATCAAGTGAACTACAGTACTATCAGGCAAATAAGTGAAGAAAACAGCCAAATTTTATGAAGAATAAGCTCGTGGGAAAATGAGAATAGTTTTATTGCACATAATGAAATAGAATAGAAAAGAAGGCCTCAGGGGATGTAAATGACTTTCTGTTACTAACCTCCTCTGAGCCATTACTTTCCAACCTGTGAGAATCTTAACTGAAGTCTTGGAGAAATGGGTCCTGTTGAGTATTTGATCACAAGACATAAGGTCTCTTTCCCTACAGAGTACTTACTGGGTTGGAGAAATAGACCCGTGCAAACTGTGTGTGGGAGGTCCTCCTACAAGAGATTTAGGTGATCTCTGCTGAGAGAGCTGACCTCTTATAGCAGGACAGAACCCAGCACAGCACCCTCTCCCATTCGGCCATATTCACTCCCTGGCAGGGAACAAGCCACACTTGATCTCCAGTTCTAGTACATACGGGAGGAAGAAAATACTCCCAAGATTGAATATAGATGTTTACACCGAGTCACTGCTAACAGATACAAGCATAGAGAAATGGGACAGAAACTATGCAAAGATACCACAGCAAGAATGAAGAAAGAAAAAGGAAGGCAAGAAGGAAAGGGAAAGAAGAGACATAATAGTATTTGCTCTGAAAGAGAAATAGCCTGAGAAACAGATTATATGCCATTGCTGTGTGTTATATAAATAAATAGTTAAATATAAGTAAAACAACATTAAGGCAAAAAGGCAAACAACAAAAAGCACAATCAATATAAATGATTTATATAAAGTCTAAACTATAGTATGTATTTTCTACAAGCAAAAGACATCCTCTTAACCTCAGTGCAAATCATCAAAATCAGGTCATTAACACTGAGGGATGATATAGTGATATGATATAGTGATATGTCATGGGTCACCATTTGTTTCTTCATAATGTCTTTTCTGTGAAAAATCCAGGTCAGAATTACATGAAATTTTTAAAAGATTTTATTTTTATTTGAGAATCAGAGTGAGGGGAGGCAGGTAGGGAGGGAGAGAGTGGAGGAGAGAGAGTTAGTTCTTCATTTGCTGGTTCACTCCCCAGATGGCCACTTGGGCCAAGGCTGAGCCAATCTGAGCCAGAAGCTTCTTTCTGCTGTCCCTCACATGGGTGACAGGTCCAAAGTACTTGGACCATCTTCTATTGCTTTTTTCTAGACCATTAGTTGGGAGTGGGGTTGGAATTGGAGTAGCCAGAACTGGAATGGACTTGCGTGTGGATTGTCAACACCATGGGCAGTGGTTTTACTTACTGTACCACAGTGCCAGCCTCAACATGTGTTAAATTTAATGCCATATTTCTTTAATTTCCTTGAATTTAGAATAATTCCCCAATCTTTGCTTGATCTTACCAGAACAGTGTGTAGACCCTCCTTGATTTGGAGTTTGTCTAATGTTCTCTCCTGATTAGGCTCACTCAAAAATCATTACTCAAGGGCCCGGCGCGGTGGCGCAAGTGGTTAAAGGTCCTCACCTTGCACGCCCGGGATCCCATATGGGTGCCGGTTCTAATCCCGGCAGCCCCGCTTCCCTTCCAGCTCCCTGCCTGTGGCCTGGGAAAGCAGTCGAGGACGGCCCAAAGCTTTGGGACCCTGCACCCGTGTGGGAGACCCGGAAGAGGCTCCTGGCTTCGGATCGGCCCGTTGTGCTCACTTGGGGAGTGAATCATCGGATGGAAGATCTTCCTCTCTGTCTCTCCTCTCTGTACATCCGCCTTTCCAATAATAAAATAATAAAAATAAATCTTTAAAAAAAAATCATTACTCAAATGGTACTGTTCTCATGGTATGCCTGCTACATGGTATGCATTTTGACTCATTCCTTTACTGATAACTTTTACTGTTATAGTTAATGTGACATCTGCTAGACTTCTTCAACATGAAGTTACTGTTCTTCCCTTTGAAATTAATCAGTAATTTGTATGGAGATGCTTTGAAATTATCTAAGTGTTCTCTTATGAACCTTTCCATTTATTTATATCAGTTTTGGAATCAGTTGTATTGTTTTATGTAGTGGATTATAATGGTTTAATGTCATTCATCTTGATATTCTAATTTGCTGGTTTGGTTAGTGGAGCCCTTTCAGCTCCACTAACAGTGTTTCCTTTGTATTTCTCTTGTATTATAAGTATTTTTTTTCTTCCTGGTATAATGTATTACAGGCTCACGGTGGTTATTGTGGTATATAGGGTTAAGCCATCATTTGCGATGCCTTCATTCTCACATCGGAATGCTGATTGGAGTGCCAGCTACTTATACTTCCCATCCTGCTCCCTGCTTGTACAACTGGCAAGAAGTGAATGATGGTTCAAGTACATGGGACTCTGCCACCCACGTGGGAGGCCATGTGGAATTTCTGGATTCTTGCTTGCTTGGCTCATTCCTGGTGTCACAGTCTTTTGGGGGAGTAAACCTGGGGATGGATCGATCTCTTTCTCTGGTCTGCTTTCTTCATCACTCTGTCTTTCAAATAAATATTGAAAAACAGATGTATTGTTTGTGTGACCCTTGACGTTGGCCTTTCTTCAATAAGCCCTGTTTGCTTTCAGTGGTTTCCTATAGGATCCATGAATGGGATGCTAAGTATTGTAGTTACTAGGATATTGCTGGTTTGGGGTTTTCCCAGGGAGTAGGGCTAGAGATAATATATACACATTTTGTATACTCACATCTGTTTATGTTAATGTCTCTAATTTAAACTCAATACTTATAATTTTAGCCCAATATTATGATGTTCATTCTAGTTTTGAACTGGCACCTAAACGGGATCATGGTACTTGCAAGGGGAGGATTAATTTTCATGTACTTTTTAAAGAAAGATTTATTTATTGTTTGAAAGGCAGAGTCACAGAAAGAGAAGGAGAGACACAGAGGTGTTCTATCTGCTGGTTTACTGAGTATTCCACAATGACTGGAACTGGACTGGTCTGAAGCCAGGAGTCAGAAACTTCTTTTGGGACTCCCACGTGGCTTCAGAGCCCGAACATTCAGACCATTCTCTGCTGCTTTCCTAGGCCATTTGCAGGGAGCTGGATTGAAATGGAGCAATCACAATTTGAACTAACACCCAAATGGGATACTGGTATTGCAGGCAGAGGCTTAAGCTATCATACTGCAGCACCAGTGCCTTCAGGTACTTTTTGAAGACCTTGTGTATGCATGGGTTTGACATACTTTGCACCATAATAAACACTTTAATTCCTTTTTCCATGACTTTTTAAAATATTTGTTTATTTATATGTCAGAGGGAGGGACAGACAGACAGGAAGGGATTCTGTCCACTGCTTCACTCCCCAAATGGCTGCGATGGCCAGGACTAGGCCAGGCCAAAGCTAGGAGCCAAGGGCTTCATCTGGGTCTCCCATCTGAGTAGAAGGGGCTCAAGCATTTGAGCCATTTTATATTGCTCTCCCAGGCCATTGACAGGGGGTTGGTTTGGAAGTAAAGGGGCTTTAACCCCTCTGCCACAGTGCCATCCAATTCCACAAACTCTTTTTTTAAAGATTAATTATTTTTATTTATATGAAAAGCAAAAGAGGAGGAGAGACATAGAGTTCTTCCAATCACTGGTTCACTCTCCAAATGGCTGGGATGGGGTCAAACTAAACTCACAAGCTAGGAGCTTCTTCCATGTGGTGCAGGGGCCCAGACACTCCTGCTGCTTTCCTGGGTTTACAGCAGGGAGCTGCATCAGAAGTAGAGTAGCTAGTCTCAAATCAGCACCCATATAAAATACTGGCATCACAGACAGAAGCTTAACTTGTTACGCCACAATACAAACACCTCCATGAACTTTCTGAAGAACGTACATTGCTATGTGTTAGAAGAATTGCTGTTTTCAGTTTTCAGGATCGAACTCTTTTGTTTATTTCTAAGGATTTTATCCCCTTCTGTGATGTTGTAAATGAGACGATTTTCATGATTTCATTTTGAGATAGTTGTTAGTGTATAGAAATGCAGCTGAGATATATATATAATATACACACATATACATATATATATATATTAAACATTTATTTATTTTTGCATTGGAAAGTCAGATATACGGAGAGAAGGAGAGAGGGGAAGATCTTCTGTCCGATGATTCACTTCCCAAGTGGCCACAATGGCTGGAGCTTACCCAATCTGAACGAGGAGCTAGAAGCTCCTTCCAGGTCTCCCACATGAGGGCAGGGTCCCAAGGCCGTTCTCGGCTGCTTTCCCAGGCCACAAGCAGGGAGCTGGATGGGAAGCAGGGCTGCTGGCATTAGAACTGGCACCCAATATGGGATCCTGGCACATGCAAGGCGAGGACTTCAGCTGCTAGGGTATTGCACTGGGCCCTGAGTTTTATATTTACATACTACAACATATACTGAAAAAAAATTTTTTTTAGCTTAACTGTATTTTGAGGACTGATTTTAGTTTTTTGAAGTGTAGAGTTAGAGAAAGAGAAACAGAGAGGGGGCACAGCTGGTTCACTGGTTTGCTCCCCAATGGTTGCAATGGCCGGAGCTAGACTGTTCTGAAGCGAGGAGCCAGGAGCTTCTTCCAGGACTGCAATGTTGATGCAAGTGCCTGAGAACTTAAACCATCCTCTACAGCTTTTCCAGGTCATAAATCAGGGAGCTGAATCAGAAGTGGAACAGTTGGGACTAGAAACAGTTCCCAAATGAAATGTGGCCCTCTGGGGGGAAGACCGGCCTATATGCAACTGTGCTAGCTCCAAATAAACAAATTTTTAAAAACCCTTAAAACTTTTTATCTTTTAAAAATTTTGCTAGCAGATAAAATGTAATTCAGGAACAGATTTTAAAATGCCTACTGTGGAGGCTGGTCCCATGGCCCAGTGAGTTAGATTGCTGCCTGCAGTGCTGACATCCTATATTTGAGCACCAGTTTGAATTTCTGTTGTTCTACTTGTGATCCAGCTTCCAGCTACCCTGTCTGGGAAAGCAGCAAAGAATAGTCCAAGTGTTTGCCCCTTGCCACCAAAGTGTGATAGACCAGAACAAAGCACCTGGCTCCAGGCTGTGGCCTGGACTAGGCCTGGCGCTTGTGTCCATTTGGGGAGTGAACCTGTGAATGGAAGATCTTTGTTTCTCTCTCTCTCACTTTTTACCCCATGCTTGCTTCCTTCTCTCTTTCAGTCTGATTTTCAGATAAATCAATCACTGCAAGAAAAGCACGACTCTCTGAAAGAAAAGCACAACTCTGTTCAGTTGAAAGTGTTGCCAGTTGGAAATATCAGTGCAGATATGAACATATTAAGGAACTTATGTTTTCTGAAGACTAATTTTTTTTTGAGAGGTTTCATCTTGAATAGAATTTAGTAAACAACGTAGTTACCAAAATCATTCCTAAAATTAGTACAGTGTACTTATTTGTAAAAGACACCTTCAACAAGTCCTTTTGTTTGCCCACTTCTTTTGGTAGCACCTGACAGATACCTCCCATGGTGTAAGAAATAAGTGCCTGCAATTGCTTGGTAATCTTGGCTCTTTGGAGAAAAGCGTCGTAAGAGATGCGGAAGGCCTAGCTGCCCGAGATGTCCAGAAGATTATAGGGGATTACTTCAACGACCAAGATCCGCGTGTCAGAACAGCAGCTATAAAAGCCATGGTAAATGTAACTTGGGGAAAGTTTTCGTTTTGTTCGCTGTTTCTGTTTCTTTATTTACGTTCATAGTTAGTGCTATCTTGAATGTACTCTAAATTTCTCCAGAATATACTTAATGCATATCTGTAGGAAGGAATTAGCACTAGCATTACAGCGGTCAGGAACACCTAGCCCCATGTAATTGGTGTGCTTCTCTGGTAGTTTTTCTCTGCACCCCTTGAAATATAAAAGGTATAAACAGGTATCTTTTATAATAGAATCAAGTCACATCTCTCCCTTAGTTGCCCAATACTAGCAGGGGGCAGGGGCTATGATTTGTTATCATATGAGAATAGGTACAGTTATAGTTTCCATGTTTCATAAGTATAAATGGAAGTTACTAGGAGGGTGTACTTTTTATTGGGAGGTGTGAATGACATTTCTCCCTTAGGAATGAGTACTTCTTGTGGGTAGAGGTTTTAAACATTTATTTCTTAGCCTTTTTTTAAAAAAATTGTTTCATGAGGATTTTTATTTATTTTTATTTATTATTTTATTTTGTTGATCTTTTCAGAGTTGATTAGGGCACAAAGGGTAAGGGCTACAGGAAAGTATGTGAAGACCATTGTTCTACATTCTCTCTCTCACTCTTTTATTTTTTCCTGTGTCTGGGGGAAGGGGGAGATAAAGGGAGAAGCCCCACCCAGCTTCAGCTTCCCATCCATCCCAGGGTCTCCAATGTGGGGCATGCTCTGAGGGTACTGCTGAAGTATTTTTGATAATTCAACAGTTCTGAATTACTGCCAATCTTGCCATTCCAGTCACAATGAAATCTTTGTTTTTGTTGTATGCCCTTGGCATAGTCCATAAGTTAAGTTTATTTTCTTATTTTTAAAATATTTTATTTTTATTGCAAAATCAGATACACAGGGAGGAGGAGAGACAGAGAGGAATATCTTCTGTCTGTTGATTTACTCCCCAAGCAGCCGAAACTGCTGGAGCTGAGCCAATCCAAAGCCAGGAGCCAGGAGCCTCTTGCAGGTCTGTCACGCGGGTGCAGGGTCCAAAGGCTTTGGGCCGTCCTTGACTGCTTTCCCAGGCCACAAGCAGGGAGCTGGATGGGAAGCAGGCTTCTGGGATTGGAACCAGTGCTCATATGGGATCCCGGCGTGTCCAAGGCGAGGACTTTAGTTGCTGGACTACTGCACTGGACCCCATAGGTTAGGTTTATTAATACTTGAATGTTTCTGCTGAAAAAAATCTCTGTCACTAGGTGTTTTTTACGTAGCAGTGATTTTGGCTTGAAGGAAACTGTAAATCTGACATAGTGGGAAAATCTGAGGTTGTGGGGAGGCTTTGGAAATGTCTGGTATTTTTTTTTCCAAATACTTACATTATCTTTGTTATTTAGTTGCAGCTCCATGAAAGAGGATTGAAACTACACCAAACAATTTACAATCAGGTATCTTAAAAATTATTATCTGGAAGGGGATAAGGCATCATGAAAGTGGGAGGGTGGCTGGTTCTAAGACTTTGATCATAATAAGGAATTTAGCTGGCTAACAATGAATAATTTGTTTTAAAATTTTATGGTACAATTCCATAGGGTCTGGGATTTTCCTCCCTCCACCTCCGCAATGAATACTTCAATTGAAATGAATCGGAGGGCATAGCCCAACCATACTTTATAGAAATTTTCAGAAAATACTGTCGAACAATGCTAGTCCATGTGAATTGGATTTGTAGCAGGATTTAGGCAGCTCACTATGATTGGCAGAGAGGAAAGTGTCTGTTTTACTTGGCGCCTGAAGTCTACTTGGGGACACTACATTTAATGAGCTGCGTGTTTCTGGAGGACACTGATAAACCATTGGAGACTGGTAAAAGATGTCATATGAAGTTACGATTGACAAAAAAAGGCTTTGTGACATTGTGCAAAAGCTGACCAGCACTGAATTAGAAGGGTTTCCAAGGTGGCATTTCATTTAGAGAATAAATGCATACATTTATTGACTAGCTGTTTTCATCCATACTCAGAGGCATATTTTGGTGTCCCTGCAAAAATAGTTTTATCTCTCAAAGGAAACAAAAAGATGTAGAGTGGATTCAAAATATTTGTGTTGGTATGGCTGTCACCTTTTCTTTGTATAGTAAAATGTGGGATGCAGAATAATTTAGAGGAAACTTGGAGAGTATAAAGAAGAAAGTTAGTCAGCTGATTCAATGTTTATTGGACAAACAGTCTAGACAAGCAAAAATGAAGGGCTCAAGATCAGGATGGGGTGATAGTAGAGGATTTGAAGTGTATAGTAGAATTTGTTCCATAATGAGTTTGATTTTGGTTATGTTGAGTTTGAAAAGTTGGTGGGACATTCATGAAGAGAGTTCCTAGCCATAGTTACGAAGGTATGGAATCCGACAGAGGCCAGTGCTTAGGATCGAAGTAAGCTGAAATGTGTGTTTTATTTTTATAGATAGGAGGGCAAATCCATCTTTGGTGTTTGAACCTGTGAGAATAGTACTGTGGGCTTCCAGCAAGCTTTGCTGTTTGGTTCTGTTCTAGCTGGATTCTGTGGTCTCCGTCAGTCTATCGTTCTGTTTTCAGATGTGGGATAAAAGGGTGCACAGTTAGAATTCCACCAGAGCAGTTTACAGAGGCCCTGAACTTCTTTGTTGGCCAAAACTTCAAGAAGTTAAAACCATCCACAAGTATTGTGATTGACATTTTTATCCAGTCACCATGTGTTCATTTTTGAAAATATTTTGACCGTTGCCTGGATGGATGTGGACTAATAAACTGTTGACATTTTCGTGTATAGGCCTGTAAGTTGCTCTCTGATGACTACGAGCAAGTGCGCAGCGCTGCAGTCCGGCTTATCTGGGTTGTCAGTCAGCTGTATCCTGAGAGGTCAGTGAGTATAAGCCGAATTTTGTTGCTAAACCTTTTTCTCTCCTACTATGCAGAAAATCCACCTCCACAAAAGCAGTGTTGGTTAGAGTTTTTTTTTTTTAAAGATTTATTTATTTATTGGAAAGTCAGATATACAGAGAGGAGAAGAGACAGAGAGGAAGATCTTCTGTCCGATGATTCACTCCCCAAGTGAGCGCAATGCCCGATGCTATGCCGATCCAAAGCCTGGATCCAGGAACTTCTTCTGGGTTCCCATACGGGTGCAGGGTCCCAAAGCTTTGGGCCATCCTCAACTGCTTTCCCAGGCCACAAGCAGGGAGCTGGATGGGAAGTGGAGCTGCTGGGATTAGAACTGGCGCCCATATGGGATCCTGGCAAATTCAAGGGGAGGACGTTAGCCGCTAGGCCACGGTGCCAGGCCCTGGTTAGAGTTTTGAAAGGTGGGATACAATTGAGAAAAACCACAGACCCTGAAACTCAGAATGCCTGACCCCTTATTTTCCATCTCTGCTGTTAACTTTCCGTGTATCTTCGGAAAGTTAACTTTAGCTCTCTGAATTCCAAATTCCTCGTGTGTAAGAGAAGAGATTGATCTGTTTTTAGGGGCTTTCAGCACTTTCTCATATTTTGATTTTTCTACAAATGTTGGGGACCTCTTAGTTTGGGGCCAAATTTTTGCTAAAACTACCTGTTGAGTTTGAGAATAATGATCCCTAATGTAATGTTTTTGAGATAAGAGTGTTTATAACAGTTAAGTCACTGAGTCTCACAGTGAGTCTTTGGGATGGAGAGACAAATAATACTTATTCTGTTCTGTTAAACGGGCTTCTAAAATTTAAAAACTAAAGTGAATTGACAGTGTTAAATAGACGTGGGCTCCATTTTTAATTTTTTTGAATTTACGTCCCCGTGCCATTCCTGCCATGTACACACACGTGCTCTCACATATTCACACAAAGACTAATTGGAAGATCCCTCTTCATTTAGACCCAGATTTACTAGTATGTTTCATATTGACTTATTCTGAGATTTACTGTATTTATAACATGAGTTATAATTACAATTACAGGAGTTAAAAACATATAAAATATGTTTTGCCTGCTTGTTTTTGTTTTCTTCATCTATCTTTGAACTTTTGGTGAATTATATAATTTTATTTTCAAAATACTGTAAATTTGCAGTGCAGCTGAAAGAGGGTTATAGGGTTTGTTCCTAAAGTGGTTTGTTTACTCTGAAATGTGTTTCATCATTCTAGGATTTGGGTTATTCATTTTATGCTTTCTAAATGAACCAGTTTTCTTTGGTTGATCACGGTTTGTTGACTGTGTAATCTTATGTTCATGTTTTGTCATGTGTACCTTCTTTTATTTATCTCTTAAAGCTTTTTTTAATTTATTATTATCATTTTTTCTTTTAATTTAGCATTGTCCCAATCCCTTCTTCTAATGAGGAAATTCGTTTAGTTGATGATGCCTTTGGAAAAATTTGTCATATGGTCAGTGATGGCTCCTGGGTGGTTCGTGTTCAAGCCGCAAAGCTATTGGTAAGTTATGTTTTCTTTAATAGAACACATTGCCCGTGAAGATTTATAGGCCTTTTGAGAAACTACCATTACTAATAGTTGTGACTCATTTTTAGGAATACCAGAATTTTTCTTTCCTTCCTTTCCTTCCTTTCTCATTCTCTCACTCTCTCTCTTTTTCCTTTGTCTGTAATAACTGAGGTATAGATGCAGTAGTTAGGGTTGGACCAGGCAGAATTCACGAGCCTGAAATTCTACTGAGGCTCTTATGTAAGTGACGGAGTCCTAGACACTTGGGCCATCTGCTGCTGCTGTCCCAGGCATGTCATTAGGAATATGAAGTGTGCAGCTGGAACTCCAGCCCGTGTTCCAATAAAGCATGAAGTTGGGCAATCATTGCTGTGCCATAGAGGTGGCTGCCTGAATTTCTTAATATAAAAATAAGAACTGATTTTCCTGTGGAGAAATGGTGCCAGAACCAGATAAAAATTTCAAGAACAATCCTCTTTTAGACATTAGCTAAATGATTCACTGCTCAAGTAACCGCAACGGCCAATGCCATGCCGATCCGAAGCCAGGATCCAGGAACCTCTTCTGGGTATCCCACATGGGTGCAGGGTCCCAAAGCTTTGGTCCATCCTCGACTGCTTTCCCAGGCCACAAGCAGGGAGCTGGATGGTAAGTGGAGCTGACAGGATTAGAACCAGCGCCCATATGGGATCCCGGTACGTTCAAGGCGAGAACTTTAGCTGCTAGGCCATGCCGCCGGGCCCCATTAGCTAAATGAGAAAGCCAGGTCTAGAGAAAAGAAGCAGAGTGGCTGTCATTCACTAAGCACCTTTGGGATCCTACATGGATTGCTTACGGTTAAGCTGTGGGGACAGGTTGAACATATGAGGCCCACAAAATCAGTTGATCTGGCCTTGCCAAAAAATTGCAGGTGGGACTCAAACTTCAATAAATCTATAATTGTGTAATTTTTGGCTTAATAAATTTGTATGTGCTGTGACTGATGTTATGAATATTCTGGTGGTTCTTGGTAGAGAAAAGATTCTCTGCCCCGAACATGAAGGTCCTTTACATGCATTTTATCATTTACTCTTCACAATTAGCCTACAGATTGGATGCTATAACCCCCATCTTCCAGATGAGAAAATTGAGGCTCTGAGACTTTACATTATGTTGTTCAACAGATACAAATGTTTGGAGTGGAATTTAATCCAAATCTACTTTAACCTGACATTTTCCTTCTATGTTGGCTTTCTGGATTCGTATCACATTTACAAAACAAAGTTTCAACATTGAGGGGACATAGCTGTCATTAAAAAAAAAAAGATTAGTTTATTTATTGAAAGTGAAAGTAAGAGTGAGAGAGTGAGAGTTGGATGTCTTTCACCTGCTTATTTACCACTACAACCCCCCTTCCCGCTCCCCCTACCCCCCACCCCACCCCCCAGCCGCAACACACACATTGGTCCTGAGGGCTCAGGACTGAACCAAACTGGATCGCAGAGCTAAGAACTTTATCAAAGCCCTCAACATCCATTACAGGAGCCCAAATCGTTGGCCTATCCTTTGCTGCTTTCTCATGCTATTGGCAGGGAGTTGGATAGGAACTGGAGCAGCCAGGACAAGAACTGGGACCATACGGCATGCTGGCATCTTAGGCCGTGGCCTTACCTACTATAGCACGATGCTGTTCCCACTGTAACTGTCTTATAGTAGGGGAAGTGTTGATCTGATACATGGTTATTTTTATATCTGCATTACCTTAGCCATATTACTTGGTCTTAATGGGGTTCCAATGTCTCTTACATTTACCTTATAGTGTTGTCATGATGCTCAAATGGGCTACTGTTTGTGAAAAAAGCTCTGTACTATGTGAGGTAGAGGAATTATAATAAACATGTAAGTGTATCAGTTAAGTTGCCTCTTGGGATGCCGGTATCCTATATCAGAGTGCCAGATTGTAGTCCTGGCAGCTCTACTTCTGAGCATTTCTGCTCATGCATCCTGGGGAGTTAGCAGATGATAGCTCAAATGCTTCCACCCACATGGGAAACATTGATTGAACTTCACCCTCTTGAATTTAGCCTGGTCCAGCAATGGCTATTGTAGGCATTTGTGGGGCAAACCACCGGATAGGAGGCTAAAACCCTCACCTTGCATGCCTATAATCTCATATTGGTGCCTGTTCATATCCCGGTTGCTCCACTTCCCATCCAGCTCTCTGCTTGTGGCCTGGGAAAGCAGTCAAGGACAGGCCAAAGCCTTGGGATCCTGTACCCATGTGGGAGATTCAGAAGAGGCTCGTGGCTTTGAATTGGCTCAGCTTCGGCCATTGTGGCCACTTGAGGAATGGAGCAATAGATGGAAGCTATTTCTGCCTCTGTCTCCTCTCTGCAAATCTGACTTTCCAATTAAAAAAAAAAAAAAGGATAACTCTTAAAAAAATACAAAGTGTGTGATGATACTTCCCACTGTGTCTTCCTGCCCTGCCTTGCTCCACCTTCTCTCCTCCTCTTTTTCTTGCTTTGAACTTCCACTTAAAAAAGAATTGAACTGGGCCCGGCGCAATGGCGCAGTGGTTAAAGGTCCTCGCCTTGCACGCCCCGGGATCCCATATGGGCGCCGGTTCTATCCCGGCGACCCCACTTCCCTTCCAGCTCCCTGCCTGTGGCCAGGGAAAGCAGTCTAGGATGGAACAAAGCTTTGGGAACCTGCACCTGCGTGGGAGACCCGGAAGAGGCTCCTGGCTTCGGACCGACGTAGTATTGGCCTTTGCGCTCACTTGGGGAGTGAATCATCGGACGGAAGATCTTCCTCTCTGTCTCTCCTCTCTGTATATCTGACTTTCCAATAAGAAAATAATAAAAAAATAAATCTTTAAAAAAGAATTGAACAAGCAGCAAGTAGTAAGTGGAAAAGCTACTGTTCTTCCTGAGTGTAGATAAGGGCTGTGACCAGTAATCAAATCTCAAAATGTCAATTTCACTAATGTACATTTCATATATATGAGGAAGGTCTTGGCTCATGGCTTCAGATTGGCTCAGCTCTGGCTGTTGCAGTGAAGTGCTGCAAATTTTATAGGTAATTATGTTTTATTCAAATGTTATTAGTAATCTAATTTAGTAATAATACTCACTGGTAGGACTTATGAAACACTCCCGTATATTAGATGTGCATGTAGTTACATGGGCACATATATAAGTACTCATATATTCATGTTTTTATAAATAATAAAAAAAAGGTTTATTTGAAAAATAGGGTTACATAGAGAGAGAAGGTGAGACAGAGAGGTCTTCCAACCACTGGTTCAGTTCCCATTGGCCGCAAAGGCTAGAGTTGGGCCAGTCGTAAGCCAGGGTCAGGAGCTTCTTCCAGGTTTCCCACATGAATGCAGGTACCCAAGGCTTTGTTCCCTCTTTCCTTGCTTTCTGAAGCACTTTAATAAAGAGCTGGAGAAAAGTGGAGCAGCTAGGACTTGAGTCAATGCCAGCACTGCAGGTGGAGAATTAACTTACTATGCCATGGCACCGGCCCCTGCAAAAAATTTTAATCCTTTTATACTCTTTGAGTGAGAGATTATTGCTCATTATATGCATAACAAAACTGATGTTTAGAAAAGCGGTGAAATTTTTACATGACTACATGGGTACTAAGTAACAGGTCAGGACTTCAAATTTTATTAATCTGATGCTCAGGTATATCTGTCCCTGGTGAGGTTTGGGTGACATTGCAAGAGTGATTGGGTAGTAATTGCCCTGCTGTTTACTGGTCCCTTGGTGCAAGCTGAAAGGTAAACTGCTCTGCCCTGGCTCTGGTAGACAAACCTGTGATCAGATGATTTGCATGTGAGCTTTAGGCCACATGTTTAGCAAATCAACAGTGATGTGTTCTCAAAATAGTACAGTCCCTGACTTCAGAAAAATTTATACACAAAGATAGGTCCTTCTAGGGAAGACTACAACCATCAAAGGCTTGTTGGAGGGAGTGATTTCTGAGCTGAGTTTTGGAGTGAGGGATGTGTGACCACACACGTACAAGCTAATGACAAAAGCCATATTCAAGAACTTGAAATGAGAAGACTTGAGACTTAAATCTGTCTAGTGTAAAATATGAAGTGTTCATTCTCAGTTTCAAGATGGCTTAACCATTTTCAAATGTAGATTATATCAGAAAGTTGGAAATTTCAAAAGTTATTTTTTAAAACAAGATTTACTTATTTTTGTGTGAAAGGCAGAGTTACACAGAGAGAAGGAAAGACAGAGAGAAAGAGCACACAAGGTCTCCCATCCACTGGTTCACTCTGCCAATGGCTGCAACAGTCGAAGCTGGAACAATCCTCAGCCAGGTGCCTGGAGCTGCTTCTCGGTCTCCCATTTTTATGAAGGACCAAAAGACTGGAACCATGCTTAGATTAATTTTATACATAATAGTTTATAAAATTGTATCTTCGTGTCAATTTTAAAATAACAAAACTTTGGGATTTTTATTTTTACAGGGCTCTATGGAACAAGTCAGTTCTCACTTTTTGGAGCAGACTCTTGACAAGAAGCTGATGTCAGATCTGAGGGTAACTTGAATTCTTTGTTTATTTGCACTGAGTTTTTTTCATTTCTTCTTTTTTTTTTAGTAGGTGCAAAATATTTTATTTAAAACAATGTAAGACATTAAAAGGCAAATGTCCATTATTTAACAAACATATTATCTAATTAACAAATATATGTTATTTAACCATGAATAGTAATTGTATGGAGCCTGTGAATTTTCTGAAGTGTGCTAGACACTTCCAGAGAACTAAATACTTATCCCTTTTCAGCTCTAATACAAATAATGGTTGATTTGATGGAAAATATTCAGAAGGCTTTATAATTATTCAGCATCATCAACTTAGGTTCAATCTGATTAGACAAGTAGAAGTTTTGTCCAAGATACTCGTAACACTTGACTCTTCTATAGGAATTTCACAAATATTAACAAAACTGTCTTCCTTCTTTGCCTCTGAGTGTTCGAGTATGGTGTCGTGTATCCACTATGGATACTGATTCTAGATCAGCCCAAGGGGCCTCAAGCATTGAAGGCTTCAAAAATTTTTTGACATCATTGGACATTCTTTTTTCTCTACCACATGCTGATCCATACAGTGTAAATGTCCTTGTAGAACCCGGGAAAGACGTGGTTCTGCAGGTGCCAAATTGCTGCTGGGATTTGCAGGGAACTTGCAGTACCCCGGAAGCTGCTCCTGGTGCTTCGACTTCCTACACCCAGGCCGGGGGAAGCAGTAGTTGTGGGTTGAAAGTTCTGTTGGCTCATATAGGAGCTGAAGGCAAAGATTTCACTGCTGTGCTTTCCCACTGGAACTGCTGCGCTAGGTTTCTTAGTTCGTATCAGTGTAGCTATATGCTGAGTTGTGTAGGTGTTAGTTAACAGCCCTTGCATTCAATAAATTAATGTAAGTTAAGACTACTGTTTTTTAGTAACTTGATGAAAATTATAAGCTGCTTTATTAAAATTTATTTTCTTATAATAAAACAGGTTGAAACAGGTTGGTACAAGCAAGATACAAGATTAACTTTCTAGTGCCTGCCGCAGTAGCATAGCTGCTAAACACACACCCAGGATCCCATATGGTCATTGGTTCTAATTCTGTCAGCTCCACTTCCCATCCAGCTCCCTGCCTGTGGCCTGGGAAAGCAGTCAAGGACAGCCTAAAGCGTTGGGACCCTGCACCCATATGGGAGACCCCAGAGGAAGCTCTGGGCTCCTGGCTTTGGATTGGTTCAGCTCTAGCTGTTGTGGCCACTTGGGGAGTGAATCAATGAATTGATCTTCCTCTTTCTGTCTCTCCTCCTCACTGTTTATCTGACTTTCCAATTTAAAAAAATATTCTTTAACAACAACAACAAAAGATTTATCTTTCTGTATTAGACGCACAAAGTTTTGGACTCATGAGGTGTTATGACATCAGGAGTTCTTTTCAATAGCAGTTCTAGTGCAAGAGTAAGTGAATCAAATATAAGGCCAGAGAAATCAGTTTACTTCTATTATCACTATCCTAGCACACCAACTTTGGCAATTTTGTTGTATCTTTCTAGTCCGTTTTCTTGTACATTGCTTAAACAGTGAGTCACTGTATGAAGATTAGCACTGTGTCAGGGGACTTGTTTCATTATTGCTAATTTAATAAATATCATTTTACAGATTGTATATGTTCTTAAGTAAACTTGCTGTCTCCTTTTAGCATTTTCAGTGTATTAAATATCTCCTGATTTTCTGACATTGTATATCACACAAATATTTGTACATATTATACCTTTGTTTTCATTATTTCATCTGATAAATTTTTAGGAATGCTGGTATAGTTGATATTTGTGCTTTTTTTTTTTAAAGATTTATTTTTATTATTATTTTTATTGGAAAGGCAGATATACAGAGAGGAGAGACAGAGAGGAAGATCTTCCGTCCGATGATTCACTCCCCAAGTGAGCGCAACGGCCGGTGCTATGCCGATCCGAAGCCAGGAGCCTCTTCCGGGTCTCCCACGCGGGTGCAGGGTCCCAAAGCTTTGGGCCGTCCTCGACTGCTTTCCCGGGCCACAGGCAGGGAGCTGGAAGGGAAGCGGGGCTGCCGGGATTAGAACCGGCGCCCATATGGGATCCCGGGCGTGCAAGGCGAGGACCTTAACCACTGTGCCACCGCGCCGGGCCCGATATTTGTGCTTTTGAAACACTGTTATATGTCTTTCTCAAGGATACTTAATTTGTGGTTGGTGTTTAATGTGGTTGATATCATTGAAACATAGAGAATGGTTTGTGGAAATGCTGGAGTTTCCAAGGCACATGCAAGGTGAATGAGACCCATGTTCTCTTAGGGTTAGCTGATGTGTCTCATTGTCACTGAGATGTCAGCCCTGCATTATAAACTCACACTGAGATTCATGAAAATGTGATAAGTAGTGGCGGACTACTTTTTCATTCATTTATAATGAAAACTAATAGTTGAGTGGACTGAACACTTCCTTTGCTCACTGTTGTATTCCTTGTTTTATTTATATATTTATTTTTATTACAAAGTCAGATATACAGAGAGGAGACAGACAGAGAGGAAGATCTTTTTTTTCTTGAGAGGAAGATCTTCCGTCTGATGATTCACTCCCCATGATTCACTCCCCAAGTGACCGCAACGGCCGGTGCTGCGCTGATCCAAAGCCGGGAGCCAGGAACCTTTTCTGGGTTCCCACACAGATGCAGGGTCTCAAAGCTTTGGGCTGTCCTCGACTGCTTTCCCAGGCCACAAGCAGGGAGCTGGAGGGAAAGTGGAGCTGCCGGGACCAGAACCAGCGCCCACATGGGATCCTGGCATGTTCAAGGCAAGGACTTTAGCTGCTAGGCCATGCTGCCGGGCCCTGTTGTATTCCTTGTTCAGCAGTCTGTGTGAAAAGGGGATTTTCTAGGTTATTTGTGATAATTTGTTAAATTGTTACATTGTTGCTAAATAGTACAGTCTTACACTTCTAGCTGAGACAATTTGCATTCTTGAGTCAGTATAATGGTTGAGCACTGGCACTATGCTTCTCTGCCTTTTCCTTTTCTGTGGTTATGGCAAACATAACCACCTGTCTGACAACACCTGTAATTATCTCCATCCTCTGAAATTTGGTTGCAGCCATTTATTAGCAGACCTTGAGCATTGTATTCAGTTTCACTTGTAAGTGCAATTTGGATTTTTCTGAGTAATTTTTATAAAGTGTGAGCTCTCAAGAGATCAGTTTGATTTGCAGCTTTCCTAGATTCTTAGGGTACACCTTATCACCCTTCCGTGAGCCTCCTTAGATTCGGGATCGTTGTGTTCCCTACAGAGGAAGCGTACTGCACATGAGCGGGCCAAAGAACTTTACAGCTCAGGGGAGTTTTCCAGCGGCAGGAAGTGGGGGGACGATGCACCCAAGGAGGAAGTGGACACTGGGGCAGTGAACCTGATCGAGTCAGGAGCTTGTGGAGCATTTGTTCATGGGCTGGAAGATGAGATGTATGGTAAGTATGCATGTGTCATAGTAATCGTAGCCGTTCACTGAATGACTGCTCTGTGTCAGGATTGTGTGAGGTAATATACATATGTTGTCTTGCTTTGTCCTGAAAAATGTGCAATAGCTATTTTGGTTTTTATTTTACAAACAAAAGAGGCTGAGGTGCAGGTTCAGACCATGGGCTTTGAGTTCATTCAGTCTGTTAGCATTTCAATTAAATAAGAGCAATAAGTGTCTTTCTGAATTAGCAGAATTAATGAGGAGGTGTGTGCATGTATGCGATGAATCACTTGTTACAATGTATGAATTATATATAATAAGCACTTATTTATTGGTAGTAAACACTGCTATTGATACCCACAATAATTTCTTCTTAGTCACTTGGCTAGTGAGATAGAACCAAGATTTAAACTCAGGGAAGACTGACCACAAAATCTTTATATGACTTCATTGAAATCATTCCTTTATTATTAAAAAATATTTTCAGGGCAGATATTTTGTCCTAGTGGTGAGGATACTCCCGTCCCATAGCTGTGCCTGGGTTCTGTTACTGACTGTGCTTCTAGCTCCCACTTCCTAGTAATGCACACCTGGGAGGCAGTGGTGATGACTTACGTAGTTGGGAGCCTGCCACTCAGGGGAGAGACTTGGCTTGAATTATTGGCTTACTGTTGAGTATTTGGCAAGTGACCAGCAGATAGGATCTTTCTTCCTCTCTTCATCTTTCTCTTATGGGAATAAAATTTAACTTAATGCTTTCACCTTTTTAAAAAATACCTCATTTATTTCAAAGGCAGATTGTCATAGAGAGGAATAATCTTCCATTAGCTATTTCACTCCCCAAATGCCAGCCCTCTCTGAAGCTAGGGCTTTCCCAGGCACTTTAACAGGGAACTAGTTCATAATTGTAGCAGCCAGTATTCAAATTGGCACCCATATGTGATGCTGGCAGTACAACTGACAACCCACCGTACCACAATGCCTCCCATCACTCATCATCTTGGAAAGGTAGTTTTCTGGCTCCTTCTAAGATCAACAACCCTTATATTCTTTCCTCATTTTCCGGTACATGTACAACTACTTGTCCCTTCACTACAAAGGATAGCATAAGTACTTAACACTCATATGAGAGGCTCATATGGAATTCCAGGCTCCTGGCTTTGGCCTGGACCAGCTGTGGCCACTGCAGCCATTTGGTAGTGCCCCAGTGGGTAGAAGGTCTTTCTCTCTCTCTTTCAAATAAATAAAAAAACCTTTGAAAATTCCATCAAGGGTGTTTTTCACGTCAGATATATATTTTCATTCTTAGTTCAATTAGAATTTAAGTCTTTCTGATGTCTTCTGTTACTACTTAATATTCTTATCCCAATGTCCTTGTCCTTGTCCGTATGTTTTCTGGTTCTTTCTTTCTTTCTTTCTTTTTTAAAGTTTGACCTTTGTTTAATTGAAAGGCAGGGAATAGAGAGGGGCAGACAGAGAAAAATAGACCAATTATCTGTTCATTCACTCCCTAGGTGCCACAACAATTGGTGCTGGGCTAAACTTAAGCCAGGTGCCAGGGACTCTCTGGGTACCCATGTGGGTATAGGGGAGTGCTTGAACCATTCTCCACTGCTGGGTCAGAAACAGTCAATATTGAACCTACACTTCGATATGGAATCTGGCATTACAGCTGGTAGCTTAGCCAGCTGTACCACAATATTGGACCATGGCTTGGTTTTGCTTGATTTTTTTTCTCCTTATCATGGACTATATTGTTGTGTTTTCTTGGCATGCCTGGTAATTTTTATTTGTATTTTGTTATTAAACATTTGTTTTGTAGACAGACAAAGAAAAGGAAAGATGTAGGCAGAGAGAAGATATTCGTGTACTAGCTTGTTCCACACATGCCTGCGATAGCTAAGGATCTTGATAGTCTAGGTCTTCCGTTTGGCTTAGCCTCGAATCTGGTGCCTCCAGGGAGCATGTTCGCAGGAGACCAAAACCAGAAACTGATCTGGAACCTGAACACAGGCACTTTGATATGACTATCCCAAGCACTGTCTTCACTGATGTGACAAATGCCTGGCCCCGGCCTGGCAATTTTCAGTTGGATGCTACATGTTATGAATTCCACATTATTGGACATTGGACATTGTTTCTTATTGTTGTAAATGTTTTCGAGCATTTTCTAAGGTGCATTTTGCTCAGGTCTTATTTTTTAAGTTTTATTAAAGAAGGCCATAACTGCATTTAGTATAGGGCTTATTCTTTTTCCTTTATCAAAGCAAAACTCTGAATAAACTATTACAAGACTTTGTGTGAACTCTGGGGATTGTCTCCTCTAGTCCTTTGGGTTATTCTTTATCAGGTCTCAGGCTTCTTCACAGATCAGAACTCAGCTGAAGACCTGAAGGGGAACCCTTTGCCAGTCTCCCCGGTTTTCTGTCTAGCTACATTGGTCTCCCCAGATTTTCAGCTGTTAGCTCAGCTCAGGGAAATGTGTGATCTTGAAATTCTATAGGCACTAAACTTTTGTAATGATGAAACTCATCCCATTTATATCCTATCTTTCAGGGATTTCTGTCCTTCTTTACTTTAGATGAAGGGTCTGGAATATTGTTTCACATATATTCCTGTACACTTTTGGTCGTTGAAAAACTACATGACAGTGATCCCAAAAGATTATACCAGAGTTGAAAAATTCCTATCAGTTAATGAAGTCATTGGTTGTTGAAGGCAAAAAACAGACCATATGACCCAAAGATCTCGAATCTCAAACATTCTGGGCAGAGAATTCTTCAGGAAGCAAACTTCCTGCCGAGATTGTGGGCTGCCTTGCTATTGAAGGAAGCGTGCCTGGGGTGGTGTGAGGCATCCTCACCATCTTCCTTTTCTTTTTGTGATTGTGGCCTAAACATATCTGAGTACAACTAAGTTCTGTTAGATTCCTTTTCTAGTTAGATCCCTTTTGTAGTTCAATATGTTTCTTTACCGGTGTTGGTTCCTGTAAATCATGTTTACTTATTCTTTTGCTTGGAGCCTGGTGGTTGTTTCCTAGATCTGTCCTTAGAGAGGTTGAATGCTATTGTTTCGTTAACTAGTAACTTTTGCTTGCCTTGCAAAAATCATGGTAAGCTACCCAGTAAAACTCAATAAGGTGTGCATTGGTTCATCTTGCCTTTGCATCCCATGTGTCCCAATTCTTCTGGGTATGGTTGTCACACCTCAAGTCCCAGTCCCCACTAGGGGGACCCCAGAGAATAGGTGTGTTAATGTCATAGCATAATGTGTTACTCTGTTGTTTGTGGTGATGCTGGTACATATGTTTGATAATGATAGTGACTTTGTTGATTTATGTATTTACTATAGGAGAACTATAATTTATTCATTTATTTATTTGAGAGAGAGAGAAAAAAAGAGCTCCTGCCTGCTGGTTTGCTAGCCAGATGTCCTCAGTGAATGGACTGAGCCAGATTGAAGTCAGGGGGCAGGAACTCAACCAGGTCTCCCATACAGGAGGTGGGAACTCGATTACATGAGCCATCACCTGCTACTTCCAGGGGTCTTTGTTAGTAGAAAGCAGGGAGTCAGGATCTGGGGCTGGTGCTGAGTCCAGGGACTGATACTGAATACAGGAATTTTTAACTGTAGGCTAAATGCCCTCTCTATCATTATTTCAAGTGTATTCTAGCTACTTAAAAAAATTTTAAGACAGTGTGCCATTTTATGCAAGTAGCAGCCCAATAAATTATGTAATTTGTCTCTAGATTTCATCCAGAGGCTATACTAAGTGACACAACAGTGAAATCATCTTATTGATATATTTCTCAGACTCTGCATTATGACACATGATTACAGTTTGCGACTGTCTTGTCCTGGTAGGAAAATGCTGGGCTTGTTTACCCCTTATAATCAAGTCCTATAAAGCTCTAGTGATACTGTGCTGTCTATGTCACGTAGATTACGAAAGGTCAGTGTTTTTACACTGCTTGACTGCAGCCTGCTCGTATGCAGTGAGGGTAGCAAGGCATGAGAAAAAGAACAGGGACTATTACAAGTTTTAGAATAAATTTTTGTCACACAGGATTAAAATCCTGGTCATTGATAAAAATTACTTCAGGATAGACTTTATTACAATGGCAAGAGTACTATTTGGGAAAAGGTTTTTAATTAAGATGTAAGGATTGGCATGTTATCCAGTTATCTCTATAAAGTTCCATGTACAATCTTCCTGTAGTGTTTCAGGAATATTTGTCCTGGGACTGTAGATGTGGAAATCTTCCTATAAAACATGTGCACAGCATCCTGTAAACTTTGAATCATTCTAAAGTCTCTCTCTTTTTTTTTTTTTGTTAACTTATTTTAATAATCTTAGTTGATTAGGGTAGAAAGGGTCAAGGGCTACAGGGTGAAAGTGGGTAATATCATTGTTTCCACACTAATACAATCATTTTTCCCTGTATCTGAGGTTAGGGGAATAGCAAAGGGAAAAGCCCCACCCAACGTCCCACCCATCCCCAATCCCCAACATGTGGCGCGCTCCAAGGGTCCTGCTCAAACAGTTTTGATAGTTCATCAGTGCTGGATTGCTGCCAATCTCACCGTCCCAACCGCAATGAAACCTATTCAGAGTCCACTGGCTGACAGCCTCTTGATGGTTGGGGTTCCAAGATCAGCAGTTCAGTTGGAGAAATATCCAAAGAAACTTCATCTGAGTTGATCCCAGATCTGATTCTTGAGTGAGTTTGCTAGTACAGACTCCAACACAGTTCATCACACCAACCAGCTTATGCACATGCTGGTCGTTGCTACTGCTGGGTCCATTCGGTTTCCAGCCTCGTCTTCCTCGTGAACCAATGGGTGTTGTAGTCCAGCTCGATCCTACCTACTTCATACTCGGTCTTCATGCAAACCAGTTGGAGCTGCAGCCTAGTTGGGGCGACTCCCCAGAACCCCTACCAGATCTGCCCCCTACCCTGGTTCCCATGCTTGCCAGTATGTACCGCAGGCTTGTCCAGTCTGTCTCTTAATACCTAAATACAGTAGCACATGATATATAAAGAGGTGCTATACTGAATTATTTAGGGAATAATTAATTACTAGAAAAGCAAGCCCATGCATATTCAGCAAAGATAGTTTTCTTTTGCATTTTTCAATGGAAGGTTAGTTGAAGCTATGGATGTAGAACCACTGGATACTGTAACTACTGTATACATTAGTTGAAGCACATTGTGCGATGACCACAGTTCACAGCAGTATGTTCATATTCTATGAAGAATCTAATAACAGTATCATGGGCTGTAAACATTGAAGAGAAGGAAACAAATGCTAATTGCTTGATTTCATCAGTTTGCATGTTTTATGTGTTGAAATATTAAACTCTACTCTATAAAAATGTACAGGAATTGTGTATAAATTAAAAAGAAAATGAGTTTAAACAAACTCTGCTTTTTTTAAAATAATCTGTGAACTGAAAACGTGAACTACATTTTAAATTTCAGTAGGTAATAAGGAAATCTAGTTATTAAAACCTATTTACTCTAGATAAGTAATTGAAACCAATTGGATTTTGTTCCTGTGATTTTTGTTTTGACTAGTTTCTACATTGAATTTTATCACTATTAATACTTATGCAGTTTAGTTGCACGATTTTCATCTTTTTAGGATGAGTTAAAATCCCTGACATTTGATTAAAATAGCTGAAGTTTGGAAAGTGATAAGATCATATTCAGGCATCAGGTATGAGAGATGGAAAGACAAATGGATACAGATTAATCTGTAGCTGGTTCACTTCCCAAATGCGCATAGCGGGGAAAGCTGGGAGCCAAGCAGTCAATCCAGATCTCCCAGGTCAGTGGAGGGAGCCTTCCTTGCTGGGTTCTGCATTACCTGGAAGTTGGGTCCGCAGCCTGCTACCCTGCCATGCTGTTCAGGTGTCTTCAGCCGTCATGGTGACTCACCTAAGCACATGCTCCCTCATGTGCTTTTACTGTTCTCATTAGAACTGTCCTCCAAGTTCTCATTTCCTTTGAGGACTTTGTGTATTCAGTTTCCTGCATAGAAAGGCCTTTTCTTATTTTTGAACTAGTAACTACTTTAGGTATTAACTGGTGGTTCACTTGTTTCAGAAAGCTGACTGTGGTCCTGTTAACCGAGCTATGTGCCTATTTTGCCTTTTTTTAAAATTCACTGTGGTTTTCCACGGTAACATTCTTTACTTTGTAATGCTATTAATTTTTCTTGTTTGTAAGTATTAAATTACAGCCTTGTTCTTTTTTATCTTTGTATGTCCTAAGAACAAAGCTAGTGAGTCCCTAAGCCAGGATCTGATTATGCATGTGTAGGTGCTGCTGATCTGCCTGTATTTGCTCTGTCTCTTGGCTCCTAGGCCCTCGTATGGAGTTACAAATTTTCAACATTTCAGAAAGTCCTAAAGCAAATTTTGATTTACTTGCATGCCGCCATGCTATAAAACAGGAGAATAAAATAAAAGATTTCCAAGCTTTGGTAGGAATTCCATCAAGTCAGATTACAGCAGAAGTTCCCTTTTGATTTGCTTCATGGACTTGCAAAGGTTATACGTGTGTCAGTGTGGTGCAATGGATAAAACCCCAGTAAGAAGAGCCAGAAATTAGCATGCTTAGGTTCATCTCTGACTTATTAATGATCATTAGGAATTCCAAGCTTAAATTTTATTATTTTGAAGTGGAAAAAAGCTTTCCCTTCTCATGAGAAGAAAGAATTCATAAACACCAAGAATAATGTGAATCATCTCCCTTTAATGTAATAACTAGTTTGAATATATCTTGGAAACTTAGAAAAAAGCAGAGCATATTTGTAAGTCTTAAACATGATTTTAATTAAGTTTTTAAATTTTAAAAGAAGCTATATATTATGTTGTAGGATCGTTTGGGGGTCATCGAAACAAAACAGTCCACGTTTGTGAGCATGTCGGTCTTGTACTTATTTCTCATTTGTGTGTCCCTCTTAGTACAGGCCCTAGCATTAGAGTTTTAATGTTCAGGAGGTATTTGTTAGTGAACAACTGAAGAGCTTCCTGGACTTGGTGACTTAAAGTTATGTGTTGTGAATGTACATAAAGAGTTAGATGTTTTATAGGAGCTTGTAAAACCCATACCTGTGCCCTAGCTATTGTTTATTGAGCTTTTAACATAGACCAAGTGGAATGCTATATGCTTTTGCCTGTGTTAGCTTATTGAGTCCTAACAACTCAGTAAGGAAATGGCTGTTCTCTACTTAACAGGTGAGAATTGAGGTGCCAAGAATTTAAGTTACTTATTTAAGATGACCTTCCAAATTAGTGGAGGAATCATTCTCCATCATTGCTCTGAGACCTTTGCCATATAACACGTACCCTTAACCATTTATGATAATATCTTAGAATTAGCAGACCTGGGTCTGCTTTCACTCTGAGGCAGAGCGATTTGCTCTGCCTGATTAACCCATGTTTCCAGTTCACAGATTTTTGCTCTCACTCTGAAGCAAGTTAATTAAATCACCATGTTGGATCTTATCTCTGAAATGAAAATAATATCTAGATAATATTAATTTATTATCTATTTATTTTTAAATAGTTGACACTCCGTAGTTTATGTATTTATTTTTTAATTATTTTATTTTATTTTGAAAGGCAAATTTACAGAGAGAAGGAGAGACAGAGAGAAAGGTTCTCCATCCACTGGTTCACTCCCCAAGTAGCTGCAACAGCCAGAGATGAGCTAATCCAAAGCCAGGAGACAGGAGCGTCCTCTGGGTGTCTCACGTGGGTGTAGGGTTCCAAGTCTTTGGGCCATATTCTGCTGTTTTCCCAAGCTGTAGCCAGGAGCTGGAAGGGAAGTGGAACAGCCGGGACATGAACTGGTACCCATTTGTGATCCCGGTGCATGCAAAGCAAAGATTTAGCCATTAGGGTCTAGCCTTAGGCCCAATTATTTTAATTTTAATAATGATAATAGAGGCCAGCACAGTAGGTAAAGCTGCCCCACCCTCATGCTATATGGAGTCTGGTTTGTGTTCTGGCTGTTTCGGTATGTCGCAGCTCCCTGATGGTGGACTAGGAAAACAGTAGTGGATGGCCCTTCCACCCATGTGGGAAGCGGGTGAAGCCTGGGTTTTGACTCATGGGTTTGGCCTGGCCAAGACAAGGCCGTTGTTGCTATCTAGAGATGTGAGTCAGGCAGATTCCCTGTTTGTCTCTCCCTCTTCTACAACATTAACTCCTAAATGCAGGCATTGATTAATTTAATAAAACTTTTAAAAATGAATAACTGACATTTAAAAAAGCTTTAGTGTGATTGAAATGTTGAGGTAAGACAACATAGTTTTGAAGAGATTCAATTCATAGTGACAGATACGTGACTTGATCACATGTATATAGTGTTAGGTTAAAACCTTGGTTCTTGTAATCCTGTTGAGTGAAATAAGCTGGACCCAGAAAGACAAATGCCACATGTTGTTTATGTAATTGAAGCTTAAAAAACATAGAGAAAAAGAAATATCTGTAAGTATCAGTATTGCTGCAAATATGGTTTTGTAAGACTTTGTTTTATGTTTGTCAAGTCAGTGGTTAAGAAGGTCATACTATAGTAGTTTTAATGATCTGTGATTACTTTAAAAATTACTGTTTATGAGTGAAATAGTCTTTTTCCATTTAGTTATTATTTATAGTTATTGTCTAATATCTCTTTTGCTTTTTACTTGTTAAACATTCCTTTTTCTGTAATGTAAATTTAAAATATGTTATTTCAAAAGCTGAAAAAAGAAAGGAAGGAAGACTGTCAGGAGGAAGGGAATATCATCATATTCTTAGAAGTGAATCTGCAGATCACATTGAATGTGTTGAAAACTATTTAAAATAATAAACAAATAAATAAAGAAAATGCTATTTAAAAATAGAGAAGTAAACCTTAGTCTTTACACATAGTCCATGTCTCGGATCATTGTGAAGTGGTAACTCATTCGGAGGACAGGTAGGAGCCCTCCAGCGAATGTTTACTGAGAGGATTGGACACTGGAAGCCAGACTGAATGAGGAGTCCATGATGGGTTACTCCTGTGGCCCCTCACTTTATTGGTGATTCTGTTTGTCCCCTTTCCATTAGAGGTCCGCATTGCTGCGGTGGAGGCACTCTGCATGCTGGCCCAGTCCTCGCCTGCTTTTGCTGAGAAGTGCCTTGATTTCCTGGTTGACATGTTTAATGATGAAATTGAGGAAGTGCGCCTGCAATCTATACATACCATGAGAAAAATTTCCAACAATATCACTCTCCGAGAAGATCAGCTTGACACTGTCCTGGCTGTGTTAGAGGTGAGTGCTTACAAGGTGTTACTTATTTCTTTGTCAGATACCTGCTGAGTGTCCTCCCCAACCCCTGCCCTTTTATTTTATTTTAAAGATTTGTCTATTTTGATTGGAAAGTCTGATTTAGAGAGAGGAGACACAGAGAGGAAAATGTTCCATCCTCTGGTTCACTCCCCAGGTGGTTACAACTGCCAGAACTGAGATGATCCAAGGCCAGGAGCCAAGAACTTCTTCTGGGTCTCCCACGTGGGTGCAGGGTCCCAAGTCTTTGGCCCATGATCTGCTGCCTTCCTAGGCCACAGGCAAGGAGCTGGAATAGAAGTGGAGCAGCTGGGGTGTGAACCAACACCCATATAGGATCCCAGTGCATGCAAGCCATGGATTTTAGCCAATAGGCTACCTTGCCCCCCGTCCTTTTAATGCAAATTATTTGCTAGGCCTTGGTGGTACAACAGTGTATTTAACAGCATAGTTCTGTCTTCTCATTGTACTACTCCTCCAAGATGGAGGAAGCTGGTCGGTGAACAGGAAATTTGAGTAAACTTGCTATTGCTGTTATTAAGTCATGGTGCCTTAATTACACTGGTAAGAAAAAATAAATGCTATAGTGGACATTTGAAAGAAAATCAATATTTTTTAAAGGTTTATTTATTTTTATTGGAAAGTCAGGTATATGGAGAGAAGGAGATAGAGAAAGATCTTCTGTCCACTGATTACTTCCCCAAGCAGCTGCATTGGCTGGAACTGAGTTGATTTGAAGCTTGGAGCCAGGAGCCTCTTCAGCGTCTCCCAAATGGGTGCAGGGTCCTAAGGCTTTGGGCCATCCTTTCCCACCCCACAAGCAAGGAGCTGGATGGCAAGTTGAGCATCTGGGACATATGAGATCCCACTGGGTGTGAGGCTAGGTCTTTAGCCACTAAACTACTGTGCAGGACCCAGAACTTCAGGATTTAATGAGTTTTAAAGATTTATTTGAAAGAATGATAGGGAAGAAGAAGGACAGAGACAGAAAGAAAAAATGTGCATTCATTGGTTCATTCTCCAAATGGCTGTAATAGAGAGGGGTGAGCCAGCCAAAAGCCAAGAGCCAGGATCTTCATCTAGGTCTCCCACATCAGGTACTTGGGCCATCTCTGCTTCCTTCCCAGTTGCATTAACAGGGAGCTGGGTCAGGAGTGAAGCAATTAGGAATTGAACCTGCACTCTGATATAGGATTGAAAGGGACAGCTTAACCTGTCTGCCAAAATCTTTGCGTTTGTTTGAAAGGCCATGTGACCCAGAGGGGTGGTGTGATGGCTGAGCTTGCAAAATTCAGGAGACAAGAACTCCATCTGAATCTCCCTGTGGGTGTAGGTGCTGAAGTGCGTGGGCCATCTTAGCTGCCTCCCATGTACATTAACAGGAAGCTGGGTTGGAAGTGGATGAAAGACTTGACTACTTTGATATGGGTTGCAGGTGTCCCAGGCTGTGGCTTAAATCACAATGTCAAGAACGTGAGCTGTTCAAGGAATTAGAAGGTATTTGCCATAATAGGAACATGCAGTTGAAGAGACTGGAGAGGGCAGGGAAGTGTCTCTATGTAAGTCAAAGTTGGAGAGTGTTTTCCAGCTTTGATTTGGTCATATTCTTCTTGTGACCGATAGGCTGTTATAGTGGCAAAAGATATTAGAGATAGATTCATTCAACTGTGTATATTTACAAAGAATAAAGAGATTTACTTGCTTTCAGAAACTAATAAGTGACTATGTCAGGTTGTGAACACAGATTTGCTTCCTAAGCTTTGTAGCCTGTGTGGTTCTTAGCTTATTTTTCTAGTATCTGGATTTTATTTGTGAGTACCAGAGTTTGGGGAAGTGTTCATAAATGGGATTTCCTGTCATTTCTCCCCTTCCTTTTGCCTGGATGTTAAGAAAAACAGCGTAATATTTTGTTACTCGCTTTTTGTCATACATTTTTTTTCTTTAATTTATCTTTAAAATTTTACTTGAAAATCAGAATTTTAGAGAGAGAGAGGGAGATACAGAGAGATCTTCCATCTTCTGGTTCATTCCCCAAATGGCTGCTATGACCAGAGCTGTGCTGGTTTAAAGCTAGAAGCTAGGAGTTTCTTCCTGGTCTTTCACGTGGTTTGCAGGGACCCAAGGACTTGGGCTATCTACTGCTGTTTTCCCAGGCTGTTAGCAGAGAGCTTTATTGGAAGTGCAGCAGCTGGGACATGACCCTACACCCATATAGGATGTTGGTACTGCGGACAGAGGATTATCTTGCTTTGTCACCACATGGGCACCCTATCACAGACTTCTGTTACCTACTTCAGAAAGCATATGCATTTCCTAATCATTTTTCCTTCATTTTAATTTGTTCATTTCATTTGAGCATATCTGTCACTTCTCTCTTACCTGATTTTTGCTTCTTCCCAATCTATCAGGCAACATATCGAAGAGGCTTGCCGTATTGCCTAGTGGTGTGTGTGCTAAATGCTGCTCTCCATTTTTCCATTGAACCCATAGTGTAAACCCCGCTAGAGTTGGTCAGTAATTCTCTGTACTCTAAGACTCTGAGCTTCTCCAAGGAAGCAACATTCTGGCTCTTTTCACTGATTTTTTTTTTTATTATTATATTTTGACAATGTTTACATAGTTAATTAGGGTAAAAGGTTCAAAGGCTATAGGAAAGTGGGTAAGACTATTATTTCCATATTGTTTCCTTCATGTTTAAAGGGGGATATTAAGGGAGAAGGCCCACCCAATTTCCCACCTTCCCCAGGTCCCGGATGTAGGGTATGCTCCGAGGTTTTTGCTCAAGTGGTTTTGATAGCTTCCCAAGGACAAGGCCCATGTCTTCTTTCTTTGCGAGACAGTTCCCCTCTAGTCAGCTCACTCCCCCAAATGCTCTCAATGTCCAGCCTCCCAGCTGTCTGATAGTGAATGGCAGTGACCCACCCACTCGGAGCCATCATCTGCTGCCTCCCAAGGTCTGCATCCCAGGATGCTGGAGCTGGGAGTTGAATACAGGTAGTCCAGTGGCAACTGGGGCACCATTCCCCTAAGCCAAATGCTTAGCTAGAAGCCAGTGTCTTTCCTCTGCGTATCTGATTTTTATACCCAGTACCTTGCAGTGTCTGACACAGTTAGGTGCTCGGTAAATGTTTGCCATGTGGCTGTGTCCCAGAGTAGGATTTCATGTACAAAATTGCTCACAGAGCCAGAAGTATGCTGTTTGTGAACACTTTCATATGTAGCCCACAAATGATATATAAAGTCCTTAACATGGAATTCTGTTCAAGTATTTTGAATCCAGAAACTCATTGTGTCTGAGCTGTTCCTCCGCCCTGCTCCTTATTACTCCCTTGTGCTTACTGTGTGAGCTTCACTGCTGATGTTTTGAGCTTGCTGACACTTCCAGCCTTTTGTGGCTGCTCTGTTGTGATATCCTGCCTAGAGAAATCCATTTATCTGAAAAGCACCACTGGAAATATATTGGTGTCAAGATAGCGGTTTCAGAAGGCAGGGACCCTGCCCCAGAGCAAGATAGATAAACAGAATTCTTTCAGCTAGTATATCATTTGGAGAAGATAAATTGTGATAGAAGTGTGGAGAATTTCAGTGTGTTGAAGGGAATGGTAAAGGCTTTCTCCAGCGATAATATGTGAGTTGCATTTGAATGACAAAATAAGCTGGCTGTATCAAGACTGGGGGAGGGAATTTCAAGGAAAGGCAGCAGCAGCTATTGCAAAGACTGTATGATACAAAATATGTCTTATTGTATTTGCACAACAGTCAGAAGACTAATATAGATAATGCTGCAGGAGGAATGTGGAAAGGCGATGTGAACGGCTGAGAGCTGTGTGGGGAGGGAACAAATGAAGACCATGTTGGCCATTGTAAGATGTCTGGATTTTATTCTAAGCACTGTAGAAAACCTTTGGAGCAGTTTTGGGGTAAAGAGGGATAGGTTAATTTGCTCTCTTGCTTCATTTCTCAGAAAGATTCTCTTTTTCTTATCCCTTCAATTTAATGCATATTTAGTGAGTTACAGGGCCACGATTCTCTAGTTTCCACATTTTATCTTTTACAGCAGAATTTGTATATTTTTCTTACTTCTTGGATGAGATTATGAACTCCTCGGGAATGCCTCAGTGGTGCTTGCTCTTCACTGTATTCCTTTCAGGGTTCAATGTGATGATTTACTTGTAGTGTGTGCTTAAGAAATATTTTTTAAGCATTTATTTATTATTATTTATTGGAAGGCAGATTTCTATTCACTCCTGAAATGGTTGTCATAGCTGGAGCTGAGCAAATCTAAAGCCAGGAGCCTCCTTTGTGTGTCCCACGTGAATGAATGCAGGGTCCCAAGGCTTTGGGCCATTCCTCTGCTACTTTCCCAGGCCACCGCAGGGAACTGGATGGGAACTGGAGCAGTTGGAGTAACTAGTTTCATGTGGGATTCTGGCGTTTGCTAACAGACAATTAGCCAATTGAGCCATTGTGCCAACCCCTTGCAAAACATTTCTTAGCCCTGGTCATTTTTTGCCATTTGGGAGTGAACCAGTGGATGGAACAGCCCTCTCTCCTTCACTACCTATCTTTCTGTAACTCTGCCGTTCAAATAAATAACAATAAACTTTTAAAAAATTAAGATAAAGCATATTATATGATTCTGTTTGTGACATTTTGGGATCAAAAAAACTGAAGCAGAAAAAAAAAATTGTGGTTGCCAGAGGTTGGGGGAAGGGGAGGGCTACAGAGAATTGTAGGATAATGAAGGGATCCAGAGCTTGATGATCCAAGGAAGCTGTGAAATTCGTAGGAATGCACTCTAAATAGACTGAGTTTTAGAGAATGTATTCATGTATCAGGAAGCCTTGCTTTTTAAAAAAGATTTTATTTTTCTAAAAGGCAAAGTTAGAGATATTGGATTCACTGCTCACTTTCCAAATGACTTCAAGGACTGACCAAGCCAAATCAAGAGCCTGAAATTTCATCTGGGTTTCCCACATGGTTGAGGGGCCTGAATGCTTGGCTCATTCCATCCTCTGCTGGATTCCAAGTACATTAGCAGGGAGCTGAATGAATGCTCTGATCTGGGGTGCTGGTAGAGCAAGTGGTAGGTTAACCCACCACATCGCAAAGCAGCCCAAGAAAACCAGACTTTTATTTATTTTAAAAAAGATTTGTTTATTTTTATTGGAAAGAGTTCACAGGAGAAACAGAACGATCATTTTTCATCTGGTTTACTCCCCTGGTGGCCACAACCATTTGACCTGAGCTGATTCAAAGCAAGGAGCTAAGAGCTTCCTCTCGGCCCTAGAAGACTTTTTTTGAAAGTCTGGTTTCCTGCACCCACATTGCAGATCCAGAAGAAAATCCTGGCTCCAGGTTTCAGATTGGCTCAGCTCTGTTGCGGCTACTTGAGGAGTGGACCAGCAAATGAAAGATCTTTCTCTCTATCTCCTTCTCTCTGTAAATTCATCCAGTAAAAATAAATAAGTAAATCTGTAAAACATTTTAAAAAAATGCTTTCTATATCCCATTTCTTACTGTAAAGAACCAATGTTCCTGAGAGAAGTGACTGATTTCAGATTTATGGTGGAAATAGAATAAGATAAGCTTGTTTTATAGAAAGCAAATAGTAACTTTTGTAGATGTCTACAATCCTATTAAAAAGACCCAGGAAACAAATAATCTCTGAGTGTCCAAAGTTTTCATATGAGGAAATGGAAATATGTCCATATATATAGACTCAAATATACACACACACACACACATTTATAACATGACCTTTCAAAGAAATAAATCTTTTTTTCCTTTTAAAGATTGAATTCACGGAACAGATATTTTGCCTGTTGATTGACATTCTGTGTATGATGCCTGTCTCTTATCAGAGCATCTAGGTTCTTTCTGATGAGAAGAGCATAGAAAGCAGTGCAGACAGCTGGGAGTCTGCTAAGCCCGAGAAGACCCAGCCTGGTTTGCTGCCTTCCAGCCCTCAGCCCAGCTGTTTGAGGCATTTGGGGAGCGAATTGGTGAATGAAAACTTTTTTCCTCTCTTTTAAATTGAACCCAACCTGATCAGTCCTCAAACTGTAACTACTGTCACAGGACATAAAGACGAGAAACTGCAAAAAAACAAAAAGTGAGATGAAAAGGATTTTGTGTTTTGAAAGACAATTAAGAGGGCATATTAAAAACTGTCGTTTGTGGGCTTTATCTGAAATATTAAAGCAAACAAAACATGTGAGTCAATCAGGAAACTGTAATACTGACTTGAATTTAATATTGAGAATTACTACATTTTTAGGCATGAAATATTTTTTTTAAAAAATTTTATTACTTTTTAGGCATAATATTGGCTTTGTAGTTTGCTGTGTGATATTTTTATTGTTTAGAGTTGTTTATGAGTTAATTGTTTACCAGTGAAATGCTGTAGTTTCTATGGTATCTTTAATATTCTGCTTTGAAGAAATCTGTAAAGGTACAGATAAACAAATGAACAAATACCGAGGTAATAGTTGTTCAAATTGAGGAATTTTCTTAGGCTCTTAAACCTTCAATATCATGGTTGAATTCCAAACAGAAAGAAAAAGATTAAAAAAAAAAGGATCAGAGCTGCTATATTTGATCCTTTTAAAAATGAGTAATATTAGAGGCTTTTGCAGGAATGTCAGCCAGGAAACTTCCGACTGCTGTAATGAGAAGGTGGCTGGGGCGAAGGATGGTTTGTGGAGTGTGCATTTGATCATTAGCATTGACTGCTATTACTCCTGCTAACTTGGTGTTTTGTTTTGTTTTATTTTATTTTAAGGATTCATCCAGAGATATTAGAGAGGCTCTTCATGAACTCTTGTGCTGCACTAATGTTTCAACTAAAGAAGGGATTCATCTTGCACTGGTTGAACTGCTGAAAAACTTAGCCAAGTACCCTACTGATCGGGACTCCATATGGAAGTAAGGACCATCCCCCCCCCAGCTTACTGAATGTCATAATGTAAATAGTGGCAGTTTTGGGTGAATCATTATTATAGGTTGAGGATATGACGTTCCTTTGCCAATAATTTAGAAACCTGGTTTAATCTAATAATGCTGTCAGGAATCTGATTCCTAAAATAGAGTTCACATTTTAGATTATTTGTTACTTATCATGTAGGAAATTTTAGGTGCTTGCTGTGTGCTGATGACTGTGCACCCGACACTGTGGTAGGTGTTAAAGGTGCAGAGATGAATCAAATGGATCTCCCTTGTCTTCTAAATAATATTAAGTATTCTTTTTTCTATTTTACATTTTGTACAGGACTGCCAGCATTTTCATGGAGATTAGATATAAGACAACACTTCATATACAGTTGAAAATTCACAACCAGTTTCACCCTTAATCTCCTCTAGCTTTACTGATTATAATCTTGCTGTTAACACTGTTAGTGAACCTTCATTTGAAGAACTACTTGTGCTCATGTAATATAAAATTCATGCTATGGGAATGGGTGTTGTGGCATTTCAGGTTAAATCACTGCTGGGGACACTATATTCCATATTGTAGTACTAATTCAATTCCTTCTGATCCAGCTTTTCAGTAATGCACTCTGGGTAGACACTAGCTAAAGGTGGAGGGTCCATGCCACCTACATGGGAGACATAAAGTTCTACATTCCTTGTTTTAACTGACCTAGGTCCTTGCTGTTGGGGCACTGGGGGGCTGAATCCAAGGTTGGAAGATTTTTCTCTGTCTCTAGAGTCTCTTTGCCTTTCAAGTAGATGAATATAAATAACCATTTTTAAAAGATGAGTGTTATGTTGTTCCACATTTTAAGCCAGCTTATATGGTGAGATCACTCCAACTGTAAATAGTTCATTGATTTTCAACATAATTTGTTATTAAAAGTAAAGAGCCTTCGGCTGGTGTTGTGGTACAACAAGTTAAGCTACTATCTGTGACATTTGAGTGCTGGTTTAAGTCAGCTGCTCCATGTCTGATTCAGCTCCCAGTTGACATACCTGAGAAAGCAGCAGAGGATGATCCAAATGGACCCTTGATATAAATGTGGGAGACATGAATGGCATTCCAGCGTTCTGGCTTCAGCCAAGTCAGCCCTGGCCTTTGCAGCCATTTGGGTAGTGAGCCAATCGGTAGAATATCTGTTCTATCTCTCCCTATTTCTCTGTAACTCTGACTTTCAAATAAGTATTTTTCTTAAAAAATAAGCAGATAAAAGTAGGAAGGCTGAGAGTTAAATTAAATGTTTGGAAAACATATTAAAAACCAAAAATACAGGGCCAGTGAGATAGCCTAGTGGCCAAATCTTCATGTTGCATCTGCCAGGATTCCATGTGGGCGCTAGTTCGTGTCCTGGCTGTTCCACTTCCCTTCCAGCTCCGCTGCTTGTGGCCTGGGAAAACAGTAGAGGACAGCCCAAAGCCTTAAGACCCTGCACTTGTGTGGGAGTTCTGGAAGAGGCCCCTAGCTCCTGGCTTCAGATTGGCTCATCTCCAGCTGTTGTCGCTACTTTGGGAGTGAATCAGTGGATGGAAGATTTTTCTCTCTCTCCTCTCTGTAAAATATGCCTTTCCAATAAAAATAAATGAATCTTTAAAAAAAAAAAAAGCAGTACTAAAAATACCAAGGGAATCTTTGATCTTGATTTTATTTTTCAAATTTGTTTTTCTGTTTTGCCATTTCTTCATGAATGTCTAATTCAGCCAATTCATCATAATACACTTAATTCTGTTCAAGGAGAATGTCATTTGTGGTGTAGGGGATTTTGTGAGCGTGAAGACTTAGCAGGAACTATAGTTCTGTGGAGGCACTGAATGTTGATTAATTATGCTTGATCTAAGTTTTCTGATTCCAATTCTCAGTCCTTTCTAAAGACCTTAGCAATTTCCTGATGTGTGTTCTTGTTTATTTCAGGTGCTTGAAGTTTCTGGGGAGTCGTCATCCAACCTTGGTACTTCCCTTGGTGCCAGAGCTCTTGAGCACCCACCCTTTTTTCGACACGGCTGAACCAGACATGGATGATCCAGCATGTATCCTTTGTGCTGCCTTGGCAGGAAGAGTTACTGCAGCCTAGCTAGGGCGCCCTGCAGTTTGGTTTGTTTCCTTAGTTAAAAGCATGTGTCCTGAGGGAACCTCGTGGTTATTATTGTTAACTTATATATATTTTGTTTAAACAAGAATTCATTCTTATAATTTAATACTACTAACTATTTTTGCTGTTGCTTTAGTACTTAATGTATTTCTCACAATTGTTTTATGTTTGATACACTTTATAACCACTCCTAGACAGAGGTGTTATTCCCAGTTTGTAGAGGAAGAAGGTGAAGATAAGAGAGTTTAGGTGGTTTGTAAGAAGCGGATATGGATTCAAGGCCAGAAATTTCTGCTTTTAAAGCTATTTGTGTATTTCTGTATCTTAGGTTGTATGTAATATTATCTGCCTTCGGAGGGAGATGATGGGCTGAACTGATTACATGATTACTCTGCATCTGATCGAAGTTTAGTGAGTTTGTGATAACCGTAGGCAGTGTCTCTTAGAATTGAATTTTTTCATTAGTGGTAGTATATCTACACAAGTGTGTCCACATTCTCCCAGGGTTCTTTTGGATCCTTTTTTTAAAAGATCTTTTTTTTGTTTGTTTTCTGTTTTTCTTATTTCTTTTTTTTAATTCTATGAAATATCATTTTTATTTGAAATGCAGATTTAAAGAGAGAGAGAGAGACTTTCTAGCCACTGGTTCATTCTCCAAATGCTCATTTTGGACAGAGCTGAGCTAATCCAAAGCCAGGAGCCAAGAGCATCTTCCTGGTCTCCTGCTTGTGTGTACAAGCCCAAGGACTTGAGTCATCCTCTACAGCTTTGCCAGGCCTTAGCAGGGAGCTGGGTCAGAAGTGGAGCAGCCGGCACACGAACTGGTATCCCTGTGTGATACTGTTGCTTCAAAGCAGAGGATCAGTCTGGTGAGCCGTCATGCTCTTCTTGTCTATGGTTCTTTTGGATCAGTGAACAAATCCCCAGTTAACCAGAAAAGTGTTTAACTGAAACACAAGAATTGACTAATATGTGGGTGGTAAAGTAAGGTAAACATTATATTCTATGATTTTGCTTATTTTCACAGAGCATTTGGAGAATTTTGCTAAACTGTTGTATTCTTTTTTTTTTTTAACATTTTTGTTTGTTTAAAGGGCATGCACAGATACACAACTCACACATCCAAAGATTTCTCATCCATTACTGTTTCTTCCTTCCCCTATGCCTGCAACACCTTTGGCTGGATCGTGCCAAATACAGCTTCTAGGAACTCAGTGTTTGCCAAAGGGTGACGGACACCCAACTATGTGAGATACCACCTGCTGCTTTCCTGGGCTAGCATTAGCAGGAGACTGGAACTGGGAATGAAGCCAGTACTCAAACTTAGGCAGCCTGGCATGGGAATATTTTTTTTAAAAGCTGTATAATGAATCTGCTAACCAACATCTGACTCCTTGTTTACCACTAAGAAAGACACATCCCAGATTTTATCTCTCAAGGTGTAGTATAGCTATTTAAAATTCAGCTTCTCAGAGAGAGACTGGTTGTATGTCTTATAGTAATCTCCGAAGATATTTTGAAGTACCTGAAACTGAAGTGCTCTGAAGACTCATTCACATTTAAAACAAAACAAAGATGCTGCAGTTTTAGAAGCCCAAATCAGGTGGTTTTGGGGGTAGTTGGATAATTCTGTTACTTAGGAATTATAATTGTAAATAATGGAACTTGCTCTCAAATACAGCTTAAAGTAGATTGTTTTTTGAAGACTTTGTTTATGTACAGTAACTGAGATAGTGATAAAGAGAAAGGGCAAAGAATGCAAGGGAGAGAGAAAGAGAGGCAGAAAGACTGTAAGAGCCATGTCTGAGCAGGCTAAGGCCAGGAGCTCCATCCAGGTCTCCCACATGGGTAACAGGCACCCAAGATGTGGGGCCATTTCTGGCTTTCTAGGCACATTGTCAGGAAGTTAGATCAGAAGCAAAGCAGCCAGGACTCCAACCAGTACGTTGATATTGGATGCCAAAATCACAAGCTGTGGCTTAATCCTCTGCACCACATTGCTGGCCCCACAAATTAAGATTTTAGTTTTCTCTGATGTCAGTGAATCTGGCAGTAAGCAATGAGTTGCTGCTGCTTATTGAAGCACCACCGTATTATTCTTGGTTTTGCACATTGCTGTTTCTGTTCTATCCTGCTGTTTTTAGGTTTCCAAGATTATGACTAGAGCACTGGTCGTCTAGGCAGCAGGTTAGAGAACAAATGGCATGTTTTATTAGTAAGGAAAAAGGAAAAGCGGGTATTAGAAACTTATAAAGGATTGGGAGGCCTACGTTTAATTCTTGATTTTACCCCCTTTATAAAATTAATGAACATAGAAAACCCTGAATGTAAAAAGAAACTTTTAATACCTGAAGTTCTGATAGGTAGAGTGATCTGCTGTTCGTTTTTGATATTTTTGTTTTAAGTTAAAAAAAAAATTGGTTTATTTGAGAGGGAAAGTGATAGAGAATCAAAGAGGAGGAGATTTCTTCCTTTGCTGGCCCATTCCCCACATGTCCATCGTAGCTGTAACTAGGCCAAGTTAACGCCAAATGCCAGGAACCTGGGTTTCCCATGCAGGTCGCCGAGATGTAAGTACTCAGCCCAACATCTGCTCCCTTTCTAGAGACAATAGCCAGAAGTTGTGTCTTCAGGGGCGTAGCCAGGACTGGAGCCAGCATTCCACCTTGGGTTACAAGTATCCCAAGCAGTATCTTAATTCACTGTTCCACAACCCTTGCAACTTTTTCCTATTTTGTAACAATTTGGGGGATTTTGCTGCTGATTTTTATAATTTTGTTTCATCAATGATTATTGACAATAGCTATTTTTATTCTCAATATTGTAGAATCTGCCTTGTACACTTATATAAGGAAGAAAAAATTTATGATAACAGTATTGTGAGTTCTTTGTATGTGTCATTTTTATTTGCTTTGTTTATTTCAAAGACAGTGTGAGAGAGAAGAAATAGAGGAAAGGTCTTTTCTTCTGTTGTTCTCTTTACAAATGGCCGCAGCAGCCAGAGCTGGAGCAGGCTTGGAGCCAGGAACTCCAGCTGGGTCTCTCACATGGACGAAAGGGGCCTAAGCACGTGGGTCATCTTCTACCATTTTCCCAGGAGCATTAGCAGGAATCTGGAACATGAACTGGTGCTCTTGTATGGGATGTGAGCATCATAAGAGGCAGCTTAGGCCCCTGTGCCGCAATGCTGGTTCCTATGTCATTTTTATTCAGCATGGAAGTATTAGGCAGTTTCCTGAATATAGCATTGATTTAGTTTATCTCTGATTCTATAATCAGGTGATCATGTGATATTAGGTTATTTACCCAGAGTTAATGTTTTAATAAGAAATTACTGAAGAGACACAAACCTTCAACTGCTTGGCATGCTGTTACTTTTCACAGGCATTGTACCATTTCATATTTTGATGCCATACATACATGTGCTGCGTTTCTATTTAGTAGTCTTCTCAGTATTGTGAGCCATGATTTTTAATTTAATAGAATGGGGAATTATAGCTGACTGTTTGAATTTGTATTTCTTTGATTATTAGAATATCGTAGTTCCTTTTAAGAGGATTGGGGAGTGGAAAGTAGACGTGCCAGGTTTTTGCCAAATTGAACCTTTCATAATTCTGAGTTTACTTAACTAAGTGATCTGTCAGACATTGCAGTTTTGGTTCTTATTTTCAATGCTGCTAAAACCTGCCCGACAATGCCTGCACTCTTCTCCGATCATACCTTCAGGCACTATGCCTACCTCCGAGACAGTCTTTCTCACCTTGTTCCTGCCTTGAGGGTATGTTGAAAATATCTCATGTCCTTTCTTTGGTTTTGATTATTGTTGCTTTATGGTTAACATCAGAAAGCAGATTATTTGAATACAGTCAGGAAACTTACTCATTAAATTTTCTTTCTCTCTTGGATGATATCTTACTTTTTTCCCCTTTTTTCTGTATCCTTTACCTCCTTGGGGTCTCCCACATGGGTACAGGGTCCTAAGGGCCCGGACTGTCCCTGACTGCCTTCCCAGGCCACAAGCAGGGAGCTGGATGGGAAGTAGGGTTGCCAGGATACAAACAGGTGCCTAATAGGATGCTGGTGCATGCAATGTGAGGACTTTAGCCACTATGCTGCTGTACTGGGTCCTTGATTTTTTTTTTTTTTAATTTATTTGTTTTCATTGGAAAGGCAGATTTATAGAAAAAGGAGAGACAGAGCTCTCCCATCCGCTGGTTCACTCCCCAAATGGGTGCAGTGGCCAGAGGTGAACCGATTTGAAGCCAGGAGTCATGAACTTCTTCCTGGTCTCATGTTGATGCAGAGTCTCAAGGTCATAAGCAGGGAACTGGAAGGGAAGTGGAACAGTCAGGATACGAACCAATGTCCATATGTGATCCTGGCACTTGGTAGCAGAAGTTTAGCTAATTGAGCCATCATGCTGGCCCCAGATATGGGTATCTTAACTTCCAGGGTAATAAATAATCTATTTCAGGTAACTACTTAGAACAAGAATTATAATTATCCTCATATAAATCATTTTTTCAAGATGCTAGCTAAGCTTCACTGGTGATAAACACTTTCACCTTCCATGAAATAGAAAATAAAGCTTAATAATACAGCATCAGGTTAATTTTTAATCCCAAATCTATGGTTAGCAATGAATAATGCGCCATTTGTTTCTTTTTCTCCTGGCAGCTTGCTGTGTTGGATAGACCATGTTTAAATTCATTCTGTCACTCTCCTATCCTCTAAATTGTAGCACGGGAAGAGAAGGTTGATTTACTGCATCTCCTAGCCCTTTTCCTCTTAGCCCTGTTTGGTATGCGTTTTTTGTGGTTTTGTTGTGTTACCACATGTTGAGCCACAAAACGTAATGGCACTGTAACTGCCGTGTTTGCTTAGTTACCAGGTAGAAAACTGGTGTCCTCAACGATTTCCCCAAGCATCGCTCCTCAGGAGGATCCTTCCCAGCAGTTCCTGCAGCAGAGCCTGGAAAGAGTGTACAGTCTGCAGCACCTGGATCCCCAGGGGGCCCAGGAGCTGCTGGAACTCACCATCCGGTAAGATGACCTGCCCTTTTCTCTTGCAGAGTCTGCTGCTCACACTCTGCTTGAATGGCTTTCAATGCTGGTGTTGCTTATTCCACTTGATTTTCTGACTTTTAGCCTGCTTTCCCATTTGGCTTATTAACTGTTTCCATTTGAGTCAGATTGTGGTTTCAATGTATTTATTTATTTTTTTTTTTAAAGCTCTAAGTAATACAAAATTGGAATAGTTACAAATAAGTTGTTTTGAAATTTCCTTTCTTGTATGCGGGTTAGGATGGGTGACAGAAATACAAGTTGATAGTAATTTACTAGGAGGAAATTTAATTCTCTTTTGTAGGCAGGACAAGGCTGAAATGACCTTTGTAAATGTAGGCTTGTTCTTGCTTGTGTCTTCATTTTCTGCGTTAATTGGTTTTTGCCTAACCTTCCAAAATCTAATTTCTTATATATTCCAGCATACAGAAAAAACGCAAGAGTAAGAGAAAGGGCTCGTTTCCATTCCCACCCCCTTGTAAAGATCATTCAAAATATTGCACAGTCTAATTTTACTTGTATTTCATTGACTAGAATCTTAAGTCACATTCAGTCTTTGAGTATGAATGGTTAACATTTAATAACTTACTCAGGATGATACTAGGAAATAACCAATAAGTTTTGTAAGAATGATCTGAATTCTATGAAAAGAATTGGAACCCATTTGCCTTTAGTAAAAACAATATTGCTTGTTTCTTTTTTTATGATTTATTCATTTATTTGAAATACAGTTCCAGTCAGAGACACAGAAAGAAAAATCTGACAGCTGCTTCTCTTTTCATATGACTAAAATGATCCAAATCCAGGAGTCAGGGGCTTCTTCCAAGTCTCCCACATGGGTTCAAGGATCCAAAGACTTGAGCTATTCTATGCTGCTTTGTTCACACACATTAGCAAGGAGCTAGATTGAAAATGGTGCAGCTAGGTGAACTGAGTAGAGCTGGCTCATGGGCGCCCTGGTATGTGCGAAATCTGGCATTGAGAGAGATTCTGATGGAGGAGCTTGGGCAACTCCACTGGCAGGACACAGTCCCTGCAGGTAAGCGCAAGAAGCATGATAGGAAACAGTCCAGAACAGGCCATGGGAAGGTTTCCACTGGCATACATTGGCATGGGTTGGGGGCGGACCAGGCTGAACCAGTTCACAATACCCACTGGTGAATCAGAGCACCAAAACAGTGTGGGTCGAGCCAGGTTCGGTTGCAACAAAAACCAGTGCACATTACGGAATGCCAAGGTGAAGTGACCTGTACTGGATGTGACCTCAACGCCCAAATAGCACACATGAGAACCAGGGAGGGAGGGGATGGAGCCAGCAGGGGGATTATGGAGGTGATCCCTTGCCTGACAGCTACTCCCACTGGAGAGCATGAGCTGGTGCTCTGGCCAGCAGAGCCAGTAACATGGACAGGGAGAGGGTCTGGGGATGAAGCATCGACAGGAGACCAGTGATGGTAGAAGTATCTGCAAAGTCTCTCTTTATTGCTGCTTCACCTCTCCTTATATATTCTTCCCCCACATTCTCATTTAGCAGGATGTTAGATACAGATGAGTCCAATTAGTCTAGGTGTTCTTAGCCACAAACCCAATTCCTGTTCGTGCAATCATGTGGGAGACTGAGAAGAAGAGCCTGGCACCCAAGCTGCTTCTTTTCCTGGACCATAATCAGGAAGCTGGATTGGCAGTCGAGAAGTCAGGACATGATCTGGCACCCAAATGGGATGTTATCTTTCAGAAATGGATATACAGACTATACAATAATGCCATTCCCAATTAAATTACTTTAGAACTGTTCTATAATAAAGTTATAATTGGGGTGTAAAACAGCTGTTTTTGATGTGAAATTGTTGGAGCTTCATTTTTGGAATCAGTATACTTCTTATGGAACTTCATTTATATAAGGAATATAGAATTCCATGCTTGATTTCTTCAAAATCCTGTTTTGTTGTTTAGCTTTTTTAAGAGAAGGAGGTACAGAGAGAAGATTTTTTGGCTCATTCCCTAAGTGGTTGCAATGGCCAGAGCTGAGCAGATCCCAAGCCAGGAGTTTCTTCTAGGTCTCCCATGTGGGTGCAGCAACCTAAGGCCTTGGGCCATCCTGCACTATTTTTCCCAGGCCACCATCAGGGAACTGAATGGGAAGTGGATCAACCAGGCCTGAACCAGCACCACACTAGGCTATTGCACTGGGCCCTTTTGTTCAGTTTTGTGGGTTTTTTTGCTTGTTTTGTTTTTGTTTTTAAGATTTACTTATTTTTTTTTTTTTATTGGAAAGGCAGACATACAGAGAGAAGGAGCCAGAGAGGAAGATCTTCTGTCCTATAGTTCACTCCCCAAGCAGCTATAGCAGCTGGAGCTGAGCCAATCTGAAGCCAGGAACCTGGAGCTTCTTTTGAGTTTCCCACGTAGGTGCAGGGTCCCAAGGCTGTGGGCCATCTTCGACTGCTTTCCCAGGCCACAAGCAGGGAGCTGGATGAGAAGTGGGGCCGCTGGGATTAGAACCAGTGCCCCTATGGGATCTTGGCATACTCAAGGTGAAGACTTTAGCCGCTAGGCTATCGCGCTGTGCCTTCTTCAGTTTTTAATGTCAATAAAGAACAGCAGTTTTGTTGCCTGGGAAGTGATTAAGTGGTATAAATAAGTGTTTGTGGGCCCAGGTGAATATAACTTCTTTAAAAACATCCCCTGACTTTGCACTATTTTGCTTTTCAGACAATCCTTTTTGTTTCACCAAGCTACCATGAGAGAGTAGATTGCCACTTACAAATTTAGTGCTTCAAGATTATGAGAGGTTGAAAGTATCATATAGCAATAAATAACATTTTATTTGCATACTCAGTTTTTCTTCCTGTGTTTCACAGATTAATAAAATGTGCCAGTTCAGCCTATTGTATAAATAAAACAAACTCACAATATATATAAATGTGTTTTCTTCTACTATTATAAACATAATTTTTTTCATCATGGACACAGGATTACTAAAGTATCTATTCTGGTTTTACGTTATTTAAAAAGTGTTCGTTTTCTTTATGTTTTGGGAGGCAGAGAGAGACAGACAGATGGAGAGAGATCCTATGTTCAGTGGTTCCCTCCCACTACAACCAGAGCTGAAGCCTAGAGCTCGATCCGGGTCCCTCAGCGGGGGAGCCTGGTCTTGTCTCGGGCACGGAGCATGGGCTCCCCATGTGGTGGCCTCACCACCAAGCCAAATATGTGGGCCTCACTCTGGTTTTGAGTTCATTGTTGTCTCATCTGTACTGAATATAGTTTATAAACAATGAAGAGTCTTATGATAAATTAATAGGTAAAGAACAGCATGACAAAGTTTTGTAAGGACTTACTTATTTTTATTTGAAAGGCAAATTATACAGAAAGAGGAGAAATAGAGTTATCTATCCACTGGTTCATTCCCAAAAGGTCTTGGTGTCCAGAGCAGAGCTGATCTGAAACTTGAACCCAGGAGCTTCTTCCTGGTTTTCCACGTGGTTGCAGGGTCACAAGGCTTTGAGCCATTCTTGACTGCTTTCCCAGGCCACAAGCAGGGAGCTGGATGGGAAGTGGAGCAGCTGCGACAGGAACCAGTGCCCGTATAGAGGATTAGCACGCTGAGCCCCTGGGCCATCTCTGAGTATGATATATGTGAAAGAAATCATCTTACAGTCAACAGATCTGGCTTGTATTTTGTTTTTGCCACTTATTCTGTGACTTGGTATAAAATACTGAAACTTTGGTCTTCAGTTCTGTGCTCAGTGAAATATGATTAACTAGAATTCAGGTTGTGAAGATCAAATGAGCTCAAATTAGAGATATGTACATGGTAAGTACAGTGCACATAGAAAATGCTGTGTGTACCATTCTCATTAAAGAAGCTGAGGTCTTCAGATGTTTGTCTAGACTGAAGCTTCCTAGTGGCACAGAGAGGTACAGAGGAAACACTGCCACATGGAGGTCTGTTCCCAGGGCTATCAAGTTTCCATTTTGATTTGGCTAGTATTTCAGATTTCCCATCTCTAAATGGAATGAATGACTTCTTTTTCTGTGTAATTCAAAACAATTGCTGCAATGCAGGGACAGGAAAAGGACCTATAATACCTGAGGGCAGTTACACATGGTCAGCTGGTCAGTGTTTCATTTCTAAATGTTTGTCTATTTTTAATTTTTTAACTGCTTGGAGGATCATTAATCTTTTAAAGATTTATTTATTTTTATTGGAAAAGCAGATTTACAGAAAGAAGAAGAGATGGAGAGAAAGTTCTTCTATCCACGCTTCTCTTCAGTTAGAGCTGAGCCAGTCCAAAGCCAGGGGCTTCTTTGTTTCCCACAGGTGCAGGGTCTCAGGGAGTTGGTCCACTCTTCACTACTTTCCCAGGTTATATAGGAAGTGGAGCAGCTGGGATGCGAACTAGCACTCATTAGGGATGTCACACTTGGAAGTGGTTGACTAGCCAACTGAGCCATTGCTCTGGGCCCATCTACTTGTTTATTTTTTTTATGTTCAACTACTTGAGTGGCATAGTAACACACACACACACACACACACACACACACACACACACACACACACACACACACACACACACACACACACACACACACACACACACACACACACACACACACACACACACACACACACACACACACACACCTGCTTTACTCCCTGAAGCCCACACTAGGCAGGCCTATATCAAGGTGAAGCCAGGAGCCTGGAACCTCTTTTTGGTTTTCCACGTGGGTTGCAGATGGCCATCGTCTGCTGCCTGCCAGGAGGCTTTAGCTGTGAACTCAATTAGAAAAAGAATAGCTGAGATTGGATTTGTCACTCCAATATGGGATGCAAGTGCCCCACACAGCAGCTTAATTCACTGTGTCACAAGGTCGGCTCCAGGTCAGCATTCCCTTTAACTGTAATGGAAGGCAGAATCTTCCTGGAAAATGGAATGCTTCAGAAATAGAATAGTTCAAGGCTGCCTCTTTTAACAGACACCAGAGAAGTGAAAGAGGGAGACCAGCTTGTCAACACACACACGGTTTTTAGCTGTTAGTAGCTCAGGGTGTGTCTTTAGTTGTATTGGATTCCTATGAGTGAGTAGCTCTTCAGGACAGACTGAAACCACTCACTCTCACCAGAGAGAGAACATACACCATAGTCAGAATTTTCCCTATCCTTTTGGGGATGACTTACTCTGTGCCCCTTTGTCGGCACAGTAACATCAAGTCATTCTACTGATATCAAATCCTCTAGAAGTCAAGCATTGCTAGCATAAAATAATCAGCTGAGCATGTGAGGTTAGAGGGAGCGTTTAGTCCAGGGGTCAGCTTGCCCAGGCTTCTGTGAAACCTAATGTATTTCACCTGAAACAGCCTTCTTAGGGACCCAAGATTCTGGTTCCCACAATTACAAGTAGTATATAGCATTTCAATGTTTCTGTGAAAAATAGTGGAGCTTTCTGTGAATTGTGAAATGGATTGTTAGGTAGCATACATACATACACAAACACATGAGAAAAGAAGAGCAGTACTTGTTGCAGATGCACAGCATAACTGAAAGTACTGGGGCACTATACGATAGACTTGGATGGCAGGGCGCAATTATAAGAAGGACTAATTGATCATCTTCTATCTTTTGAATTTTGTATCTTATGTATAGTTCTGTACCTTGGGCATATGCTACCTATTCAAAAAGTAAAGTTCTAAGTCACTAATAATTCTGTAAAACCCCCGGCATAATTAGTTTTGTGCCCCTTTCTAATATCTTGTCCACAGACAGATGTGCTTTACGTGGATGCAGTCACTTTGTCCATACGGGTGCTGATTCATGTCCCAGCCGCTCCACTTCCCTTCCAGCTCTCTGCCTGTGGCCTGGAAAAGCAGTGGAGGACAGCCCAAGTGCTTGGGCCCCTGTGCCCACATGGAGACCTGAAAGAAGGCACCTGGCTTTGGACTGGTTCAGCTCCCAGCCATTGCAGTCACTTGGGGAGTGAACAAGCATATGGAAAATCTTTCTGTCCTTTCTGTAAATCTGACTTTCCAATAAAAATAAATACATCTTAGAAAATAGATTTTTAAAAATTAAAAAAAAATTTTTCTTGGGCCTAGCATGATGGCCTAGTGGCTAAAGTCCTCATCTTGAACCTGCCAGGATCCCATATGGGTGCCATTTCTAATCCCTGCGGCCCCTCTTCCCATCCAGCTCCCTGCTTGTGCCCTGGGAATGCAGTCCAGGATAGCCCAAAGCCTTGGGACCCTGCACCGTGGTGGGAGACCTGGAAGAAATTCCTGGATTCTGGCTTTGGATCGGCTCAGCACCGGCCGTTGTGGTTGCTTGGGGAGTGAATCATCGGACGGGAGATCTTCCTCTCTGTGTCTCCTCTCTGTATATGTGACTTTGCAATAAAAATAAATAAATCATAAAAATTTTTTTGTCTTGGAAAAAACAATTTGTTGACTGTCTAAAAAGCTTGGACAACAGTTAGTAAAAGACATTAAAAAGCATCTATGAAACCACCTTACTGTATTTTTTCTTAAGTATAGTTTTTACCTAGTTGAGATCTTATATTACCTTTTCTAGGAGCTTAAATATATTTTTTATTGGATGTGCCATAGCTTAGCAATTCCTTGACCATTACATAGTTAATAGTAACTGAGTTGTTATTGTAATAATCCACACGCAAATCATAATTATGAGTCATAAACATTTAATTTCTGTTGGATATTTCCTTTTGAATATATAACTCAATATAAAGCTACTGATGAAAATAATTTATCATCTATGTGACTTTTATAAATACAAGTTTTTCCTTCCAAAATAGTGCATCGGCAGTCATAGTGTGAGTGAACCAGTTTCGTTGTAGCCATTCCAGTATTTTTTGTTGCCATTTAATGACCTGTGAGCAGTTCACCAGATGTAAAGTGAGAAAATGCTTTCCACTTGTTCTTCTAAGTTAATGTTACCTTTGTCTTGTGTTTGGGGTGGGATTTTGTTTCCTCTAGGGATGTGCAGAGACTTGGGGAACTTCAGTCTGAATTGGCAGGTGTGGCTGACTTTTCTGCTACCTATCTTCGGTGTCAGCTGCTCCTCATCAAGGTTAGTTTGATTATTTTGGTGATACTAAGAATTAGCATTATTAGTACTTTAATAATTCTAGTAGTGTTTGAAGTCATAAGCGTAGAATCTTCTGGTCTTATGCAACCATTGAGCAGTAATAGAGAAATTATACTCTGTAGTGTAGTTGTATTTCTCTCTAATTAAAGATAGAGTACCTTATACAGAAATTTGATTGTTCAAGTTTTTAGAGATTTGTTATTATGTAATTAGAGCAGATTGAGTTTTCATTTAATTAGAATCCTAAGGATTAGAACTGTTTTATATAGTTTGATTAGAAGCAGACTTTTATACGATTTTCTCGAAATGTTTATTTCACTGTGTCAAAGTTAAAAGGTTGGTTTTATTTTTTTTTTTTAGTTTCATTATTCTTAAAGGGGCTAAGTTGCCAACCTTTCATACCAAGTAGATTATACACAAGCACAGACACTGAGAAATACAGAGTTGGTATTCAAGAAGCTATTTAGATTTGCTTTGTTAAAAACCGATTTAACTTGTTCAGTACATTTCAGTTTCCACAGCAGAAATTTGCTGTAACATTGCTGAAGATTTAGGAAATCTCTTCTTACTTGATAAGCCTTTGAAGATTCCTAGTCTTCAAAATGATTAATGGTATTTGACCAAAGTCAGAGTAAATGCAGGAGTCAGAAATTACCTTCCCTTTTCAGAGTTTGAGATTGTGCTAAATGTTACACTTGAGGTCAGAGAACTTGTTTGAATTGATGTTGGTTGTGTGCACTGATGTGGGTTGGAAATGAAACAGCTTTTATTAGGCTAGATTGTCTTATGAGTAACCACTGCCATAAGCAAGATAGGAAAAATTTCCATCACCCTCCAGTGTTCTTTTTTTCCCCCTTCTTTCCAAAGCTGTTTAGCTTTTCAGAGTTGTTTGAAATAGGGCTAATAGAAACTCTATTCTTTGGTAGTGTAAGCCTTGGTATGAAGCAATGTGAAGCCCAGTAGCTGCTCTGTACTAAGAACTCTGAAAAATGTGCTTTTCTCGCATGGCTTATTTTCTTTCCTATGGAGGTTCAAGGTGCCCTTTGAAAGAATTCACTTTTTTACAATTGGAAAAGATGATAGAGGAAAAATGAAGGGATTGATCCTAAAAGTTATATGAAACTATGTTAATTATTAATTATAAACTAATTCATAATTTCTTTATAATTTAGTTATATAATTGAAAGGCAGAGTTATAGAAAGACAGAGAGATCTTCCATCTGCTGGTCTAATCCCTAAGTGGATGAGCCAGGCCAGATCCAGGAGCCAGGAGCCTACTTTGAGTCTCTCACATGGGTACAGGGACATTCTCAGGCACACTGGTAGGGTGTTGGAGTAGAGGTGTAGTATTGGAGACATAATCATCCCATTTGGGAGGCCAGCATCCCAGGAATTGGGTTTATCCGCTACACCACCACATCAGTCCCCTCAATAATTTCAGAAGTGTTCTGTGGTGAAATGATAAAAACATTTCCACAGATTCACTCTCCAAATGGCCTCAACAGTCATGCCTGGGCCATGTTGCAGCCAGTAGCCAGGAAGTAGCTCTGACACACGCATGACAGGGGCCCAAGGAGTTGGCCCATCTTTTGTTGCTTTTCCAGCTGCATTAGCAGATGGCTGGATTGGAAGCAAGTGAGCAACTGAGACTTCATCTGGCACTCGATGTGGGATGCTGGTATCACAAGGTTGGCTTAATTTGCTGTGCTATAATTCTGACCCCAGTGTAGATGTTCTGTAGTATCATTCAGTAAAAATTAAATCTGTCGTTAGTGCAAGAAAATAGAAGAGCTATAACAGATAGAGGAGAGATGGGTAAGTTAGGAGAGATTTGGAAGCAGAATTTCTGGCTTTTAGTGAAGTTTTGAGTGTAGAGTGACTGAGAGAGGAGGAATCTCGAAAGGCTGTGCTTCTTTGGGTTTGCTGGCAAGGCGAAAGGGCAGCCAAGCAGAGAGGCATAGTGTGGAGGAAAAGATTGGGTGGCCCAGGTTCATCCAGTGGCTTTGGGAACAAGAAGGCCCAGAGTCCAGGAAGCCAGCTTACCTCCACATTGTGAGAGGCCGTCATGGCTCCTGCACTTGATGTTCTTGTCCGGCACCAACTGACATGCAAGGCCTTTGGACCCGGAGTTGGGTCAGAAGTGCAGGAATTCATGTAACGCAAATTATTGCTCACCTTTTCCGTAGAAGGTAGAACTTTATTTGGTTTAAAAGAAAAAAATTGGCAATAATTTCTGATCAAGGTAGATTTTCAGAGCAAGACAAAGATGTAAATCTCAAAATGTTAAGAGCAGTTTTACAAAAATGTGTGGAAGTGGAATGAAATAGTGATGTGGCTTCTGTGCTCTTTTCTCTCCTGACTCGTCTGGCTAGGCTTTGCAGGAGAAGCTATGGAACGTGGCTGCCCCTTTGTACTTGAAGCAGAGTGATTTGGCTTCAGCAGCAGCAAAGCAGGTAAGTTTATTGACATCTCCTCCAATAGATCATTTTCTAGGATTTGTCTATTCAACGCAAAGCCAGAGGTTCTCCATAGTTTTAAAGTATATCAGAAGCTAGTAACAGAAATAGTAGTGGGATCAGAGAATGGGGTACAGGCTTTCAAGTCAGGGAGCCTAGGTTGTAGTATCAGGTCTATTCAGAATTGATGGGTGATGGGTAATGTAATGTAATTTATCTCCATGGAGTTTTCATCCTCTGCAACATGGTGGCATTTGAATTCAGTAATCTCTAAGGTTATTTTGTGCTCTCAGATATTAAAAATTTCATTTCAAGTAGTCATTAAATCTGATAAACACTGTAATGAGTATTTCATTTGAATACAGTTGATCTCTTTTTGAAATTATTTATATTTTCAGCCTGGACCATCTCTTGAATGTCAAAAGGTCTTTAAATTTCTGTTTGGTCCATTGGATAGCTTTTAATTTAATTTGCCTTGAGTTTTTGTTTTTTTGGTTTTTTTTTTTCTTCCTCGCTAGTTTGAACAGTTTGCCTTCATTCTTAAGCATTGGTACTTGGTGAACTCCTCGGTGGGTCCTGTCTTCTAGAGAGCGAGCCTACGTGTGACTCAGTGATTAGGAACCAGTAGGAAGCTAATGGTGGTAGCTATGATTGCTACATTACAGTTCACTAAATATTTCAAGGAAATATATATATATATATATAATGTAAATATGATATAATATAAATTATATATATAAAATAATTGTATTCCTTTAGTTCTTTTCTATTTATTCTCCTGGTCTACTGGGAGGGTGAGTAGGGAGGAGAAAAAAGGAGGGATCATTCCTTGCTGTCAAACTGCATCAGTACCCAGGGATGGGAGACAGTCATTTGATGATTCCTTAGAGACCCTGATGTAGAGAAAAATGTTCCAAGGGTATTGCTTGAATGTTCTGATAGTTCTGAGACGTCAGCTTCATTGCTCCAGGGTTGAGAAAATCTTTCCAAGGTTTATTGGCTAACCAAGTCCATCTCAATGTGTGTTCATATACCCAGACACTTGCTGCAAAGCTTGGCCAGGAGTATTGGCCAAATTGTTCATCCTCTGATGGGGCATTTATTCTGATGGATGCTGCTGCCTTGACCAACCTGACCTATCCCCAGCCCTGACTCTCATACTTACCAGTGGGAGCTATAGCCCAACAGGAGAGTGGCCACTGTTTCCCTACTGGGCCCGTTTCCAGCTCTGGATCTTGTACCTGGTAGGGGGTATGGCATTCCTGCTTGACATGACTTGCACCTAGTGCCGGCACTTGCAACTGGTACTGTGGCCTAAACTGGCTGGCCTGTACTCATTTTGACTCTCTTCTGCCAGGAGGTGTGGCAACCTAACCCAGTCTGACCAGCCTCCCTCCCATCCTAGCTCTCATGCTCAGCAATGGAAGCAGCAACACAGCAGGGGAATCCCCGAGTTCCCCTACCAGGTCCTCTTCCTGCCCTAGGTCCTGTGTGTGGCAGCAGGTGCTACGGCCCAGTCTGAGATAGCCTGCCCCCAGTCCCACCATTTGCCAGGAGATGCTGCAACCTGGCTCAGCATGGCCTACCCCTACTAACAGCTTGCCAACAGGTACAGCAGCCTAGCCCAACCTGGGCCACTCCCAACCCCAGCCCTCATTTGAACTGGCAGGTGTTGCAATCCAGCGCAGCTTGGTGATTGTAGTAAAGTCAGGACTTTGTAGTGGAATCCTATGATGCTGCCCCATCTCATCCATTCCAGAATGCATCTCAGACCTGTCACATGATTTATTGTTGGGGAGAGATGGAACTTAATGAGAAGAACCCCAAATGAGCCATGCTATCAAGAGTTGTACCTGGGAACAGTAGTTTGAAAGGAAGATAGGAAAGTACCATTGCTGTATGCCAGGTAGAGTACTAAGGACTTTGCAGGACAGAAAGTGGGAATGGTAGAGATCTTCATCCACATGTTTGTTCCCCAAATTTGCATTGGCTGGTGCTGCACTAAGCCAAAGCCAGGAGGCAGGAGCAGGTCTCCTGTGAAGATGACAGGTGCCTAAGAACTAAAGCCATTACCTGCTGCAGAAATAGGACTTGATCCCAAGCACTGTGACAGGGGATTTGGACATCTTTAAGTGGTAGCTTAACCCATCATGATTCAGTGCCTGCTCTCCCTACCTGTTCTCCTGACCTGATACATTAATAATAAAGTTGATGCTATCTCTTTTGTTTACTGAAAGGGGAATTAAGGTATTGTGTAATTAGGTATCCTGGAGTCATATTTATACCCCAAAGTTTTCTTTTTCTATAAAGATTTATTTTATTTTGATTGGAAGGTCAGATATACAGAGAGGAGGGGAGACAAAGAGGAAGATCTTCTGTTTGATGACTCACTCGCCAGGTGGCTACAATGATGAGCTGAGCCAATCCGAAGCCAGGAGCCTTTTTTGGGTCTCCCATTACGGTGCAAGATCCCAAGGCTTTTGGCCTGCCTTGACTGCTTTCCCAGGCCACAAGCAGGGAGCTGGATGGGAAATGGGGTTGCTGGGATTAGAACCAGCACCCATATGAAATTCCAGCGCATGCAAGCTGAGGACCTAAGTCACTAGGCTTCTGTGTGGGACTCAACCCCACGGCTTTTAAAGGCAGTAAACATAGAAGGAAGAGAAGCATCATTTGGCTGAAATAACTGATTTACATAAAATTGAGCAAGTACATAAAATGCCCTGAACTTGACCTGAGCTGATAGACATGTTATGACACGTATTCTCTCCACAGACTCTGAGATACACCAAGCCCATAGAATGGTCTATCTGCATGGCTTAACAGGTGGCTAACATGTTCTTGACACTTTATTCTTAGAAGAATATTTTTGTGCGATTAGGTTTCCATTCTTAGTACATGTAAACAATCCCTGGTTTACAATCATTTGACATAGAAGTTTTTTTATTTTGTAACCTATTTTGTAATCATCAAATGCATATTCAGTGGAAGCCATTATTCAAGGATTGGGTTTTGATTCTTTTTCTGTTGGGCTGGTGATATGTAGTGTGATATGCTCTCATGGAGCTGCAGAAACAGAAGGCCACAGCCATGTGATCAGCTGTTACTCTACTGCACACTCTGTCGCTAAGCTGTGCTGTTTGCCAGAACAGGTGTATTGAGTGCATTTTGGGATGGGGAGGGTAGGACCTAGGATATTTTCAGCTTACAATAGGTTCATTAGGGTATAAGCTCATAATAAAGTCAGGGAATATCTGGTATTTAATTTGTTCTTATAGCATAGAAAGATTGATCTAGAATAAATAAATAATGCTTTGTCATTTTCTTTCATTTTGAAAAATTTTTTTAAAAGATTTGTTTATTTATGGAAAGTCAGATATACAGAGAAGAGAAGAGACAGGAAGATCTTCCGTCCGATTATTCACTCTCCAAGTGAGTTCAACGGCTGATACTATGCTGATCCGAAGCCAGGAGCCAGGAACTTCTTCCAGGTCTCCCACACGGTGCAGGGTCCCAATGCTTTGGGCCGTTCTCGACTGCTTTCTCAGGCCACGAGCAGGGAGCTGGATGGGAAGTGGAGCTGCCGGGATTAGAACCGGTGCCCATATGGGATCCTGGGCATTCAAGGCGAGGACTTTAGCCACTAGGCCACACCACCGGGCCCCATTTTGAAATTTCTATCATTATTTTATAAAATATTTTCCTTAAGATTTATTTCATTTTTATCTGAAAGGAAGAGTTCCAAAGAGAAGGAAACATAAAGAGAGAGAAAGATTTTCCATCCACTGGTTTACTCTCCAAATAGTTGCAATTGTCAGAGCTGGGCCAATTCACAACCAAGAGACTCCCCAAGGAGTTGGGCCAATTTCTGTTTATTTTATAGGCAATAGGCAGGAAGTTAGATTGAAAGTAGAGCAGCCAGGACATGGACAAGTGTCCATAAGGGAATGATGGAAGCACAGGTGAAAACTTAGACTACTATACCATACTCTAAAAAAGTATTTTTAATTGATGCATAGTCATTTTGCATGTTTATGAAATTCAGTTTTTTGTGTGGTTTTATCAGTGAATAGATTTTCATATCTTTGGGCCTACCTGTATGGCTCAGCTGGCTAGTCCTCATATGGGCTCCAGTTTGTCCCAGCAGCCCCACGTCCCGTCCAGCTCCCTGTTTGTGGACTGGGAAAGCAGTGGAGGATTGCCCATAGCCCTGGGCTAGTGATACACTAATTTCTCTCAGGACTTGAAAAATCTCCACTCTTAAATATGGTGTAGAAATTAAGAAAAACACCTCAGAATTTCACCTAAGATGATTGTTTTAACTATAGAATTCTGTGCTGCTCTTGTGAAAGAGTTGTTTTTTCACTGACTCTTGATTGCATTTGTTGTTGTTGTTGTTATAGATTCTGGAAGAGACCTACAAAATGGAGTTCATGTATAGTGGTGTAGAGAATAAGCAGGTGGTGATTGTACATCACATGAGGCTGCAGGCGAAAGCTTTGCAACTTATCGTAACGGCACGAACTACGCGAGGGTAAGATGTGGTGTTGGCAGAATGACATTTTCCTCTCAAAGATGTTTCCTAATGCATTAGTAGATTTCAGTAATGTCAATAACGAGTGAAATGAGATTGAGGAAAAGATTAGCTAAGGTATGTACTTTCAGCTCATTTTTAAAATATTTCTAAATTCTGTTCTTGAAAGTCTGGAAATCTAATCATTCTCAAAACCCCTTGGTGGCTCTTTGCTGAGCTGTGTTGCTTGGTGGAACATGCCCACAGCCCACACACGGCTTCCTTTGCAATAACACTGCTCTGCTCTGCTTGGTGGGGTTTATTAAGAACTTAGTGTCAGGAACCTCTTTCTGAAGGAACTAGTGTGCTTTATCCCAGGCAGAAAAAATACACACATGGGATTCTTCTAGAGCTCTGACAACACTGCTGCATTGTCTGTTAGTACTTAGTATTACAGTTAGACTGATGTCAGCTGGTTCTCCCTCGTTTGTAAGTGTCATATTTTTCTGGACTGGAAGCTGCAAAACCTTTTCTCTTTCAAATTCAGAAATTTTATGACATGTCTTCTAATTTTCTTGCTTTCAGTGAGTTTATGGTTCTGTCTTTAACTCAGCACAGTTTTTCTTCCATTATTTCTTTAATTATTGTTACTTTTGCTCCAGTCTCACATAATGGATATTGCATCTTTTGGATCAATTATTCCTGTATCTTTCTTTTTGTAATTTAAATTCCTCTTTCTCCATGTTGAATAAATTCCTGAATGTGCTATTTTTAATTTCAGCATTCATCATTATTTATATCATTGTTTGTTGATTATTGAGTTTGATTTCATTATTATGTTTTATTTCCAAATGTGCTTGCTTGCTACTTGCTTGCTGTTTCCTTCCTTCCTTTCTTGCTTCCTTCCTTCCTTTTTTTTTTTATTTTTAGTTTTTTTTTTTTTTTTTTTTTTTTTTTTTTTTTTATTATTTTTTCATTGGAAAGGCGGATATACAGAGAGGAGAGACAGAGAGGAAGATCTTCCGTCCGATGATTCACTCCCCAAGTGAGCGCAACGGGCCGATACTATGCCGATCCGAAGCCAGGAGCCTCTTCCGGGTCTCCCACACGGGTGCAGGTTCCCAAAGCTTTGGGCCGTCCTCGACTGCTTTCCCAGGCCACAAGCAGGGAGCTGGAAGGGAAGCGGGGCTGCCAGGATTAGAACCGGCGCCCATATGGGATCCCGGGGGTGCAAGGCGAGGACCTTTAACCACTTGCGCCACCGCGCCGGGCCCCTTCCTTCCTTTTTTTGAGGTTTATTTTTTTTTATTTGAAAGGCAGGTTTACAGAGAGAGACAGAGAGATCTCGCATCTGCTGTTTCACTGTCCAAATGACCACAGTAGCTAGGCCTGCCATATCTGAGCTGATCTGCACCCAGGAGTCGTTCTGGGTCTCTGATGTGGGTGTTGGGTTCCAAGTCCTTGGGCCACCCTTTGCTGCTTTCCCACGCTATATGCATGAAGTTAAATTGAGAACTAGAGCAACCAAGACAGGAACTGGTACGATAAGGGATGCTGGCACCACAGGCAGAGGGTTAGCTTATTGAGGTACTGCACTGGCTACTTTGATTTGTAAAAAGAATTCAGATGGATGTTGCTTGTAAGGTGGATTTTCATTTGCCATTTACCATTTATTTATGCATCAAATATTTATTAAAAGCTGTAGATCACAGGAAATATTTCATAAAGAATACAGTCTGTTTTTATCAGCTTAAATTCAGTAGAATCACTAATTTGGGTTATCAAGAACTAGGACACTGCATTGCATGGAAGATCTTCCTCTCTTGAACTCTCCTCTCTCTGTATAGCTGACTTTACAATAAAAATAAATAGAACTTTAAAAAATAAATAAACCAATCTTTAAAAACCAGGACACTCTTCTCCTACACATTTTTGTATGAGGAAACAGTTCCTTTTTCTTCTTGATTTGAACTTTACTCCTCCAATGAATAATATATTAATGCAAATAAATGGAAAAGGTGCGTGCTGAAAAACATAGAGGAAATAAACAGATGGACCAAGATTCAAAAAAAAATTTTTTTCATGGCCTTGTGCCTTGTGGCATGAATTCATAATATACCAGATTCATGTTCCAGCTGCTCAAGATCTTCTGATCCAGTTCCCTTGAAGTGACCTGGGAGAGTAGTGGACAATGACCCAAGAGTTTAGGCCCCTGCCACCAACATGGGACACCCAGATGTAGCTCCTGGTTCCTGGCTTCTGGCCTTGTCGTGGCCCAGCCCTGTCTTTGAGGTCATCTGAAGAGTGAACCAGCAGATGCATGATAGTACTGTCTCTCCATCTCTCTTCATAATTCTGTCTTTCAAATAAGTAAATAAATAAATACTTTTTAAAATTAGGCCTAGGAAAGCAAGATAGAGGAAGGAATGTAATCTCTATGTGTATGGGAAAAGCCGTAACAAAATTTTTCCCTCTCTGCATGAGAATTTATGCTTCATTAACTTTCTTGGTTTGTTTCCTGAAATCCTGGTAGTGTTACAGTAAGCCTTAGCGCTATGGGAAAAATGAGCTCTGAGGGAACAAGATATACGCTGTTCTGGACTAGAAGGGTGTATAATGCTTGTGATGCGGGCACTGGATATTCCGGTTCACTCAGTGCAGTGATGGCTGTCACTGGTCAGACCTCATTTGGACTCTGGATGCTATGCCTCTCGAGTTGTTTCAAGAGGTATTGGCCCCTATGGAGCATGAGGCTTTCTGGGCTCAGGTAGTCTTCATAGCCGCCCAACATAGAGCTCATCTCCTTGTTCCCGAGCTGTCACATAGCTCTGTGCACCCTTCCCAGACTACTGCAGGCAGAGTGGGACACTGATGCCTGCAAGCTGTGCTCCTGTCCTGTGTCCTTGGTAAATCTGGTCCCAAATGTGGACTGTGGCCCTCTGATTTTTAATGTTTTCAGAGCATCATGGGGGATTGTAATGGTTAAGCCACGTGTCAGGATCCTGACAGATTGCCCCTGGGTCCATTAGGAACCCCCGTTTCTCTTAGAGATCATTTTAATAGTTAATATGTTGTTTCTCCTTTTAGGTAGCCTTAATTCCTTAAACTTCTGGTCTTTACGCCTCACATTGCCCATTTCACATGCAAGTTACTTATTTCCTTTCTAGAGTTGACTCCTTATTTGGGATGTGTGAAAAATTTTTACAGGAGGTGGACTTTTTTCAGAGGTAAGTCCTTCTTCAGTCTTTTTATTTACTAAAATCCAGGTAGAGAATAACACAGACAGCAAGATCAATGAGCAACTGCATTCCTTGGCTAACAATCCAGCCAAGCATTATCTGAGGCTGGGTGTCCCAATTTGTTATTTTCTTTAGTGGCATATAAACTTCTTTGAAATCAGAGCTTCAAAGCAAACCATACAGCAGAATAATAAAACCTTAAGCATAAGCTGGCCTCAGCAGTCAGCTGAGTCATAAAATTTCTAAATTCTTTTGTTGAAAAATCCTGGTTATTCTGTTTTTTTCATCACAGTTCTTAAATTTGTAGATTTATCTGATTTACAATGAGTCATTCTCTTACTCTGCAGATAACTTTTATTGTGTGGATTAAATATGTTCTCATAGAATTGCTTCGGAAACAGCATGTGAAGAACAATGTGTAGGTGAATGAAAGGGTTTGCTAGTAGTGCAAGTTAAAGTAGAAATAGCAAAGACATTTATGGAACTTGTAACTCTGGATTTAGTCTGAGTATTGTTCTTTGTTTGTACATAGTCAGAAGAGAGGTTGGTGGGGAGAGAAAGATCTTCCATAGAGTGGTTAGTTTCCCAATCCACTGTAATATCCAGTCCCGTGCCAGGCTGAAAACAGGAGCCAGGCGCTTCTCCTAGGTCTCCTGCATTGGGCTATCTTCTTCTGCTTTCCCAGGCTAATGGCAGGTAGTGGGATTGGAATGGCAAAGCTGACACGCTATCTAGTGCCCATGTGGAATTCTAGCTGCTGAAAAATTAATTTCTTCACCCACTGACGTACCTTTATTTATGCATTTTACTTGTCCTAAGATTTTTGTGACTATAAAATCTCGTGCAATTTTTTTCCCTTAATTTTGTTTACAGTTTTCTTTAAGGTTTGTTGCCTTACTACCTTTCATCTGATGGTGTAGTTGTCTGGCACATGATCCTGGTTTAATCTGTTTCAAATCCTGGCTTCATTTGTAAAATAAGTTCATGCCTTTGCTTTGACTTTATAGTGTGTTTGGTGCGTTGGTCGTCGGCTGCACATTCCTTCTTAATTCAGTCTCTGAGTTGTTTTATGGGAATATATATAATCATCTTTGGGGATTGTTGTGTGTTATTTGTTTTTCCAGTAAACAAAACTGTGCCTTCCCACAAAGGCAGAAGTGCTATAGAATTAATTTGAACTGATAGTAAGTTATTTGACTTTTCTGAGCCTCAGTGTAGCATCTTTTCTTTTGTTTACTCTGTGTCTGCATACCTGTAATAGTCCTTGGTACTTGGCATACCCCAGAACCACACCTACTATACTAATCAGTGAACCTTAAATAGGAAAATAATTGTGCCAGTGTCCTGGACTGCTGGGAAGATTCAGTAAGTTTGGTGAAACACAGGCATTCCCCAGGCGCAGTGGCTTTTCAGTAGAGATGACCAACCTGTGAGCGCCTCCTCCATCACTGCTCCTCTGAGCCTTGGCAGTGTTTGCAGTTCAGCCTCTGTTTGCTCTCCTAGGTGCTTCATCGCTGATTTACCTCACTTGCAGGACAGCTTTGTGGACAAACTTCTTGACCTGATGCCCCGCCTCATGACATCAAAACCTGCAGAAGTGGTTAAAATTCTACAGAATACGCTCCGACAGAGTACCTTCCTACACCTCCCCCTTCCAGAACAGGTCAGGGTCTGTGCCTTATTCCTTTAAGCCAAATCCATGCAGACAGTGAAAACTCTTCCCCCTGGTGAGCTTCTTGCAGCAGGTAGAGGAGCCCGGTTTAGGGTGCTTACTCGGATTAGCTCCCTTAGGACCACCCCTGGGGCAAGATGCATGTTTATTGCCTAGGGATGACCTGGCTTTGATTTTTGCTTCTTACAGATCCACAAAGCATCGGCCACTATCATTGAGCCTGCGGGTGAGTCAGACAACCCCCTGCGGTTCACATCTGGCTTGGTGGTGGCTTTAGATGTTGATGCAACCCTGGAGCATGTGCAGGACCCTCAGAGCACTGTGAAGGTCCAGGTATGTTGGGTTTTGTCCTCTGGAGTGTCTGGGTGGACTTTGGGTTGAACATTTAACTGTAGTCCCCCTGTAATTTCTACCTGAGAGACAGAAACTGGGGAGGGAGAAGAGATGTGCCCTTGTGACTCCTGCCTCTGCTGCTCTCTGTGCTCTGGAGTCTGTCACTGTGAACTGTGAGCCTCAGACTCTGCAACTGAGAAATACAAATAGGTGCAGGTAAAACAGGGTCAGTTATACGAAGCTCATGTTACAAGTACTATTGGCTAAATGGCAGAGCTCTGATTATATTCCAACAGTGTGATGGGAAATTTGGTTTTTTATTAGACTAAACTATAATAAGAGTCCTTTTCAAGATATGGAAATGACTATTAGCAAATTAAATTTATGGATGGAAGAAAACAGGATTAGAAAGCATATTTTCCTAAGTGAGATGGATAAGTTCACTCAGGCAGGCTGCTGTTAAAAGACTTTCATTCTGGGCCCAATGCCGTAGCCGAGTGGCTAAAGTCCTCGCTTCACCCATGCTTGGGATCCCATATGGGCGCTGGTGCTTATCGCAGCTGCTCTAATTAACATTCATCTCCCTACCTGTGACCTGGCAAAGCAATAGAGGATGGCTTAAAATCTGAAAGTCTTGGGATCATCAGATGCCGGAACAGTGGTCAGGAGCAGACAGAGAAGGCGCTTTCCAAGTTATGAGACCTCCAGAGATCTCACGCTGAATCAGTTAGGAAATTGTACTTTCACATGAGTCGTTTCCACCCTCGCTGCACTTTGGAATTACTCAGGAAGCATGAAAAATGCTGATGAACATGCCTCAGCCTACGGCAATTCAATCAACGTTTGATAGGAGGGCCTGTGGATGTCAGTAGTGTTTTAAGAGCTGTGGTTGTGCTGTGCAGGCCAGGGCTCTAACAACATCACTGTTTCTCAGTGTCCCTGAAACACAGGGACCAGCTGAGCGTAAGTGAGATTACAGCTGATCATGTACGTGTCGTCTCCGCCTGCTCCTGAAATAGCCCCTCTGCAGCACCCGCACCGTGCGTGCCCAGGAGACTCGGATGCACTGCAGCCCTGCAGGACAGCTCCAGCATCCTGAAGGTGCTCCCCAGTCTCGCCACATACCCCGAATACGTCTTCTGTTCTGGGCACCAGTGTAGGCGCTAGTGATGCATCAGGAAACACGTCTCAGGGACTGGATGGCATAATTACTTTCTTTAGTAAAATAATGTCAGTCTGCTTTTTAAAGCAGACCCTTCAGAAACTCCACTCAGTAACAATTTTTGTTGGCCTAATCCAGATTCCTGATTATATATAATTATAAGAGGTATGAGGAAATTGAGTTCTGAAATCGAAGATATATCCCATACTGTTCATTCCCTCTCCCTGCCTTACTATTTATTTACTTATTCAAAAGTCATAGTGACATACAGATTTGCTGGCTCACTTCCCCAAATGGCTGCAGGAGCTGAGAACTGCAGCTGGCTCTCCCACATGGTGGCAGTGGCCCCAGTGCTTGGGCCATCTTCTGTTTCCTTCCCAGGAGCATTAACAGGAAACTGTATCAGGAGCATAGCAGTGGGAATTTGAAGCAGTGTTCCATTATAGGGTGCTGGCATCATAGGCAGTGGCTTAATGGGCTATACCACAGTGCTGGCTCCTTCCCTCCTTCCCCCAATCTTTTTTTTTCTTTTTCCAACAGATTTGTTTATTATTTTCATTGGAAAGGCAGATTTACAAAGAGATAGGAATAGAGAAAGACTTTCTGTCTGCTTGTTTCATTTCCCAAATGGCCACAACAGCCAGAGCTGAGCCAATCTGAAGCCCAGAGCATGAGCTTCTTCTGGATCTCCCATGTGGGTGCAAGGTCTGAAGGCTTTGGGCCATCCTTGACTGTGTTCCCAGGCCACAAGCAGGGAGCTGGATGGGAAGCAGAGCAGCTGGAACATGTAGTGGTGGCTGTATGGATTCCCAGTACTTCCAAGGCAGAGGATTTAGCCTCTAAGCCATCATACCAGGCTCCCCCTAACTTTCTGGGGCAGCACATTTCTTCTGTTTACAGTGAATTAATTTATTTGAAAGATTGAGAGAGTTGCGGAGAGGGTTAGGGAAAGAGAAAGATACATATTCCATCACCTGATTCACTTCCCAAATACTTAAAATAGCTGAGGCTATGTTGGGCCAGGTCAAAGCCAGGAGTCTAATCCAGATCTCTCGTAAATGTGGCAGGGACTCAAGTCCTTTGGCCATCACTGTTGCCTTCTAACATCTGCCATAGCAGAAAGCTGGAGTCAGGAGCTGGCCCAGGAACTGAATGTATGTACTTATGTATGGCATGTGAAAACTGCTAGGCTAACAACCTGCCCTGAAACCTCTTAATATCTGCTGGTTGGTGATGGAAGGTAGGCCCATGGTGTGAATCAGAGTGAATGGACGAGATTTTCTGATAGAGTATTGGTGATACCTGTGAAGTTTTCAGTCAGAATTAAAATCTTTACCTTTCATTGTACTTGATGGGGATACTCCCATCCTTTATTAGAAATGTAGGAAACATTTCCTGAACACTGCTGTGTTGGCGCAGGGACCACAGAGGGGTCTGCAGTGTTGCCATCCTCTTAAGGAGCATCTTCCTAAGGAAGCTGATATTTTGCTTCTTGTTTTGGGCTTTACAGTAGATGGCACCACACATTTATGGAAAGCTCATCTGCTTGCTACTTTCCTCTTTTTGCTCCCCTTTCAGGTCTTATATCCAGACGGCCAGGCTCAAATGATCCACCCTAAGCCAGCCGACTTTCGGAATCCTGGGCCTGGACGGCACCGTCTCATCACTCAGGTGTACCTCTCCCACACTGCCTGGACAGGTGAGAAGTCAGTGGGCCAATGCGGGCAGGAAAATATGTGCCTTTTTTGTTTTATATTTATTTATTTTTATCAGAAAGGCAGATTTACAGAGTATAGGGACACACAGAAAAAGATCTTACATGTACTGGTTCATTCCCCTTGTGGCTACAATATCTGGAGGTGAACTGATCCAAAGGCAGAAGCTAGGAGCTTCTGGGTCTCCCATGTGAGTGAAGGATTTCAAGCTTTTGGGTCATTCTGAACTGGTTTTTCAGGCCACAAGGAGGGAGCTGGATAGGAATGGAGCATCTAGAACATGAACCGGTGCCCATATATGATGCTGGCGCATGGAAGGCAGAGGATTAGCTATTGTGCCAACCCGATGTTTGCAGTTTGAAATACTAGATGCTTGAATCATGCATGGTGAGAACTGAATCCCATTAAGGATAAGTTTGCAGGCTCAAACTGGTACATTTAGATAATGTGCTCTGCCTGTAAATAATTATATATTCTGTTTATGATCTACAGGAAAATATAATAGAACATACTCTGAAGAAAAGAGCCCAGGGCTGGATGTAGGACAGTTTGTAACTGTATGACCTGCAATGTGACCTTTTTGCAAGTGTAATAGCTTCATGTCACTACAATAAAATATTTGAAAAAAACTAAGTTTATAAGCAAAAGTATCAATTTGATTTGTAGTTTTGGAGGTTCAAGTCTAATATCAGGTGCCCCACTATATTGGCCTGATGCAGGTGGTAATATAGATGAAGGTTCACAATGATACAGGAAGCAGGCTTTTAAATTTATTTAGAATTTCTATCTATTTTCAATTTTATTTGAAAGCGAGAAGCCAGGGTCCCAAGGCTTTGGGCCGTCCTCAACTGTTTTCCTTGGCCACAGGCAAGGAGCTGGATGGGAAGTGGGGCCACATGGGATACAAACCGGCGCCCATATGGGATCCTGGTGTGTGTAAGGTGAGGATTTTAGCCACTAGGCTACCGTGCCAAATAAAAGCCTTGCTCTTGAATTATTCCAACAGCAATTGCTGTAAGCTCCTAGGAACCCAAAGAGACCTGAGCAGGAGGTGGCCAGGAAACACTGTCCCTGCAGCCTCACAGGGTTCAGGCTGAGACAGTGTTCTGTGTTGGATGAAGGGAGGGACCCCTTCATCAGTACAGATATAGAAACATTCTAGACACCCTGCAGCTTCCAGCATTGATGTTGCTTTTATTCGACCTTTTATCCTAGGCTTAGCAGTTACTTGTTCTTCTTTCTTACAGAGCCATGCCAGGTGGAAGTAAGGCTGCTGCTGGCCTACAACTCCAGTGCTCGCATCCCAAAGTCACCCTGGACTGAGGGTGGTGAAATGGCACCCCAGGTGGAATTCAGCATTGAGGGCACCATCCCCTTCAGCAAGCCTGTAAAAGTGTACCTAATGCCCAAGCCTGCAAGGCGTTGACTCACACGCCTCCGGCCTAGCCAGGGCCTGCTTAGCTCTCTGAGGGAGCCGGAAGCCTGGAGCGCTTTGCTTCAAAATGGTGTGTAGGCTTAAGGAATATGCAAACCATTCCGTCTCATCTGGTATCAAACAAAAGATAAATTATTTTTGCATTAAAAAAAACCAAAATATATTCAAGTCCACCTTTTTCCACTGTTATGTAGTAAAGTGAGAAAACACCAAGCTATTCCAGTTTCTGGTTTTTGAGGAAACTGGATCTGGCTCTAACTTCGGTTTTCATACCACATATAGATGTGCTTATTCCTCAGATGTGAAATACTAAGATGCAGTTTTTCAGGCATCTTCAAGGAACTGGTTATTTGAGTCTTGATTCATTTCTTAAAGTAACACTTTGGTAAAATGAGGGCCAATTCTCTAGCAGCACTAACAGCTGTCCTTTTTCACCAGGACAGTTTTGGAGCATCTTCAACATCCTTATCTTCCTAAGAGGCCTCTTGTCTAACTTGGGCACTAGCTGGGCCGAGGACTGACTGAATAGATGGAGAGGAGTCTTTTCATCTTTAAGGAAAATTCTTGATCTTGCCTGCCATTATCCTTAGAACCCCTGTGGTTTTAAAATAATAGAGAAGAGCCATGCTTTAGAAATGAACATTATGGGGAAAAGGAGCACACTGTATGAATTAAGGGTATTTCTTCCCAGATCTCAGGAATGAGAGCTTGGCTCTGCATCAGAGTTACAGCTGCAGGTAAAATGTGGTAGCGGGATTCCAGAGGGCTCAACTTGTTAGAAGCTGTGCTATGTGGTTTACTTTTTTATGTTTTTGTTTATCTGAAAGGAAGAGTGACACAGAAGTCAGATTAAGACAGTAAAAGATCTTCCATCTCCTGGATCAGTCTCCATTTGACAACAGCCAAGGCTGGGTCAGTCCAAAGCCAGAAGCACTAAGGGCATAGTTTGCTATGTCCCAGGCATTATCAGGAAGCTAGATTGAAGTGCAGTACTAAGATCTCAGGTAGGGGCTTAGTTTCCTGTACCACCATGCCTGCCCCTTTCCCTGTCATTTAATCATCACAATAGCCAAATGAGAATTAGTGTTTATCATTGGCAGGAAAACTGTATAGGAAATTTTGAAGACTGTATTCATTCAAACCAAGAAGATCCTCAAGGCCTAAGCTGTACTGCCTGAGGAGAAGCATGTAAGTGTTGGTTTGGATGTGTCCCCCAAAGTCAGTATTAGAAATGTATTCCCCAGATGCCAGGGTCCCAATAAGAGGTGTTTTGTTCACGGGGGCTCTGCTCGCATAAGTCAATTGATATCACCATCCAGGGAGTTTCTTGCTAAAGCAGGATACAAAAGCAAGTTTAGCCTTTGCCCTCACTCTTGCCCTCTTGGCTGCCTACTGTCTGCCATGGGATGGCCCAGCATAAACCTCCTTGCTAGACACCAACAGTTTTTTCAGATTTTCCAGCCTTCAGAAATATGAGCCAAGTAAGTGTCTATTCACTGAATTATGCAGCTTTGGGTACTATGTGACAGTGGCAGGGAAACGAACCTTCATATGTTTAGCTCCCTTAGTCTCCAACTCCTCATCTGTAAAACAGATTTTCTTAAGGCTTGGTGAATGGGATAGAGTGAAAACTACTTGGTAGAATCTGAATCTGCAGCCAATCTTGACCGTCTTTGTTACTTGGAGAGCTAATTTAAATAAGTACATATTTTATTATTCCTTTGAGTTGGAGCTGGAATTTACATTCAGACATATGTTGACTTTGAGTTTAATGTGTACCTGGCCATGTTGTAAACCTTTTACATGAGTTAACTGAATTAACCCTCACAACTGTCTTAGGAAGTAGGTGTTATCATATTATAAAGCCACTGAAATTTAGAGAAATTAAGTAACTTGCTCCAGATCACAGGACCACCAAGGACGGACCTGGAATATTAATTCATGACGTCTGGCTCCAGGAGATACTGAGAATCTGGGAAGATGATTATCTCCCAGTGGCTTTGTTTGGTGCGCTGAGCCATTTATACATCTCAGGGATGTCCTGGAAAAGGCAGCCTGCCTTTCTAAAAGTTGATCATACAAGCCTAATGCCAGGCTGAATCGTATTGTGGCCCTGTCACCAACACTTGCAGTGACAGCTGGGCTGGAGCATCACTAACAACACTGAGACCCAGACTGGAACCAAAGAGCCTGAAACCACAGAGCCGCCAGCTCCACGGGGAGACTGTGCTGAACACTGGGCAGACAGCATCTCCACCACTCCCCCGCTATTAAAAAATCCATTTATTTTTATTGGAAAACCAGATTTACAAAGAGAAGGAGAGATGAAGGTAGATCTTCTATCCACTGGTTCACTCTCCAAGTGGCTGCAAGGGCCAGAGCTGGGGCCAAAGCTTTGGGCCATCCTCTGCTGCTTTCCTAGGCCACGAGCAGGAAGCTGGATGGGAAGTGGAGCAGACTGGACACCAATCAGTGCCCAGAGGGGATCCAGCATATGCAAGGTAGGGACTTTAGCCACTAGCCTACCGCTGGGCCCGAAGGCACCCCTTTTTATAAAAGCCCTTTCTGGTTATTCCTCATTGGTGGATCTGTAGGATTAATGTAGTGTCTCCTGGAACACAAAGCTTGGAATTGACAAGTTCAAAATGTGGTAAATTTTCCATCTAAAATCTATGTAATAGTAAGGTGCAGATTTTGACTTCGTATCAAAATAATTTTTTTTCCTTTGAGGCATGGTTGGGGTGGGGGAATTTTTACCAAGTTCATTTCACTAATACCTAGAACAGCCTGGACAAAAGTAAGCAATCAAAGACTCAAGTGGAGTCTTTTTTTTTTTTTAAGATTTATTTATTTATTGGAAAGTCAGATATACAGAGAGGAGGAGAGATAGAGAGGAGGCTCTTTCGTCCGATGATTCACTCCCCAAGTGAGCGCAACAGCCGATACTATGCCAATCTGAAGCCAGGAGCCAGGAACCTCCTCCAAGTCTCCCACACGGGTGCAGGGTCCCAAAGTATTGGGCTGTCTTCGACTGCTTTCCCAGGCCACAAGCAGAGAGCTGGATGGGAAGTGGAGCTGCCGGGATTAGAACCGGCGCCCATATGAGATCCCAGTGCGTTCAAGGCGAGGACTTTAGCCGCTAGGCAATGCCGCCAGGCCCGACTCAAGTGGAATCTTAACCACTATGCCAAACGCAGTCTATTCTGCACCCAGCTGTCAGTGATTTCTTTAAATCTTGGATTTGATATCATTGCCATGCTGATACTAGCCCTAGGGCAAATTCTACATGTCTGCCCTTGAAGGCACTTTTCATGCTCTGCTTTGTTGCCAGCTATACTCTTGCCATCCCAGACTGTCCCAATATCACTGCAGCCATACAGAATCACCTGTATTTCCCCAGGTTCCCACTGTTCCCTCACCACCAGCTTTTGGGCATCCTAAGCCTTGAAACATGGTCCTCACACTGCCTCCCATGGTTCCTTTCTCCAGGACAGCTTTATTCTGGATCTGTCTGTGCCATGGGCTTTGAGCACTGTCCTTCATCTGAGGATACCATTCATCATTGCATTGCAGAAGAGTAAGCACAGAGCCTTAGGAAGTAGCCCAGAGGAAAACAGAGACTAAAGAAATCAGAGGCCACATTCTGTGTAGAGGCAGTTGCTGTTCATTCTACTTCATTTTATTCTATAAGTGTAAATCGCAGAAGTGACTGACGTTGCATCTTTCACTTTTTAAAACATGTCTATTTAAAGGTAGTGCTGGGACTGGGCCATGCCGAAGCCCTAATCCTGGAACTCCATCTGAGCCTTCCACATTGGTCTATTTCTGTTCTTGAGGCATCATCTGTTGCCTCCTGGAGGCACATTAGTACGAGGCTAGATCAGATGTGAGGAGGCCAGGATTCAATGGCTCTGCCCTATGGGATGTGGATAAACTGATCTGGTATAACACAGTGCATGTCCCATCACTGCCAGATTTTGCCAGGAAGTTTGTACCAATCCCTAATGTGGAGACAAGAATCTACCTATGATTGATTGAGCATCCACTGCTGTAGGGAACCAATCTGAATTTTACCAAGCGTCCCTTCTATCTATACAAGGCTGGCTTTATAAGCCATGGCAACAGCCATACAATTCTGTCATCAGAAACTGGTGCCATGGTGTAACAAACTAAACTTCCACTTGTGGCACTGGTATCCCATAGTGGTGTGGGTTCAAGTCTTGGCTGCTGTAACTTAACAAAAAAAAAAAAGATTTAGTTTTACTGGGAAGGAAAATCTAAAGAGAATGAAAGAAAGATCTATCTGCTGGTTCATTCCCGAAGTGGCCGCAACAGTCAGACCTGAGCTAATCCAGAGCCATGACTTGAACCCACACCCTTATGGGTATCCCATGCAGGCACAAGGTCCCAAGGCCTTGTACCATCCTCTACTGCTTTCCCAGGCCACAAGCAGGGAGCTAGGAGGGAAGTGGAGCAGCTGGGAAACAAACTGGCACCCAGATGTGATCCTAGCACTTGAAGGGAGAGGATTGGCCACTTGAGCCATTATGCCAGGCCCTTGGTTGCACCACTCCTGATCCAGCTCTCTGGTAATGTGCCTGGGAAAACACAGAAGATGGCTTGAGTCTTTGGGCCCCTGTATTAATGTGAGACAAATGGAAAAATGTCCTGGTTCCTGGCTGGGTAGTTAATCTACAGAATCTGAAGATATCTCTGTCTCGAGTTGTCTGCAACTGTGTCTTTCAAATAAATCAATTGTGTTTTTTTTTAAAAGATTTATTTTTATTATTTTTTTATTGGAAAGGCGGATATACAGAGAGGAGAGACAGAGAGGAAGATCTTCCATCTGATGATTCACTCTTCAAGTGAGTGCAACGGCTGATACTATGCCGATCCGAAGCCAGGAGCCTCTTCCGGGTCTCCCACACGGGTGCAGGGTCCCAAAGCCTTGGGCCGTCCTCGATTGCTTTCCCTGGCTACAGGCAGGGAGCTGGAAGGGAAGCGGGGCTGCTGGGATAGAACCGGCACCCATATGGGATCCCGGGCGTGCAAGGTGAGGACCTTAACCACTTGCGCCACCGAGCTGGGCCCCAAATAAATCAATTGTTTAAACACATTCTGTCATCAAACAAAGGTAGAAGCTGCAAGAAGGGCACTAAGCAGGGTCTCCCCAGCTTTCCTGCGAGTGTCAGGTCTATGAAGGTCTCATTTCCATGGGCCACTAGGGTACAAGGCGGTGTATACTAGAGTTTAAGATAATTGTTGGATTCTAAACCTGACTTCCACACTAATTTGGTAGGTAAACTTTGAAAAATCTCCTTACTTCCCATTTTTGATTTTGAAATATATTTACTTACTTGAAACACAGTAACACAAAAAATGAGAGAGATCATCCATCTGCTGGCGTATTCCCTAAATGGCTGCAAGAGCCAGGTCTGGGCCATCTTTCACTGCTTTCCTAGGCTGTTAGCAGAGTGCGGGACTGAAAGTGAAGCAGCTGGAATGGAACTGACAGTGATATGGGATGCTGGAGTTGCAAACAGCAGCTTACGTAGCACACCCCCAGCCCCATTCTGAGTGCCTCAGCTCATCCTTTCTTGCCAAGTCACATCTTCAACTGCTGTCCAGTCTGCGCACTGGTTCCCAGTCAAATGTTTATCTAAACCAATCAGGTGGCAGGATTATGTGGAAGGAAAAAGTTTTTCAGGGGTCTTACTCCAACATCTTCTGGGGCAGAACAATTTGATTTGGTTAGGGCTGTGATAATACATGATGGTTTTTCACATGAGAATCAACCTGTCACTCAGTGATGCACATTGTTAAGTATCTAGTTAATAGCCACCAAGTAAATGTGCATTAAGTGAATTCATTCAGTGTTTGAAACTTACCTTGTCCTTTCCTTGGTGTTGTCTTCCTTAATTTTTTTTTCCATCCTGGTAAATTCAGTCTTTGTGCCACCACTGCACCTTTTAAATATGTAATTTTAGCACATTTTGTCACTACTATGTGCTTACTGACTTTCTGGTTCAAAAATAATTCCCAAGGACAGGAACTATAACATCTGTCCTTGTAGCCTCAGGACCCAGCAACAACTGGTCATAGGAAAATTAGTAGCTGAGATTCTCAGTAAATAGGCATGAAAGGGAATTATCAAATACATGAGTGAGGTAGTGCCTAGCAGATGCAATATTCTGAGTATATGAAATGATAATCTTTATTAAAGATCATAAAAACAAAATTGGCTTCTCTATACAGCAGTTCCATTGATAAGAAGTGACAACAATGGAGTCAATTTACTGAGTCCGTCCTACAAGCCTGTGCCAGGCAGCAGGCCCAGACTGAACTACAAGAGGTAACTTATGTAGTGATTCCAGGTGTAAATACCACTGTCTGTCAAATGGGAGATTTGAAACAGACCGGCAAATGGCAGAGCTGCAGTTCAAAGTCAAAGATAATTGACATCAAAGCCCCCACACATTGCTCTTTTAAGAGGTGGCGGGGAAAGGAAGGCCATTTGTGTATCTGATAGAATAAAGCCTGGATTGGAGGATACCTATTCAGGTCCCAGCACCTACACAGGGAATGTGAGTGCCAGAGAGACCTGCCTGGCTCCAGTCAGTAGCAAACCTGTCTCAACCCCCCACTCCCAGGGCACACTCGGTTACTGTCCCTTGAGTGCTCCTTCATGTCGTTCAGGACTTCTCCTGGTCACCTACTTGAGACAACCCCATCCATCTTTGCCTTACCTGCTTATTCATAGGATTTTGCATACATTGTATGTTTTTATATATACTTTGTATCCTTACCTTCCCCACTTGAATGTAAACTTCACAGAAACACTCTTGCTGTTTCTCAGAAGCTCATGGCAGTGACTGGCCTAGAAGCTACTCAGCAAACATTAGTTGGGCCCGTGTGGGCCAGGTTAAGCTGTTCTTTGTGATACCATCACCCCTGCTGGAGTGCCAGTTCAAGTCCTGGCTGGTCTGCTTCTGCCATTGCTTTTAGCTACTGGGGAGCAAACCATCAGATAGAGCTTTCTGATGCTTTGCCTTTAAATTAATTAAATCTTTAAAAACAAGAGTATTAGTTCAATTGACAAGTATATACTCCAAACACCAACTGCAGTCTGGTTTTAATGCATACACGTTTCTTTGGTTTTCAAGGCACAAAGTTAATTTTTGTCCAAAGTTCCAGTTATATCCTGTCCAACGTTTAGTACATGATAAAATTGAGCCAGTATCTGTATCTTCTGATCTTTAAGTTGTCATATTCATGCATCCCAAGAACCTGGAATAGGACCTGACTAGAGCAGTTGTTTAAAAATGCCTGGA